AGCTGGTTTGGCTCAGTGGATAAAGCATCAGCCTGTGAAGTGAGGGGTTCCGGGTTCAATTCTGGTCAAGGGCAGATGCCCAGGTTGTGGGCTCAATCCCCAGTAGGAGGCATGCAGGAGGCAGCCACGCTATTATTCTCTCATCACTGATGTTTCTCTCTCTCCCTCTCCATTCCTCTCTGAAATCAATAAAAATATTTTTTAAAATAAATAAATAACAATAAATAAAACATGCTCTACGCCAGCAGCTGCCAACCTTTCCGACCTCACAGACCACCAGTGATCCGCAGACCACCGGTTGGCGACCGCTGCTCTATACACTGTGTTCCACTGAAGACCATAAAAGAGATAAAAAGCTGAAAGAGCGAGGTGAAATCACCGCAGTGCTTCTGAAAATTCAAAGGGTTTTGAAATAAATTATAATTAAAATTAGTTGTAAAATGCATGTTGACTTTTTAATCAAAATGATCAGATGTATCACATCCCATGAGCTTAACTTCTAATCCATTATAAAATTATATTGTCTACAGTACATTGTTTCAGGCACTTCATATAACTACCTGGATAAAAGACACATCATTTCAAGCAATAAAAGGCATTTTTAGGATCACAAAGCACCCAGTAATGCACACAACACTCTACTTTAAGGACTTAGATGAATGCTATTTTGTTTTCACTGCATTATTTCTTACAATCATCAATGTTCTCCCGTTTAAAGTGCCTTCACTTATGCTTTTATGCTGTTGCTGGTACTCACCCTTTCAAGAGCCTGCAGTGCATTCTAAAACATATCTGACATTACTCAGACATGGGAAGATTTTATACACATCAAGCAGAGAAGACAATGCTGGTGGCATTTAATCCTTGGCTCAGCAAAGAAAAGTAATTATTCAGAGGATCTGCCTTAACTCCTAATTCTGGGATAAAACACGTTTGCAGCAAAGCCATGTCAAAGGATCTCAATGGACATGGGGTGGGAAAAAGAGACTGGAGGTATCCATGACTAAATTTGTGAATAGAGTTCAAGACTTGGATATTTCCAGAAAAGGCAAATATATTCTGTCCTACCAGGACCCAGGTAAAGACTGGAATTTGATTTAAGGCAGGAGTGTCCCGATCATATAGAATCCTTATGGCGAGTGGACACTTTACACAAGTAAAAGGAGAATTAAAATAAAATGAAATTCCAAACGGGACAGGAATATCACTCTTCTAAGCATGAGCAAGTCTGATGAGCTGGCAAACTTCAGTGTGGAGCTTGCTACAGAGCTTCAAAATCAGGTAAGAACTTTTATTACTTACAATTGAAAATAGATCGAATAGCCCAGCTGGTGTGGCTCAGTGATTGATCATCAACCTATGAACCTGGAATCATGGTTCAATTCCCAGTCAGGGCACATGCCCAAGTTGTGGGCTCAATTTCCAGTGTTGGGTGTGCAGGATGCCACTGATCAATGATTCTCTTTCATCATTGATGTTTCTATCTCTCTCTCCTTCTCCCTTCTTCTCAATAAATAAATATATATTTTTTTATTTTTATTTTTTTTAAATAGAGCAAATAGCCGAGACCGGTTTGGCTCAGTGGATAGAGCGTCGGCTTGGGGACTGAAGGGACCCGGGTTTGATTCCGGTCAAGGGCATGTACCTTGGTTGCGGGCATATCCCCAGTGGGGGGTGTGCAAGAGGCAGCTGATCGATGACTCTCTCTCATCGATGTTTCTAACTCTCTATCTCTCTCCCTTCCTCTCTGTACAAAATCAATAAAATATATTTTTTTTTAAATAAAAATAGAGCAAATAGCTAAAACCGGTTTGGCTCGGTGGATAGAGCATCAGCCTGAAGACTGAAAGGTCCAGGTTCTATTCCAGTCAAAGGCATGTACCTTAGTGGTGGGCATATCCCCAGTGGGGGATGTGCAAGAGGCAGCTGATTGATGATTCTCTCTCATCGATGTTTCTAACTCTCTATCCCTCTCTCTTCCTCTCTGTAAAAAATCAATAAAATATATTTTTAAAAAATAAATAAATAGAAATAGATAAAATAAAGAAGAAATCTAGATTTGTTTAATTCAAAGAAAATTAAAGTGTAGGAAATACTACAGAGTTAACTATTAACAACTACTAGGTGCCTATAAAAGGATATTATGGCAGCAAAAGAAACAATCTACTTCGAAAGGTCTCTTATTGAGGTACATTACCAAAAAGGCTAAACATGCTTTTCTAATAACCAACTGAAGAAAAAAAGGCAAAGCATAGCAAACGGCAAGTGCTGGCGAGGATGTGGAGAAAAAGGAACCCTCATGCACTGCTGGTGGGAATGCAGACTGCTGCAGCCACTGTGGAGAACAGTATGGCGTTTCCTCAAAAAACTTAAAAATGGAACTCCCATTTGACCCAGTAATCCCACTGCTAGGAATATATTCCAAGAAACCAGAAACACCAGTCAGAAAGGATATATGCACCCCTATGTTCATAGCAGCACAAGTTACAATAGCTAAGATTTGGAAACAGCCTAAGTGCCCAAAAGCAGATGAGTGGATTAGAAACTGTGGTACATCTACACAATGGAATACTATGCTGCTGTAAAAAGAAAAGAAAAGAAAAGAAAAGAAAAGAAAAGAAAAGAAAAGAAAAGAAAAGAAAAGAAAAGAAAAGAAAAGAAAAGAAAAGAAAAGAAAGAAACTCTTTTTTGTATAAATATATTTTATTGATTTTTTTTACAGAGAGGAAGAGAGAGAGATAGAGAGTTAGAATCATCATGAGAGAGAAACATCCATCAGCTGCCTCTTGCATACACTCCCACTGGGGATGTGCCCGCAACCAGGATACAGGCCCTTGACCAGAATCAAACCTGGGACCTTTCAGTCCACAGGCCAACGCTCTATCCACTGAGCCAAAACGGTTTCAGCAAGAAGAAACTCTTATTATTTGCAACAGCATGAATAGACCTGGAGAGCATTATGCTAAGCAAAATAAGCCAGTTGGAGAAAATTAAATACCACACGATCTCACTCATTTGTGGAATATAATGAACAACATAAATTGATTAACAAAAATAGATCCAGAGACATAGAAGCATGGAACAGACCATACAACCTCAGAGGGAAGGCGGGGACAGGGGTAAGAAATCAACCAAAGGACTTGTTTGCATGCATATAAGCATAACCCATGGACACAAATAGTAGTGGGGTGAGGGCATATGCTGGGGAGTGGAAACGGCCGGGGAGAGGTCAATGGGGGGAAAGGAGATATATGTAATACTTTAAACAATAAAGAATTTAATTTTTTTTAAAGGCAAAACATGATGATCTTAAATGCAATTTAACCCATGAAAACAGACTAAAAATGAATGGCCTTCTTAAAAAGATTCATAATTCACCCTAGTCAGTTTGGCTCAGTGGATAAATCATCAGCCTGCGGACTGAAGGGGTCCAGGTTTGATTCTAGTTAAGGGCATGTACCCTGGTTGCGGGCACATCCCCAGTGGGGGGCATGCAGGAGGGCATCCAATCAGTGATTCTCTTTCATCATTGATGTTTCTATTTCTCTCTCCTTCTCCTTTCCTCTCTGAAATCAATAAAAATATATATATATTTTTTTTAAAAAAAAAAGACTCATAATTCTCCCACAAACCAGCACCACTATTCCACCAAGCCATTTTCTAGACTAAATCTTGGTTAGTCTAATGAGGCTGGCATTCCTGACAAAAACAGGTAGGCAAAAACCTAAACCTATATGTCCAATATTACAGTCATTGGACTCTCACCGTTTTGGGGCATTTGACATGTGGCTGGTCCAAATTGAGATGTGCTGTAAGTATAAACTACACACCAGATTTAGAAGACTTGAGTACACAAAATAGATACCTATGTTATCTCATTTTAACTTTTTATATTAATTACATAGTGAAAGCATAATATTTTAGACATAGTAAGCTAAATAAAATACAGTTTTAAAATTAATTTCACTTGCCAAGACTGGTTTGGCTAAATGGATAGAGCGTCGGCTTGGGGACTGAAGGACCTGGGTTCGATTCCGGTCAAGGGCATGTACCTTGGTTGCGGGCATATCTCCAGTAGGGGGTGTGCAAGAGGCAGCTAATCAATGACTCTCTTTCATCGATGTTTCTAACTCTCTATCTCTCTCCCTTCCTCTCTGTACAAAATCAATAAAATATATTTTTTTAAATTAATTTCACTTGTTTCTTTTTACATTTTTAAATAAAAAATTTAAAATGACATGTGGCTCACATTTGTAGCTTGCACTGCATTTCTGTCAGGGAGAGTAAGTGACCAAAATAAAACACCCCTACATCAAACACACTTCTGGGTTGCTAAGCATTTCCAAATGTGACTAAAAGAATGAAGAAGGCCCTGACTGCTTTGGCTCAGTAGATAGAGCGTCGGCCTGTGGACTCAAGGGTCCAGGATTCAATTCTGGTCAAGAACATGTACATTGGTTGCGGGCACATCCCCAGTAGGGAGTGTGCAGGAGGCAGCTAATCAATGTTTCTCTGTCACTGATGTTTCTAACTCTCTATCCCTCTCCCCTCCTTTCTGTAAAAAATCAATAAAATATGTTTTTTTTTTAAAAAGAATGAAGATCCAAAACCGGTTTGGCTCAGTGGTAGAGCGTCGGTCTGCGAACTGAAAGGTCCCAGGTTTGATTCCGGTCAAGGGCATGTACCTGGGTTGCGGGCATATCCCCGGTAGGGAGTGTGCAAGCGGCCAGCTGGTTGATGTTTCTCTCTCATCCCTAGCTCTCTATCCCTCTCTCCCTTCTTCTCTGTAAAAAATCAATAAAATATATTAAAAAGAATGAAGAAAGGTATATGGTACCTGGGGCATTCAGAGGACATGTATAGCAACAAGCAGTGGCAGCAGCCATCATGTTGTTTTAAGTCTGTAATAAACATAACAACAAACTTTGTGACCAAGGAAAGATTGCAGTGCAGATTCTCTTTCCCCCTGTTCCAAAGTGTCCCCGGGCCTCTCTGCTTACCTTTGATGAGCTCCGGCCGGTATGTCTTGCGCAGCTGCTCCAGGAAGCTGTTGTAGAAGCTCTCTGCCTGCTCCGAGGGCATTGCCAGGTGGAAGTCAGGCTTGTTGCCCTTGAGGACACACTGGAGGGTGAACTGGCTGACACAGAGCACCTCGTACTGTTTGTCCATCACACTCTTCGACCAGTGCTTTCCACTCTCATCCTCAAACACACGGAGGTTTAAAATCTTTCGGACCCTAAGGAGAAAAATAGCAGTGAGAGCTTAGCTAGAGTCACAAGCCCCCCAATACATTTCATACCCCCAAATGTCACCAGCATCCTGCCATACAAGAACATCATGCTGACCCCATCACTTACAGAAAGTGTGACCTTGAGCAAGTTACTTTTCTTCTCTGTGCCTCAGTTCCCTCATCTGTAAGACAGGGTAAGAGTGGTCCTGTCTCACAGGGTAGTTTGGGGATTTCCTTTTTTTTGTGGGTCCCTCTAGCAGCCAATGCCAGTTAGAACTGGAGCCAAGATGACAACCACCCATTATCAAAGCATGGATCTAATTCTAATTCTCTATAGGAGCATTCAATCTTTACACTGGAGTAAATGTCACCCCGTTTGTACACCCCTTCTTGAAGCTACACAAAATGGACAATTCAGCAAATACCTGAGAGAGAACTTACTGTTACCACAAATATATAAAAATATCTGAAAGAAAAAAAAAGAAACAAAAAGATATGGAGAAAAATACTTTAATAACATCACATGCTCCTTAAATCCCACACATGTGGATGGCAAAGGACAGCCCCCTTGGCAAGGAAGAGGACTAGGTAACATTTACAAGATCAGGTTTCAAGAGCATGACAAAGAACATCCTGCATGGAAGCTGAGATTCCACCAATGGAAAGCCACCTTTTGGGATGTTGCTGAAGATATGGTCGAGGGCTCTACAAATATAATAGTAATTCCCGGTCTCTTCAGATAGGTCCTCTCTGTATGGGCACTTTTCACCACCTCCTCTCCACAGCCAAGGTTTGTCTTCTGCTGAGTAAAATCTCTTAACCACCAAGGTAAATATTAACTCTCTAGAATGTCAGAGACATAAAGAGTTCAGGCCCAGAGCTGCAGTTTGTAGCCACTACACCACTCTACTGTTTCAAGTATTCAGGGGAGAGCTGTTAAAATACCAACATCCCTGAAGTGGTAATGAACTATCCCTACCAGTCATCAACACCTTAGCAGGACTTGGATTTGCCACTTGAACAAAAGGGACAACTGGGTGGGGTATTACCCAAGCTCTGGGCACCAAAGGGCAGAATAAACAGATCCAAGCATCTGAGTAAATGTGTCCAGTGGTGCTGGGGTAAACAGGGGAGGGGAAAGCTGCTGTACAGCCATTTGGGCATCTGCAATAACGCACCCCCTACATTAGTAAAAGGAGCACTAGGTTCTAATTCGGATTTGGGCTTTTTGCTAACTATGTGTACGTGACTTTGGGCAAGTAATTTAACCTCGCTGAGATCCAGATCCTTATTGCACAATGAACAGCTGGGCATTTTAAAAATGCTTTAACAGGGCCACATCATATTTCTCAAATTACAAAACAGAAACCATTCATAAGAAAAGAGGCTCAGCCCTAGCCAATTTGAGCAATGGCTTGTGGACTGAAGGGTCCCAGGTTTGATTCCGGTCAAGGGCACATGCCTGGTTTGTGGGCTCCATCCCCAATGAGGGGTGTGCAGGAGGCACCTGATCACTGATCTATTGATATTTCTATCTTTCTCTCAGTCTCCTCTCCTCTCTGAAATCAATAAAAATATATTTTTTTAAAAAGAAAAGAGATTCCATTTTTAATTAAGAGGCTAGTTCACGCCGAAACCGGTCTGGCTCAATGGATAGAGCGTCAGCCTGAGGACTGAAAGGTCCCTGGTTTGATTCCTGTCAAGGGCATGTACCTTGGTTGCGGGATGTGCAAGAGGCAGCTGATCGATGATTCTCTCTCATTGATGTTTCTATCCCTCTCACTTCCTCTCTGTTAAAAAAAAAAAAAAACAACAATAAAATATATTTTAATAAAAAAGACTAGTTCACAGAAATAGCAGCAAATAGGGATGGAAGCTAAGTGGTACTCCTGCTCTGCTGTTCACTTAGTGGGTGTCATTTGACAGGTTACTCTTCCTCATCTTCTCATCTGAAACATGAAGATAGCCATACAACATCAAATGTCAAATTGATAAAAGAACAGGAGCTCACTTTATAAGAACAAAATACTATAGAAGTTCCTAGTATGTGTATGTGTGTGCACATATATCCTACATATAATCCTATATAATAAAAGTGAAATATGCTAAGTGTCCGACCGATGGGTCACCGGTTCAGTTGATCACCCTGGAGCCCTCCCACAGTCCCTCCCTGGCTGGCCAGCCCCCATCTGCCCCAAGTGGGACTGGGTGAGAGGGCCCTGATTGGCCCCCCAAGTGCTGGCCAGTCAGTGGGACCCCACCCGTGCACAAATTTGTGCACCAGGCCTCTAGTATGACACAACTACCACATATTCAATTCAAAGAGCAATGACTTAGCCTAGCCAGTTTGGCTCAGTGGATACAGCATCCACCTGTGGACCAAAGGGTCCTGGGTTCAATTCTGGTCAAGAGCATGTACCTCTGTTGCGGGCTCCTTCCCAGGCCCAGGCCCTGGTCAGGGCTCATGCAGTAGGCAACCAATAGATGTGTTTTTCTCACATAGATATTTTTCTCTGTCTTTCCCTCTCTCACCCACTCTCTCTAAAAATCAATGGAAAAAATATCAAGTGAGGATTAAAAAAAAAAAAAAGTAATAACTTTGCTCTTTGTTTGTAAAAAAACAAACAAAGAGAAATTCATATCTTACATGTGCTCCAGTTCCTTCTGACTATCTTCCAGAGAAATACCCAGCAACACACAGATGCCCCGTCCAATGGCACTTATCTGCTCTTCTCCAACTAGGAAGGAAACAAAAGACAAAAAAAGACTCAGAACCATAGAGGTGCCATGAAACACTTTTAAATAACCACAGGAATGTTCAAATATCACTCATACTTCTTTTAACTTCTTTGACAAAGTCAGCAGATATTCAAAAATGAAAGGAGTTATGTAAATGCAGTAAGATAATCCTAATTTATGTCCATTCTGATTTTATATCTGGAATGAATGTGTTCTAAAGTGAACAACTAATAAGGAGGGTTTGAGGGCCACATTTTCATCTGTGTGACCTTTAAGACACCTGAAACTTTCTATGATGGAATTTGCCAGAAGTTTTCCTGCCCAGAGAATCCAGATCAGCTATATTAATTCTCAGGAGATGCCTGCTTGTCTTGGAATCAGCAAATCTGGTAACACAATACACAGCACAAAATGGAAAACACATGTCATAAAATAAATAATTTTTCTACTTACTCCAGAAAAGAGAAATATATTATACACAAAACCAAGCTTTAAAAGTTTCAAGTCAGCAAACTATTATTTCCCAGTTTAGTACTAAAGTTGCATTCTAAGTCAATGATTCCCAGATCTTTTTAAATCATGCAACTCATTCATAAAAATAACCTCTGAACATATATTCCTAGTCCAAACATTTGTGTATGAGTTTATAGTTAAATGTATGCTCTACTACCAATAGTGTTGGCACAGAACTTAGGCCAAGATGCATTGTTATGATGGAAAATAGAATCCTTCCTTCATATACTGATCTTCTTAATTTTATAATCTTTTTGGTCAAATTTTTGCCAAATCTCATTAGATTATTCTGTGTGTGTGTGTGTGTGTGTGTGTGTGTGTGTGTGTTTTTAATTTATCATGTACTGACCTAATGTTCCAATTAGAAGAGGGACAACTCTGCCATTTTCTTGTTTGCTTCTATTGGATAATAATATCTATAAATACACCTGACAAGGCCAGGCCAGCATGGCTCAGTGGTTAAGCATCAACCTATAAACCAGAAGGTCACACAGTTTGATTTCTTGACAGGGCATATGCCTGGTTTCAGGTTCGATCCCTAATAGGGGACATGCGGGAGGCAGCCTGTCAATGATTCTCTCTCATCATTGACCTTTCTATCTCTCTCTCTCCCTCTCCTTTCCTCTCTGAAGTCAATAATAATATTTTTAAATAAATAAATAGTATTTTCTTTTTTTCTATTTCAATAATTTTTTATTTTTTAATTACAGTTGACATACATATTACATTAGTTTCAGATGTATAACCTGTGATTAGACATTTATATAAAGTACAAAGTGTTCACCCTGATAAATCTAGTACCTATCTGACACCATATATAGTTATCACAATACTATTGACTGCTAGAGGCCCGGTGCATGAAATTCATGCATGGGGGGGAGGGAAACGTGTGTCCCTCAGCCCAGTCTGCATGCTCTCCAATATGGGACCCCTCGAGGGATGTCCGACTGCCCATTAGGCCTGATCCTATTGGAATCAGGGACATCCCTCTCACAATCTAGGACTGCTGCTTCCAACTGCTCGCCTGCCTGCCTTCCTGATTACCCCTAATCACTTCTGCCTGCCAGCCTGATCGTCCTCTAACCACTCCCCTACCAGTCTTATTGCCCCTAACTGCCCTCCCCTGCAGGCCTGGTCACCCCCAACTGCCCTTCCCTACAGGCCTGGTCCCCCCTAACTGCTCTCCCATGCAGGCCTGGGTCTTCCCCCCCATCTTCCCTCCCCTGCAGGCTTGATTGCCCCCAACTGTTCTCCCCTGCTGGCCATCTTGTGGCAGCCATCTTGTGTCCACATGGGGGAAGCAATCTTTGACCTCATGGTGGCAGCCATCTTGTGTGTTGGGTGATGGTCAATTTGTATATTACTCTTTTATTAGATAGGATAGTCTTTATGTTGTACTTTACATCCCCATGATTATTTTGTAACTACAAGTTTGTACTTCTTAATCCTTTCACCTTTTTCATCCATTCCTCCAACCCCCATCCCTCTGTTCTTTATATTTATGAGTCTGTTTCTGGTCTGCTTGTTTGTTTGTTTGTTTGTTTGTTTTAGATTCCACAGGCAAGTGAAATCATATGGCATTGTTTTTATCTGTCTGACTTATTTTATTTAGCACAGTACCTAGGTCCATCCATGATGTTGCAGATAGCAAAATTTCATTCTTTTTATGAATAATAAAATGACAATAAATATATATGTATCAATAATTATTTTAAATGTAAATGGATTAAATGTCCCAATCAAAAGACACAGGGTGGCTAAATGGATAAGAAAATAAGATCCTTAGATATGCTGCCTTCCATCCAATGGCCTGACTCACCACCACAAATCATTCGTTATAACTGATAAGCCCACAACGACAAACCATGATCTCCCAATGTCCGAAGCTGACATTGGGATTCACTCCTAGAGCTTTGGATTTGGACAAAAACATATAAAATGACATGTATCTACCATTATAGTATCTCAATGGGTCATTTCACTGTCCTAAAAGTCCTCTGTTTTCTGCCTTCTTATCCCTTTAAAGTATTTTCTATAATTATAATTATCTTCTAGAGTAGATTTTAAAATGCAGAATCATAAGTTGGATTCAAATCACTATTTGAAGTTTCAACATTTTTACAATGTAACATTGTTTCCATAAGAAACAAATTATGTCCCAAAGTCTATAGATGACACAGATTGCTCTCTTATTTTAAACCAGTTTTGCCCTTCCTCCTGGAACAAATAGAAGAATCAGGAGATTCAAAGGGGCCTTTTAGTATAGACAAAGGGATTTCCAAATTTAAAAATATTTTATTGATTTTTTTACAGAGAGGAAGGGAAAGAGGTAGAGAGCTAGAAACATCGATGAGAGAGAAACATCGACCAGCTGCCTCCTGCACACCCCCCACCAGGGATGTGCATGCAACCAAGGTACATGCCCTTGACCGGAATCAAACCCGGGACCCTTCAGTCCGCAGACCGATGCTCTACCACTGAGCCAAACTGGTTTCAGCAGGATCTCCAAATTTAAAAAAGTGGAAATTTTAGACAAAAGGTTACCAGGCTAGAAAATATCTGAGATATCTGGTCTGTTTCTCCATGTACAAGTGGCATCATCCAAGAACCTCTTCTTTGAGGTTCATCACTCCAATTAACACATTAAAGCCCATCGATTTTAGATCCTTTTCCCAATGCTCTATGATTCTGTTCAGATTTTAGCTGCTAAAGCTGAGTGACAGGACTTGGGGTTTATGTACTATTCACCTGTTTATCCAAATGAATATGCTTGAAATGTTTCAAAATCAAGCTTTTTAAGTTAGATTACCACAATAACCACGCTATGGCAACAAAATTTGCCTGCCAATCTCATAAAGTGAGTCCTTCACATAATAAGATATGACTCCTTGCCGAAACCGGTTTGGCTCAGTGGATAGAGCAGTGGCCTGTGGACTCAAGGGTCCCGGGTTTGATTCCGGTCAAGGGCATGTGCCTTGCTTGCAGGCGCGTCCCGGGTGGGGGGTGTGCAAGAGGCAGCTGATTGATGTTTCTGACTTTCTATCCCTCTCTCTTCCTCTCTGTAAAAAATCAATTAAAGAAAAAAAAAAAAAATATATATATATATATATATATATATATATATATATATATATATATATAAAGATATGACTCGTAAGAGTGTACTCTTGTCCCAACTATAATATTGGAAATGACATTTTAGACTCCTGAAATAAAATGTCATTAACTTACAGCCACATTTCAGTGGAACCAGTCACATTTTTAAGGAATCAAAAAATCTCTTTCCATTACAATTCAACCAGAAGGCCTGGCTACCCCAATGTCCCTCTAGCACTGAGAGAATTCCATATTAACCCCTTCCCACAATTCATGCTTATCTTTTTAATAGCAGGTAGATTTATTTGCTTGTTTTTAACTAAAAACATATAATTTAAATAGTCAACTAAAATCACTCAAAATATTCAGCAAATCTCACAGAATACATGTTTTCAATATTCCAGAATGGAGAATTCAGAGAGAAAATATCAAAACTGAAATTCTCCAAAGTTTAGTCATTGTTGATGATGACCACATAAAGCAAAAAAAATCTTCTCTTCTACGAATTATCCTAGTTTAGTGACTTTGAATATTAACTGAAATCTTTAAAAATTGTTTTAAAATTCCATAAATCCCTGTGTTGTTCTATTCCCTATTAGTCCCGGGCCATATCCAAAACCAGAAGAGCTTAAAAATCATTAGGCAGAGTTGAAAAATAGAACCTCAGATCTAAACACCTGCATGTAGTTTTGCTGGATTCGGTTGTTTCTTTAAGGGATGTTGTTGTTTTGTTCTGAGATTTATATTTTTGCAGACACAAGAACACATATTTGGTATTTGGTGTATAGACTGGCTTGAAGAATACCTGGAATTACCTGGACTGAAATAATATTATTATCCTGCCAATAAAAGTGGAAAAGGCTATTTAAAAAATCTAAAATTATTCGCCGAAACCGGTTTGGCTCAATGGATAGAGTGGCGGCTTGGGGACTGAAAGGTCCTGGTTCGATTCCGGTCAAGGGCATGTACCTTGGTTGCGGGCATATCCCCAGTAGGGGGTGTGCAAGAGGCAGCTGATCAATATGACTCTCTCTCATTGATGTTTCTAACTATCTCTCTCCCTTTCTCTCTGTACAAAATCAATAAAATATATTTTTAAAAATAAAAAATTTTAAAATAAAAAATAAAAAATCTAAAATTATTCATTACATTTTTAGAAAATATCTATATTATCTTGGCTTGAGTTTTTAAAACGCCTACGTTATCTATATGAGTCATCTGGACCCGGTTAACGGGGATGAACATTCATCGCTGTACAAATTAGACTTCAGTACAAATAAGACATATATGACATGTATCCATCATTATAGTATCTCAATGGGTCATTTCATTGTCCTAAAAGTCCTCTGCATTCTGCCTTCTTATCCCTTTAAAGCGTTTTCTATAATTAGGATTATCTTCTAGAGTAGATTTTAAAAAGCAGAATCATTAGTGGAAGTGATGGCTAATGGTTGGGTGGTGACGTGCCCCGCAAGACATCGGTGGGGAAGAGAAACACTTCACCCTGAATCCCTCAGATTCTGACCCTGAGCCTGCAGGATGCTGGGAGGGAGGCGGAGGAGGACGTCCTGCGGAAGGAAACGCCAGGCTGGGGCGGGTCACGTGGGTCCACGCAGCTGTCAGAACTCCTCCAAGGGAACCAACAGCTCCCCGCCTCTGGCGAGTCAGCTCCCCGAAAACCAGGCTGTAGAAACTGGGGAAATGGGGAATTAAAACCGAATGTTGAAAAGGAGGATGTTCTTGCTCCGGAAACGCTCCCCATGTGTGTGTGCACGACTCCACTGAGAACCGGCCGTGGGGATTCCCGGAGGGTCCGCCCCTCTGTGCGCAGGACCAAAATAAAGAGAATAATGAGGCGTGTGTATCCTGAGCCCAAAGAGGAGATCCTGCAGCCAGGGGCGCGCTGCCCCCCCCCCCCCAGGCACATGGACAGCCATCTGGGGCGGGAGCGGCGACCCGAGCCCGGCCGGGGTGCGAGCCGGCGGGCACGGGACAGACAGGTCCACCGGGGGACCGCGCGGGGAATCGGCGGCGGCGGGGCGGCGGGACGGACTGCCGGCGCGGGGTCAGGGGCGGCTCCTCCCGGCCCGGCCCCGCCCGACTGACCTGTGACGCTGGCCCGGGTGACGCGCTGCACCACGGCTCTCATGGCGGCGGCGGCGGCTGGGGCGAGCGGGGTCGCAGCTGCTCCTCTCGGCTTCACGGCTCTGCGAGCGGCTCCGCGGCCTGCGCCCTCTGCCGGTGACACTGGGAAGTGCGCCCCACGGCCCAGGAAAAGGCCAGGTTGGGGACGGCTGGCGGGTGTGGGCCACGCCCCCCAGAGGTTGGCCACGCCCACCTGCGGCCTCCCTGTAACCCGGCTGATCCAGGGACAGGACCGCCCCCTTCTCGGTGTGACTCCACCCACCGCTGGGCCCCGCCCTAACCACCTCGGGTCCCCAACCAAAACCCAGGCTCACCTCTGCCCAGACCGGTTTCTGCCCGTTTCCTCTCACGTCCCCAGGCCTAAGAGACATCATTTCTAAATCCCAACTGTGTCCAGGACCCTAATTGTGTGTGTGTGTGTTTTTAAATACATTTTATTGAGTTTTTACAGAGAGAAAGAGAAAGGGATAGAGTTAGAAACATCAATCAGCTGCCTTTTGCACACTCCCTATTAGAGATGTGCCCACAACCAAGGTACATACCCCTGACCGGAATCGAACCTGGGACCTTTCAGTCCACAGGCCGATGCTCTATCCACTGAGCCAAACCGGTTTTGGTCAGAATTCTAATTCTCATTGTGTTCCTTTTTCCTCTTTGCCATCCCTCCGCACAAGTATCCTCCCAAATTGTTTTTCCCTATACTCTGGTTTCTCTTCAGATCGCATAACTCTTTCGCCTTTTACCAAATTGTTTCTCCCCCGTCCTCCTGACTCAGGGGCTTCTTAAAAAGTAGACAGGAGTTGCTGCCCAAAATAGCCATTTAACTATTTAAGTATTCTTTTGACTTAACCCTATCATGGCAATGCAGAGATGTATACTGTAATTTTGTAATAATAATTCTTCTAATTCAAATACTAGCCCATCCCACCCCCAGGTGCAAAAGTGCTTAGAAAGCTGCAAAGGACTACACAAAGGTATCACCCTAACAAATTATTATCACAGATGAAAATGAGTTCCTCTCAACTTGTCTTCTTACAGTCCTCTAATAGCATTGGTGGATGTAGAATATGAGCTTCATGACAAGCTACCCCAAAACATAGCACCTTGGCATACTGAACATTTAAAGCTGGAATCTGAGAAAAACAGAAGCGGGAAAGTCACTCAGACCTTCCCCTGAACCTTTTCTCCTGGAACAGATCGTAAACACCTCATGTGAGAGGTGCCATCCCTATATCTGAAGGAAGAACAAGCAGGCCTTGCTAGGTCTCCCCCAATTTATGACAGCTACCTCATATTCCTTATTCCTCCACAACTGCCCACTCTTCATCAAACTTAGCATAACAATTCTCAGATCTAACTGTCTCTTCACCTCACCGTTTCCTTATGAAGACTCCCATGACCCGTATTGATCGATTCAGTCACATGTAAAACAAATAAATGTATATGCTTTTCTCCTTTTCATCTGTCTTTATCAGTTTAATTTTCAGACCCACCCAGAGACCTTATGAATGTTGAGGGAAACTTTTTCTCCTCCAATAAAAGAAAGCATTCAAATAAAGAACAAGGAAAGTCATTTGGCCAGAAAAGAATACAAATTGGTATGCTCGAATGTTTACACTACACACTAAATTATCTTAACGAAGTGGCCAAAGTTAATCTCATCAGTAATGAGAAACACATCATATGCTCCCTGATATTGCACTGAGAAAGATACAACATCAGTTTTGTGGCATTTCTGCCAAAAATTTGTAATCTGTGTGGGAAGGGAGAAACTTTCCCTTACCCTCAAGGTTCTTTCAGCTGGTCCCGTAGTTGGCAAACTGCGGCTCATGAGCCACATGCAGCTCTTTGGCCCCTTGAGTGTGGCTCTTCCACAAAATACCACGGCCTGGGCGAGTCTATTTTGAAGAAGTGGCGTTAGAAGAAGTTTAAGTTTAAAAAAAATTGGCTCTCAAAAGAAATTTCAATTAAAAAAAAAAGAAAAAGAAATTTCAAACATTGTACTGTTGATATTTGGCTCTGTTGACAAATGAGTTTGCCGACCCCTGAACTGGTCTAATAATAACCAAACTGACATGAGTCAGATTAACAAGAGAAAATAACCAAATTTAATTCACACATATTTATGGGAACCACGCATACATATAAGAAGAGTCAGAGACCCCGCATGCATGACAGGTTCGAAGACAGAAAGGGAGAATGACTGTATAAGACATTCTGAGGTAGCAATGAGGTAAGGTGCTTGGGGCTTCAAAGGGTCATTACAGGGAGAGCACAGCACATTTAGTAACTAATTAGAAGTTTGCCCTGCCCTATAGATAATAGCCTCTAACTATGGGCAACCCCCCAATCCAAATTCTTCTAATGCAGAGGTCGGCAAACTGCAGCTCGAGAGCCACTTTCGGCTCTTTGGTCCCCTGGAGTTTTTAGCAAAGGCAAGCTTAGGAGTACCCTAATTAAGTTAATAACAATGTACCTACCTATATAGTTTAAGTTTAAAAAATTGGCTCTCAAAAGAAATTTCAATCGTTGTACTGTTGATATTTGGCTCTGTTGACTAATGAGTTTGCAGACCACTGTTCTAAGTATTTGCGTGGCAAAAGTTTCTCATGAGCCCACAGCTAAAAGTTGCCTTTAGCTCAAAAACAATCCACATACCACAGATACATGTTGGGATGGCTCTTTCTGAACCTCCACAGTTCCTTCCTGAAACTTCCCTGGAAGTTTCACATTCCAGAAATGGTGTTGATAGTTTTTTGTGGGATATATATATATATATATATATATATATATATATATATATATTTGTGGGATATATATATATATATATTTGTGGGATATATATATATATATATTATTGATTTCAGAGAGAAAGGAAGGGGAGAGAGAAACATTAATGATGAGAGAGATTAACTGATCGGCTGCCTCCTGCATGCCCCCCACCGAGGATTGAGCCCGAAACTTGGACATGTGCCCTTGACTGGAATCAAACACGGGACCTTTCAGTCTGCAGGTCGACAACTCCTTCCACTGAACCAAACGAGCCAGGGCAGCAGTCTCAGTCTTGGGACAGGTTCAGTTCAGTTAAATAGCTGTATCTCATTTCAGGAGGCAGCAATGCCAGTGGGCTCCTAAAATTAAGCCTGTGGTGCAAGGACAGCGCAGGTATTTAATAAAAAGCATCTCTATGGACCCAGAGACATAGAAGCATAGAACAGACTGGAATCTCAGAGGAAAGGCAGGAGTGAGTGGGTGGGAAGAGATCAATCAAAGAACTTGTATGCATATTTGCATAACCCGTAGACATAAAAAAATAGGGTGGTGAAGGCCTGGGGCAACGGGTGGGGGTAGGCTAGAAGGGGTCAATGGGGGGAAAATGGGGACATATGTAATACTTTCAACAGTAAATATTTATTTAAAAAGAATGTATTCTGAGTCAAGAAGTGAGCTGTCAGAACTGTCAGAACAAAAGATGAGATCATCCACATACAGTATTAAAGTGGTGTTTCGGGGGGGGGGGGAGCATCTCTATGGAAACAAACAAACAAAAAAGCAGACTATCACTGAAAATGGTTTGCTCAGTGGATAGAGCGTCGGCCTGCAGACTCAAGAGTCCCAGGTTCGATTCCGGTCAAGGGCATGTACCAACCAAGGTGCATGCCCTTGACCGGCAGGCACATCCCCAGGGGCGAGGGTGCAGGAGGCAGCTGGTCAATGTTTCTTTCTCATGGATGTTTCTAACTCTCTATCCCTCTTCCTTTCTCTCTGTAAAAAAAAAAAAATCAATAAAAATTTTAAAAAAACAGACTATAATCTGTTTCTGAGTTCTGAGGGTAGGCAGTTGAGAAAATGTCTAAATATGTCTGGAATCGTCTTCAGATTAAGTGAGGACAGGTAGTTCCAGGCTGTAGCTTCTCCTGGTCTGCAGAATGGATGTCTCTGGTGATCTTTCCGTGATGAGGGAATGACTGTCTATACATAAGCTGTGGTGATTTCTCTGAACTCTGTTACCAAGTTCTCCCTCCATCTTCAGCTTACATGGTCCTGGGAAAGGGGCAGTTTCAGTCCTCAATGATTCCAAGTCGAAAGATGAAAGAAAAATTAGAAACATTCATTTGGAGAGTCTTAGGCAGATGTTGGAGGGACCTAGGATAATTGAAGATCCAGTCCATTTACAAGAAGGAAACAAAAAACTCAAAAAATAATGAACAACATCAAAATGTAATATCTACAAATGTATATCATAGTTTCTATTGAAACATAATTTTTTACTCTAAGATCATTATTTTTACCAAAGATAGCCAAGTTAAGTTTAATTTATTTGCAAAATAAGTCATTTCAATAAACTTGGCCTGATTATTTGTCTAAGTCCAGCAAGAATAGTAATTAAGCAGAAGGGCTCTTTTATTTATTTATTTATTTATTTATTTATTTATTTATTTATTTTTAACATATTTTATTGATATTTTACAGAGAGGAGGAAGGGAGAGAGAGAGAGAGCTAGAAATGTCGATGAGAGAGAAACATCGACCAGCTGCCTTTGCACACCCCCTACCGGGGATGTGAGAAGGGCTCTTTTAAATCTGCTGTGCTGGCCCTGCTGGTTTGGCTCAGCGTTGGCCTGCGGACTGCAGGGTTCTGGGTTCGATTCCAGTCAAGGGCACATGCCCAGGTTGTGGGCTCGGTCCCCGGTGGGGGGTGTGCAGGAGGCAGCCGATCAGTGATTCTCTCTCATCATTGATGTTTCTATCCTTCTCTCTCCCTTCCTGAAATCAATTAAATCTGCTGTGCTGGAATTTTCCATAAGAAATCTTCAGATTGAACTTAAAAAGGCCTCTTGAGGCTAGAAAAGCCATGGCAAGAACTTGCCATCAGACCTTGCCTGCACTACGTATAGATTTAGGTGAGTTTGTCTTTTCTCAAACTCCTCAAACTATCCTGAGCTTCTGTATCTGCCAAGAAATGACATTCTTTACTCACCTCCTAAGGCTGCTGCTGATTTCTGTAAGCAAAGTACTATGCCAATATTTCAAAGGGTTTTTATTGGCTTCTGTCAGTCAATATTAAAGCTGTCTGATCGTATCTGAGTCTATGCATGTCTCTCTCAAACATGACATTCCAGTCAAATCCTTGATATATAACTGTCTTCTGTTATAAGAACAGATCTTTATTGAACTTATGCAAATAACAATATTGCCATGAAAATGAGAACACTCCTTGAGATTTTCTGAATTCTGGGGGAATCAAGTAAAGAGAAAAGGACACATGTTTCTATTCTGTTTATAAAGGTATAGTTTACCATATTGCTCTAAGTCATGGCTAGCTTTAGAAAATTGTTTTCTTATATTGTATCTGAAAAAATAATCCAGCAATATTTCAAACAAAAAGTTATAAATATTGTAACCATTCTCATCAGTTAATTCAGTCCCATGTAATTAAAATTTCTGCTTGATTCAGTTTTTCCATTAGTTCTCTCAATCTTGCCTGATAATTAAGTGATAGGGTCAGTGATAATTCCAAGTGTTCAGGTCTATCCATCAGCGTTCATTATAATTTATGCTCGGCTGATGTCCACCCATGAGGGAGGGGTCCCAGATTTGTTTTGGATCAGAGCACATGCCTGAGTTGTAAGCTCAATCCCCAGTAGGGGGATTGCAGGGGGCAGCTGATCCATGTCTCTTTCTTATCATTGATATTTCTCTCTCTCTCTCTCTCTCTCTCTCTCTCTCTCTCTCTCTCCCCCTTCCTCTCTCTCTAAAATCAATAATTTTTTAATTCATATGATTTGCTCAGAGATTGTTGAAGGCATACACTAAGTGGGAAATACATTTTCAAACACTGTCTTTCCTACTGTGAGGGTATCAGCCTTTCATTAGGGGAAGGCTTTAACCCATCTGGGAAACATACACCAGGAGCATACTCATAACACATACTAAATAGTAGTTGAATAAAATCTACAGTTTAAAAGTACTATGGTGGCCGAAACTGGTTTGGCTCAATGGATAGAGCGTTGGTCTGAGGACTGAAAGGTCCCAGGTTCGATTCCGGTCAAGGGCATGTACACTGGTTGCGGGCACATCCCTGGTGGGGGGTGTGCAGGAGGCAGCTGGTCAATGTTTCTCTCTCATCGATGTTTCTGGCTCTCTCTCCCTCTCCTTTCCTCTCTGTAAAAAAACAATAAAATATATTTAAAACATAAATAAGTAAATAAAAATAAAAGTACTGTGGTGGTCCTTTTATATTATAGTACTTGGCTCAGTGGAAAGAGCATCAGCCGGTGGACTGTCAGCCTGATTCCAGTCAAGGGCAGTACCTCGGTGGGTAGGGCAAGTGCAGGAGGCAACCAAAGTGTGTCTTTCACATCAATGTGTCTCTGTCATATAGTTGTTTCTCTCTGTCTCTCCCCCTCCCTTCCACTCTCTCTAAAAATTGATGGGAAAATATCCTTGAGTGAGGGCTAACAACAATAGAAAAGGACTACGGTGATGAAGAAATGCAATAAGAGAAAAGGGGGGAAAATGGGGTTTGACAGGAGCCTGAGAGAATCAAGTGGCCCATCTTGGGTTTTCCACAGACTATCCGCTTAATTCACAGCCATTGTTTACCTTTATAATATACCCTGAAAGTTTATCTAAGGGGACCAGATTTTAACATTGGTAAAGCGGGACACCATTGATGGGGGAGAGGGGAGGAGGGGAGGTTCTTGATTAAAAATTTGGTCTATATGCTTTCCCCTGGCTGGCAGCGCGGAGGCCGCACGATGCCCGGAGTTACTGTAAAAGACGTGAACCAGCAGGAGTTCGTCAGAGCTCTAGCAGCCTTCCTCAAAAAGTCCGGAAAGCTTAAAGTCCCCGAATGGGTGGACACTGTGAAGCTGGCCAAGCACAAAGAGCTTGCTCCCTACGATGAGAATTGGTTCTACACACGAGCTGCTTCCACAGCGCGGCACCTGTACCTTCGGGGAGGCGCTGGGGTTGGCTCCATGACCAAGATCTATGGAGGACGACAGAGAAACGGTGTCATGCCCAGCCACTTCAGCAGAGGCTCTAAGAGCGTGGCCCGCAGAGTCCTCCAAGCCCTGGAGGGGCTGAAAATGGTGGAGAAGGATCAGGATGGGGGCCGCAAATTGACACCTCAGGGACAGAGAGATCTGGACAGAATCGCAGGGCAGGTGGCAGCTGCCAACAAGAAGCATTAGAACAAATGCTGGGTTAATAAATTGCCTCGTTCATAAAAAAATAAAAATAAAAAAAAAATAAAAAAAAATAAAAAAATAAATAAAAATTTGGTCTATATGGACCAACAAAAATTTTCATAGAACGCAAAAATAGTATTGTAATATACTTTTTTAAAAATTTCAACATAAGTACAATTTACAAATATAATAAATAAATAAAAATTATGTATAGTTGTGTCACTTTCAAGACCAGAACTAGACTTTTTGCCGCCACCATAAAATATAAATATATGAGTACTGTCTGCTAAATTCAAGAAAAGTTATGTATATTAACTGTTATGTATATGCTGCATTTAGACTTCCTCATGGCAAAGAAGGTTTTTTTTTTTTAAGAAACAAACTCCACAAATCATGAAGCTGTGTAAAAGCTACATACGCCTCCAAAGCTCTGAATTCAGGTCCCAGTTGCTGTCACAAAGGACTGAACGGAATCGCACTCCACCCTTTTTCCAGAGTAAAAGTGCCTTAGCATGTGCTGCAGCCGTCACCACTACAGGCAGCTGGTTTCCAGAGGCTTCCACTGAGCGTCACAATGAAGAGTCCATGTGCTATGAAAAAAAGAAGAAGAAAATGTATGTATTTATGAAATAAATAAATTACCTAAATTATCTGAATAGCTGATTTGTAATGGCACCACTTGTTTAACTAGCTTACTAGCACGCAGTACGATATGTATCGTCTGAGTGACAGTTACAAAATGTTTTCGTCGTTGCCAATCCCAAAAAATGCCATTGTTCATTCTAAGGTGACCAGACCTCCCGATTTTTAACAATTTGTCCCGCGTCCCGCAGCGTTTTAAGACAGTTCCGATTTAAAATTTAAAATTCAAAATCGGGACTGTCTTAGAACGCCGTGGGACGCGGGACAAATCATTGGAAATCGGGACTGTCCCGCCAAAAGCGGGACGCCGTGGTCACCTTAAAATGGTGGTCGAATTCTAACAACTGATCAACAATGCGAACTTTGATAAGCAGTTCTCGACAATTATTTGTTATTATTAAAGTTTAACATTATAAAGTTAACAAAAATAATATAAAACTCACATCCTGGCTAAACAGCCACATGGACGCCGAAAACCGCATATTCCCTCCCCGTTCTCCCGCCGCTCCCTAGCTTGTCGTGCATTCTTTCCAAAAATCGGGACTTTGTTTTCAAACGGCAAATTGTTAAAAATCGGGACTGTCCCACCAAAAGCGAGACTTCTGGTCACTTTCGGTATATCGCCACTTACTTTATAACTAGTAAAAAAACTCCACGGTGAAAATTTGCATATATGTAAATGACGCAACACGGAAAAACTGATACTCAAGAGCAAATTCAAGCTGAAAAGGAGCAACTTAAAATTTTCTTCTACTTATATGTTCTGAAAATGAGGTTACTATTTACAGAATAACCTTTGATAATTTTTATTCAAACACCGAAACTAGCCACCGTCAGTGAAAAAGGAGTGGCTTTTACTGAGGTCTTGTGCTACAAGGCTGCTGGCTAACTCTCTCTCACCCGATTTGGGTATCTCTCTCTCTTCCCAATTTTTTTTTGGGAGGCAACCAAAATTTTTGGTGGCCTTGCTTCGGCAAGGCTTACTTCAGTGCTGGTTTAAGGAAAGAAAAAAAAAGAGCTGAAACCGGCTTGGCTCAAGGGTAAAGCTTTGGGTCTGTGGAGTGGAGGGTCCCAGGTTCAATTCTAGTTGATGTTTTTCTTGATGTTTCTAGCTTGCTTTCTTCCTTTCTCTCTGTAAAATATCAATAAAAAAATATGTTGAAAGCAAGCTGCTTAGCAGTGCTTCGTATGTTAGCCACTGTACTAATTATCAGTGAACCCATCAGCTAGACTAGTGGTGATCAATGACTCATTGTTTCTTCTTTCTCCTCCTTAATAGCTGGATTAGAATGTATATTTCTTTTCTTTTTTTTTTTTTAATTTTAACAAGAGTGTTCCATATAATGATATATGCATAGTTCATGGACAGGGCCAGTAGGTTAGTGAAGATTTGTGATGCTATCAACAATAAAAATAGAGAACATAAACTGATGAACAAAAACAGATGCAGAGACAGAGAATCATCTTTCAGACCGTCAAACCTCAGAGGGAAGGTAGGGGAGGGTGGGGGTAAGAGGGAGAGATCAACCAAAGGACTTGTATGCATGCATGTAAGCCTAACCAATAGATGCAGACACCAGGGGGGTGAGGGCATGAGTTGGGGGTGGGGGTGGGGTGGGGGTGTGGATAAGGGCACATATGTAATACCTTAATCATTAAAAAAAAAGAATATGTATTTTTATTTTTCAAATTCATGTACCAGTGGGGTCCTTCAGCCTGGCCAAAACTGGCTCTCCGACACCCCCAAGGGGTCCTGGATTGCAAGAGGGCACAGGCCAAAGAGACTCCCACTGGTGCATGATTGGTGTGGGGAGGAATGTGAGAAGTTGGCTAGCTAGAGAGGGACCTCAAGAGGGCTTCAGGGCATGTCCTGCCCTCCTAACTCAAGTCTTTTCTTTTCTAATTTTTTTAATTAATTTTTTACAGAGAGGAAAGGAGATAATTAGAAACATCAATTCAGCTGCCTCTTGCACACTCCCCCCTGGGGATGTGCTGACAACCAATTCAGCTGCCTCTTGCACACTCCCCCCTGGGGATGTGCTGTCAATGCATGCCCTTGACTGGAATCGAACACTGGACCCCTCAGTCCGCAGGCCGATGCTCTATCCACTGAACCAAACCGGCCAGGGCCTACTAATCTAAGCTTCTGCCCCCTAGTGGTCAGTGCATGTCATAGCGGTTGAGCAGCCTTAGCATATCATTAGCATATTATACTTTGATTGGTTGAACAGATGAGTAGATGACTGACACTTAGCATATTAAGCTTTTATTATATAGGCTGCTTTGCATGCAACTTTACCAAACTAGAGGCCCAGTGCATGAAATTCGTGCACAGGTAAGGTCCCTGGGCCTGGCCAGTGATCAGGGCTGATTTGTAGGGGCAATCATTGGGGCAATTGAGGGCCCCCCCAAAACCCCTCCCCAGTGGCAACGGCCTTGGTTGGCATGGAGCATGGGGCCAGTGGGCAGCTCCTGCATTGAGCATCTGCCCCCTGGTGGTCAGTAAATGTCATAGTGACCAGTCATTCCTCTGGTTGTTCCACCATGATTTGCATATTATATTAGGCTTTTATTATATAGGATAAGCTAAAGTTGTTTAAATTTTCTTTTGTAAAGAGAGAAAATAAACCTTTTGAGGTGTCCTAAGAAAGGCCCTTCCAGGTCAAGACTCTGCATTTTGAATGTGAAAGGATGTCAAAATATCTCAAAAAGTTTGGACATTTGATTAAATAGGATCAATAAGTTATTATGAAGCAATATTTAATTATCCATTTAACCAAAGTGACAATAAAAAAATTTCAAAGACAAATTCAGTACCTTACAAAATTTTTAGCAAAACTTAGTTCTTTCACACGGACAACAGTGTGGTGACTGGGGGCTGGGGCGATGGGGAACACAAGAGGGTATAGTGGGGTAAGTGGTGATGGACGGAGACGGACTTGGGGTGGTACACATATAATAAAGAGTACAGATGATGTGCTGTGGAATTGTGCACCTGAAGCCCATATAGCTGTGTTAACCTGTGTCATCCCAATAAATCCATTTTTTTTAAAAGCATAGCTCCTGCCTGACTGATGTGGCTCAGTGGTTGAGCGTCAACCTATGAACAAAAGGTCATAGTTCAATTCTCGAATCCCAGTCAGAGCACATGTCCAGGTTGTGGGCTCAATCCCCAGTGGGGGCATGCCGGAGGCAGATGATCAGGGATTCTCTCTCATCACTGATGTTTCTGTCTCCTTCCTCTCTGAAATCAATCAAGATATATTTTTTAAAAAAGGAAAAAGCAAAAGTAGGCAAACCTACATTCAGTAAGATGTTTCAGTACTTTATCTTATTTGGAAATGATCTAGACATTGAATGAATATTCATAATTTAATTTAGCTAGCAAACTTTTAAACTTACCAAATTACCAGACTTGGAAAATCATTTGTAAGTACGCACACCTATGTTGACATAAAAATGTCCAAATTTGTAGAAAACATTTATAAGTTTATTAGATGATCTGTACAGGTAGCTCAGCTGTTTAGAGCATCATCCCGATACACAAAGGTTGTAGGTTTAATCCCCAGTCAGGGATATACAAGAATCAACCAATGAGTGCATAAAGAAGTGAAACAAATCAATGTGTTGTTGTTTTTTTTCTCTCTCTCTTCCTCTTTCTAAAATTAAAACAAAACGAATTTATTTTATCCAGAGGCAGGCAGGTTCAATGAGTGGCTGGCTGCATTCCAGTTCGTGGTGCCAGGCCTTCCTAGGCCTACAACATAACTTGCTTTAATTCTGAGGTATCCAAACACAATTTTTGATAAATACCCCTTAAGTTAAGCCCACTTGTTACTTGCAACCAAGAGACCAGTGCAGCACTCTAGGCCAGGAACCATGCTGTCCCAACTTTGTACTTACTCTGTATCTAGAATATTGGTAGTCACAGTTGGGATTTAATCCATACCTGTTCTGGTCCTAAAGAACAGATGGAGTTTGTCTAATTCATAACATTCTTACCAAGTACCCAATAGTATCCAAAGAGTGGCTATAAATTCCATATTGAATATGGAGATTTGCTGAACCTAACCTTAAATGGATCACTAAAACTGTGTCTGACAACATCCTATATAAGAAAGAGGTGACATGCAAATTGACCCTTATGCCATCACAAGATGGCTACCTACAACCAAGCCGGCAGGGTGGTTAGTGAGGGACGACCAAACGACTGAACAGTAGACTGCATGCGGCAACCAGGCTGGCGTGGGGGCTGTGAGAGGCAACCAGGCCAGCAGGAGGGACAGTTAGGGATGACCAGGCTGGCAGAAGGGGGCAGTTGGAGGCGACCAGGCCAGCAGGGGTGCAGTAAGGGGTGATCAGGCAGGCAGGCAGGTGAGCAATTAGGAGCCAGCAGTTCAGGGCTGTGAGAGGGATATCCAACTGCTGGTTTAGGCCTTATCCCCAGGATCCTGGATTGGAGAGGGTGCAGGCTGGGCTGAGGGGAACCTGCCCCAGGCATGAATTTCATGCACCAGGCCTCTATTAAAATAAATATAAAGGTCATGAACTAGTTTTAGAAAGCAAGCATATGGAAGCTCAATGTAAATTTCACTTCAACCCTTCACTCATGTAAGTATAGAGGAACACTTCTTAAATATGCCAGTTTACTTTTCCTCAAGGAAATATTTACTGCATATTACTAGTGATCATATTTTACATAAAAGGTTAAAGGTATACACTTTTCAAAAACATAAAATTGAAATCAAGGCATCTATCACATTTACATGCTGAAACAAAGTTCTGGTTTTCGGCATCCAGCAGTCAATCATGATTCTGGTCCAGGGCCACCAGTCCATGATTTCCAATAGTTGATGATCTTGTCAGTAATTGGAACAAAATCTTCTTTATATGTGACAATCGTTTCCACGTAAAACCCTTTTGGGGGCTCAGTTACTTCATTCCTTAGGGCTAATTCATCACCTTTGAAAAATATGGAACACCTGAATTATTAACTTTTAAGGAGCAGTCACTAAAATTATTTAGTCAAGGCTTAGAAATAAAACAAAATAAGAATTACTTGACTCAGGGCTTTCATATGTTGAGACATCTTTTTGTCCTACTTCATCACCTTAAAAAAACAAAACACCTGAATTATTAACTCTAACTTAAATAGCAGTCATGTAAACTATTAGTAAAGTCTTATAAATAAAATAATTACCCCCACCCCCATCAGATTCCTGACACCATTTTCTTTCTGTAAAAAAGAAAAATAAATAAAACATGACCACTATAGACATGAAATGGTTACACTTTATACTTGGTTACACTTTATAAATGGTTACACTCCATTACACCGAATGGCGCTAAACCACCGTTACCAAGTTTTGTAGACTATTTAGGGCTGGTGCACGGCGAAGCTGCTCCCGTGACCCCTGCGTGCTCCCGTGACCCCTGCGTGAGCCCCACGGAGGGCTGCGTCTCCGGGGGAAGGTCTCGCGGGAGAGCCGTACCTAGTGACTTGCTCTTTTTGCGGCCGGAGAAAATCAAGGCGCCCAGCACGGTCCAGGTGCCCAAAGCGTACACAGTGGACATGCGCCGGTACCAAGCCGAGGCCTGGTCCGGACGCATGGCGCCGCCAGAGGAAGGAAAGTCTTGTCCAAGGCTCGGGGGCGTAGGCGGGTCTTCCGGTCAGCGCGTCGCCGCCGCCACCGCTTCCTCCAATGGGGAGCGGGCCCCGATGCATCCTGGGGCGTGTAGTCCGGCGAGCCGCGCCCGGGATTGGTCTCAGGTCCAGGAGCTTTGGTTCCGGTGCCTTTCGGCGAACGCAGGACCTTGCATGCCAAGTGACCTACTACATGCGTATGTCAGAGCAAACTTCTCACTTGCAAATGGGTAACGTTTGCTTTAGCAGGCTTCAGAAGGTATTTCCAGAAGGTTAGTTCCATTCCTCCTCCAGCTCGGATTTGCGAGGATAGCGCCAGCCCCCCCGAACCACCCCCACTCACACCCCCAAACTCATCTTCTCTGTTTTCCTTTCTGGAACTCTCCCTGGGTGAGCGTTGAGTTCCCCCACGTCAAAGCTAATCCTTCCACTAGACTCTGGGCCTATTCTTTACTCCTTCCTCTGGAGCCTTTCCCATAAATTATATTCTAATGCTCCACCACCTCCCACAATTTTCATTTATTGATAGTTTTTACCCTTCCCCATACAAACCAGCCCGGATCTCAAAAACAAACCATCTGCCCTGGCTGGGGCGGCATCTCATGCGCAGAAGGAAAGGTTGTCAGGTCCATTCCCTGTGGGTTCCCGGCCGACACCTGCCCGGTTTGTGGGGATTCCCCGGTGGGAGAGTGTGGGAGGCAGTGGATGGATGTTTCCCCCTCTCCCTTCCTCCCTCCCTCTCTAAAAATAAGTAAAAATCTCTTTTGTTAAAAAAAATCCCCTTTAACTGTTCACCTTCGGCTTTTCTCTTATCCATGCATTTCTTCAAAGCATCACCTCCCCCTGCTCCAACAGACCGAACAACTTGAGAGCAAAAGTTCTGTGCTTGCCGTAGTGGACACCCAGTAAATAGACTTACTCCTTTACAGCCTGATCAATCCATTTCTTTTCCTTTTTTTTTTTTTTAAACTTAATATATTTTATTGATTTTTTTACAGGGAGGAAGCAAGAGGGATAGAGAGTTAGAAACATCGACCAGCTGCCTCTTGCACACCTCCCACTGGGGATATGCCCGCAACCAAGGTACATGTCCTTGACCGGAATGGAACCTGGGACCTTTCAGTCCGCAGGCTGATGCTCTATCCACTGAACCCAAACCGGTTAGGGCTGGTCAGTCCATTTCTAAAGCATCTGGTACCACTGGCCCCACCTGCTCCTCTTGTGGCTTCGAAAGCGTTTTCTTCCGTACCTCCGAATCCTCCGGGGCTCTTTCTACTTGGCCCATCCTAGAAATTTTTGATATTTTGACTCTCCCCAAATTTAATTCTAGATCATAGGGTAAAATTTAAAGCCAAAACTATAAACGGGAAAAAAAATCTTTGCCGCCTTGGGATAGTTTTTACGTTTCTTAGCACAAAACATAAACATGGGGAGGAGGGAGGAAGCTGGCGGCGGCGGGTCTGGAGTGAGAGAACGGGAGGAAGGGAGCCAGAGGGCGCGGGGGCGGAGGTGGGGAGGGAACCTTACGACGGCGCGGGAGCCGGGGGGACGGGCGTTCGGGCTCTCGGGGCCAAAAAACCTAAGGCACCCCCTTCCTCCGCCGCCCGCCCAGGCTCGCAGGCCGCCGCCATCCTCAAGGGCTTGCAAGGTCTTCCTTGGGCGGAGCCTGCCCAGCCCGTCACCTACCGGACCCACCGAGGCCTGAGCCCACGGCACCCCCGCCCCGGAATCCGGACACCCCCGCCCCGAAATCCGCTGGCCCCAAGGACAAAATATACAAAAGAAAAAAAAAATACTTCCTAGACAAAATTTTATGAGCAACTTGTTTTAGTAAAAGCCACAGTAAAATTTGCATATCCGTAAGTACAAGTGCAGGACGAGGGGGGGGGGAATGATATTCAAGAGAAAAATCCAAGTGGAAAAAAAAGGGAGTCACTTAAAATTTTCTCCCAATTATATGTTGTGAAGATGAGCCTTCTATTTACAAGAATAAGCTGGACATTTTTAATTCAAGCGCTGAACCTAGCCACTGTCAGCGAAATAGCGGTTGCTTCTACTCAAGAGGTGCGTCACAAGGTTGACAAGTACCTTTCTCTCTCTCCCAATTTTTTGGGGGGGAGGCAATCAAAGTTTTTGGAGGCCTTGTTTGTACAGGGCTTGTTGATATATGGTTAAAAGGAAAGATTATTTTAGTCTGTTTTGGTGCGTGGGTCACCATCCTGCAGGATGGACTGAAGGGTCTCAAAGTGATATTTGAGAGAGTCCTGTCCTGGTTGTCTTTAGTCACAGGTTGAGGAAATCAGTAGGCATTCGAGCACTAAGAATATTTGTTGAAATGTTGCTTCCCTTTTTTATATAGTTGGATTGTCTCTGTAATTGGAATTGTAAGGCTTCTTAAATGTTGTATATACAAATTATTCGTCACCTATTTTGGATATTGTTTCATTTTTTTCTTAAACTTGACTTTTGATAATGCAAATGTCTGATTTCCCAATGTTCTTTTTCAAAATATGTACCTTTTTTTTTTTCTTTTCTTGATTAAGGTATTATATTATTAAGGTATTATCCCTCCATTGCCCCCAACACCCCCTATCCTGGCACTCATGCCCTCACCCCCTGGTGTCTGGGTCTATTGGTTAGACTTATATGCGTGCACACAAGTCCTTTGGTTGATCTCTCCCTCTTACCCCCACCCTCCCCTACCTTCCCTCTGAGGTTTGACGGTCTGTCTGATTGATGATTTTCTGTCTCTAGATCTGTTTTTGTTCATCAGTTTATGTTCTGTGTTTTCCTTGTTGATAGCATCACATATATCTACCCCCCGACACCCCACCCCACCTTTTACACTCCTTTACTCTCCTCTTCCCAGCTCCTCCCCACTCCCTTCTTTAGGCTTTCACTAACCTACTGGCCCTGTCCATGAACTATGCACATATTATTATAAGGAATACTCATTAAAAAAATATAGAAAAATACATATACTATAATCTGGAGAATGAAGAAACATCTATTGTCATTGACTACCTAGCCGTTGAGCCCAGCCCACAGTCTCCACAATAACTCCAACCCTAACACTGTTCCCACGATGTTTGAAACTTGAAAGGAGCTGGAGTTAGGAAACACTTCGCAAGTGTATAATCATAATCCAAAGCTCCCCAATGCTTACTACCAAACTCCTAGAACTAAGAAGTAAAATTTGGTTGAACATCTGTCTAGGGAACTTGTTCTTCCTTTTAACCATGGTAATAAATGAGCCTTGCAGAAGCAAGGCCTCAAAAATTTTGGTTGCCTCCCAAAAAAAATTGGGAAGAGAGAGAGATACCCATATAGGGTGAGAGAGAGTAACTTAGCTACCTTATAGCACATACCTCGGGTAACAGCAACTCCTTTTTCGCTAACGGTGACTACTTTCAGTGCTTGAATAAAATTTTTCAATTTATTCTGTAAATAGTCTCATTTTCAGAACATAAACGTGAAAAAAGTTTTAAACTACTTTTTCAGCTTGAATTTACTTTTGAATATCCCTTTTTCCGTCTAGTGTATTTACATATATGCAAATTTGCTGTGAATTTTACTTCTTCATATATATATATGTAAAAAAGAATATCTTGCTGAAACCGGTTTGGCTCAGTGGATAGAGCATCGGTCTGTGGACTGAAGGATCCCAGGTTCGATTCCGGTAAAGGGTATGAGGTGACTGGTCGAAGTTTGTCTCATCGACTTTTCTAGCTCTCTATCCCTCCCCCTTCTTTTCTGTGGAAAATCAACAAAATATATTTTAAAAAATAATAAAATAAAGCTGTGAAAATCAAATTTCTCAAGAATATATAAAAAAAAGAAAAGAATATCTCCTACACAAGATTATATGAGCACCAAAACCACTTGAAACCAGATTAGCTCAGTGGATAGAGTGCCAGCTTGAGGATTGAAAGGTCCCAGGTTCAGTTCTGGTCAAGGGCATGTACCTTGGTTGTGGGTATATAAGAGGAAGTTGATCAATGACTGATGACTCATTGATGTTTCTGACTTTCTATTTCTTCCTCTGTAAAAAACCAACAAAATACACTTAAAAGAAATTTATTCTTCCTTTTAACCATAGTAATAAATGAGCCTTGCCAAAGCAAGGCCACCAAAAATTTTGGTTGCCTCCCAAAAAAAATTGGGAAGAGAGAGAGATACCCATATAGGGTGAGAGAGAGTGACTTAGCTACCTTATAGCACATACCTCGGGTAACAGCAACTCCTTTTACGCTAACGGTGACTACTTTCAGTGCTTGAATAAAATTTTTCAATTCATTCAATAAATAGTCTCATTTTCAGAACATAACCGTGGAAAAAATTTTAAACTACTTTTTCAGCTTGAATTTACTCTTGAATATCCCTTTTTCCGTCTAGTGTATTTACATATATGCAAATTTACTTTGGATTTTACTTGTTCATATATATATATATATGTAAAAAAGAATATCTCCTACACAAGATTTAATGAGCAACGAAACCGGTTTACTCAGTGGATAGAGCACCGGCCTGCAGACTCAAGGGTCCCAGGTTCGATTCTGCTCAAGGGCATGTAACTTGGTTGCGGGCACATCCCCAGTAGGAGGTGTGCAAGAGGCAGCTGATCGTTTCTCTCTCATTGATGTTTCTAACTCTCTATTCCTCTCCCTTCCTCTCTGTAAAAAAATCAATAAAATATATATATTTTTAAAATTTTATGAGCTACTTGTTCTCACAAATATATGTATGTATGTGGCTGAGAGCCAGAACCACCTGTCCCCAAGGCTCCCAGCAATCCCACTCTGGCCCTCGCACTCCCTTCACTCACTCACCCTCACTCCAGACCTGCGGTCCGTGATTCCTATAAATGGCCAACAAGCACAGGGACCTCCTAGTCACCACAGAAATGTAAATTAAAACCACAACTAGACATCATTACACACCTATCAGAATCACTGAAAATTAGACTGAGAACTCCCAGAGTTGTAAGGATTTGGAGCAATCAGAGCTCTTAGTGGTGGGAACATAAAATGTCACAACCTCTTTGCAATACTGTCAGTTTTTCTCTTTTTAATTCATCTTAGAGAAACATCAATGTGAGAGTGAAATATCCCCGTGCCCCGACGTGTGTGCCTGAACAAGAGCCCATGCCCTTTCAGTGTAAGGGACACCCCCTGGGCTTGCCTTTTTTTTTTTTTTTTTTTTTTTAATCTTTTATAATTTTGTTGTGGGTTTGTGATTTTGTTTGTTTTAGAATTTTAATGGACTTTTAGAGAGAGAGAGGAAGAAACACCTTTTGGCTACCTAGTACACACCCCCTACCCAGATCTGAGCCCACAACCCAGGCTGTACCCTGACCAGGAATCGAACCAGGAACCTTTTGGTGCACCTGATTTTGCCCAACCAACTTGGTAGCACAGGCCAGGATAATAATGACCATTTCTTAAAAAGTTGAACTACACCTATCATGCACAACTCAGACATTCCATTTCTATTTACTCCCCCAGTGCGCCCCCCCCCCCTGTTCACACAGCACATGGACACAGAGCTTTAGTAATAAGAGACAAAAATGAGAACTGTCCATCAAATAGTGAATGGATAAATGAAATGTAGTATACCACTCGCCAATGAAAAGGAACTACTGCCCTAGCCAGTTGGCTCAATGAATAGAGCACAGCCTGGGACTGAAGGGTCCGGGTTCCATGCCCAGGTTACCGTTCGTTCCCCAGTATGGGGGAGGCAGCCAATCAGTGATTCTCTCATCATTGATGTTCTATCTCTCCCTCTCCCTTCCTCTCTGAAATCAATGTTTATTTAAAAAGGAATTACTGCCGAAACTGGTTTGGCTCAGTGGTAGAGTGGTAGATCTCTCTCATTGATATTTCTCTCTCCCTCTCTCTTCCTCTCTGTAGGAAATCAATAAAATATATTATAAATAAATATAAATGAAATGTATAATTCGGTAAATTTTGACAATACTGTGTACACTCATGAAACCGCCACCACCAACTTAAAGGAACATTTCCATTGTCTCCATGTTTTCTCAGGCCCCATTTTTAGTTCTTTCTTTAACCATAGGGAGCCACTGGTCAGCTTTCTCTCACTACAGATTAATTTGCTTCTAGAATTATATGTCTGGTTTCTCTTGTGTCTGGCTTTCACATGGCATAATCCATTTTAGAGTCATCCAGATTTTTCATGTAACAGTAATTCCCTTTTTTATTTTTTTATTTTAAAATATATTTTATTGATTTTTTACAGAGAGGAAGGGAGAGAGATAGAGAGCCAGAAACATCGATGAGAAACATCGACCAGCTGCCTCCTGCACACCCCCCACCGGGGATGTGCCCGCAACCAACGTACATGCCCTTAATCGGAATCGAACCCGGGACCCTTGAGTCCGCAGGCTGACACTCTATCCACTGAGCCAAACAGGTTTCGGCCGAATTATACATTTTATATGGGTGTAGTTTATTGCATGTAAATTATACCTCAATAAAGTTGTTAAAAACAAAACAGAAGAATCAATATTCTGTTCCAAGCTTCCTTTTTCTTCTCATCCGAGCAACTTTACCCCACCCAAGTTATTTACTTCACGTTAATGACCCTCAAAGCCACTTAGTCCTCCTACAAGCAAATCCATATTAATTACTGCCATCCTGCTGTGCACTTTCAGTTATAGCTCACAATGTCGAAGATTAAATGTATCAGTGCCACCCCCTCCAGGAAAGACACCTTTCCTTCCTTTTCTGCAAATCAGAGAATGATCACCTAAGCCAGAAACCTGAACTCACCCTCTTGCCTACACATCCCATCTGTAACCTGTCTAAACACATTCATACCTCTCTTCAGACCACACTGGATCCCAGACTCCTCCCATCTATCCTGTCACTTTTCCAGAGTTTTAAAAACTTATTAACTGATCATTTCATACTCTAAGACAGTGGTCGGCAAACTCAGTCAACAGAGCCAAATATCAACAGTACGATTGAAATTTCTGAGAGCCAAATTTTTTAAACTTAAACTTCTCCTAACACCACTTCTTCAAAATAGACTGGCCCAGGCCGTGGTATTTTGTGGAAGAGCCACACTCAAGGGGCCAAAGAGCTACATGTGGCTCGCGAGCCACAGTTTGCTGACCATGGCTCTAAGCTAAATCAGAGGCTTTCTTTGCCTTGAGATGGAGTTCAGAGTCCTTGTCCCCCTCTTGGGATGGCTGCTCTTCATAGAACACTAACCTCTAACCTTCACGTTCAACCTGGAAATAGTCACATCTTCTACATTAGGCCACTCAGTAGTGTCCCTTCTGCCCCAGCACTGCAAATCATTTTCACCTGGAGTGAGCTGTCACATTCTTCTGTTGATTTGAAACAGAAAGGCCCAAGGAGGAAGTATCTTTTTACAAAAAATATATATTTTTATTGACTTCAGAGAGGGAGAGGGAAACATCAGCGATGAAAGAGAACCATTAATTGGTTACCTCCTGCACGCCCCCCCACCCCCCAACTGGGGACCAAGTCTGAACCCAGGCATGTGTCCCTACGTAGAATCCAATCTGGGACCCTTCAGTCTGCAGGTTGATGCTCTATCTACTGAGCCAAATGGGCTAGGGCCCAAGGAGGAAGTTTCAGCCTTCGTCTGTATACACAGTTTTATGTACTCTTTCAGATGATGTAACTCAATTAAAAATTATATCCAAAAGGTAAGAAAAGTATCCTACGGAAAAGTTACAGAAAATAAAAACTCTTGGCATTTAAATGTAACTGTTTAACAACCGTAAGACGGAAAACCCAAGAATGCAGAGCAGAGGCAAAAAGACAGTATGTACCTACAAATTCAAAAGACAGAACATCAGAACCAATCCAATTGGTAATAATCCAATTAATATGAGTTCCCAGCTTTACTTTTCTACATAGCACTCATTCTAATACACTATGTAATATACTTCTAAAGTTTAATTGTTGGTCTTCCCTCACTAGAACATAAGCTCCATAAGGGCAGGAATTTTTGTCTTATTGGTTACCTTCCCAGTGCCTGGAAGACTATTCCATACATAGCAAATACATAAGAATTACTTGTTGCATCAATTAGTCCAAAATTCTGAAAGATAAATTTATTTGGGGTTTAGAATTTTACAGTCAGCAAAGCTGTCAAGTATGAAGACAGAATGATTCATTGAATTATCTTCCATCTACTTTTTTTAAGGAAAAATTATATTAAATGGGAAAATGACTTAGAAAAAGAACCCAAGAGTCCAAACAAAAAGGAATTCCTGTATGATAGCTGTCATAGCAATTGGCCTATGTTTAAAGGGAACATCAATAACCTCTAATACTCCATTTAGTAAAATATGAAGCTGGAATTCCTCAACAGAGAACAAAATCTTCTTTCAAAGAACAAAAATTATAAAATCTACGGAAAAGAATAGCAAATATAAGATGACATCCTTTATTCAACTCGAGTCAGGTGATTTTTTAAAATTATTTTTTAAAATATATTTTATTGAGTTTTTATAGAGAGGAAAAGAGAGGGATAGAAAGCTAGAAACACTGATGAGAGAGAAACATCAATCATGCCCTTGACCAGAATCGAACCAGTTTTGGCGAGTCAGGTGATTTTTTAAAAATTAAATTCAAAATATCGTGGCATGTGGGGATGGCTTCTGTTTTGGATGTGTGGCAGGTAACTGGTTAAAAGCAGAACCTGTTCAAGTTATTTTACTTACGCCAAGAAAATAGTGTTGTCACTCTATTAGAGCCACTCCTTATGTCTACCTAGGCTGGACTGTTTACATGGAATGTTTGAGTTAGGGACAGTGCCACTCTAGACCAATCTACCTCAACAAAGTTTCCCTTATTTCAAACTTTTTCTTTGTCTGTTAACAGACAGTAAATGAGGATTAAGTATAGGAAACACCTTTTGGGCCTGTCACTTAAAAAAATACACAGACATCAGGAAATCAAATTTGTATTAGCATTATTTTAGCCAGTGCTTCCTTCATTCAAATGTATTTCCCTTTCTGACCATTATGGTTTTCACCAAAACAGGTGGCCAAAATACATTACTTTTTATTTTTAATTAAAAAAAATATTTTTATTGAATTTTTAAAGACAAGAAGGGAGAAGGGTAGAGAGCTAGAAACGTCGATGAGAGAGAATCATCGACCAGCTGCCTCTTGTACACCCCCCACCAGGAATGCGCCTGCAACCAAGGTACATGCTCTTGACCGGAATCGAACCCGGGACCTTTCAGTCCGCAGGTCGACGCTCTACCACTGAGCCAAACCGGTTTCTGCTACTTTTGATTTTATATAGACTGTAAAGTTAGAATAGAAAAAGCATATAAACATTTATAAGTACCAAAACATGTATGAAGTTACAATTTTTTTAATGCAAGAGGCACAGATAAGAAATACAAATAAATTATAAAGAGTTACATACAACACTTCCTTTGATTATTTATTTAAATCCACAAAAAAAGTAAAAGGAATGCTATTAAGCTTTTATAAACAACAATGAACACAAGTGACAGTGTTTTCTTTAATTTCCAGCTCATGTGCTCAGCTTAAGAGGCACTAGAGACAGCCAGCTTCTTCAAATGATCCATGAATACCTGCAAGCTAACGTCGTCGGTTAGGATGGGTGCTCCCGTTTCCTGAAATTTAATGATAGAGGTTAATTGATAGGTATCTTGAAAACTATTTAGATTCATGAATTAAGGAATCAGAACATTCACAAAAGTTGTCCAACTCTGAACATTTATAAGTGCTGTCCCCTTTGCTATGTGAACTCCCGTCAAACCCCATCCTTTGCCTAATGCATTCAAATGAAGCATCGATTCCTCACAAAACCCTCCCTGACCCACTAAGCTCATAAGAAAGGCATAAATGGCTGGAATAATTAGATAAAGAAGGAACCAGAGGCTGAAAAGAACAAATGGTGAGCATTTGTAGATGCTTTTGCTCTGCCCTATTAGAAAAAAGAAGGGGAGGAAGGGAGCCGGGAGGGTGGGGGTAGGGGAGACTAAAAAGAAAATGAAAAGAAAAGAGAAGGGAAGAGAGGGAGGACTTGGCGCAATGCTGCTGGTCTGTGAGAGCCAAAATGGAGGCCACACTATGGTGTACTGTCTTCGGGCCTGAACCATTCATATTATGCTGTGTATTGCAGAAAGGGATCCACACTGGGTAGCCACCCCCAAACCCCAATCTATGTTCAAAGTTTCCCCCCCAACAAATTATCCAAGTTATTCTGTCTCTGTGTCAAAAAGAATCCAATTTGTAATTAGTTTTTTTTTTTTTTTTTTTTTTTTTTTTTTTTTTTGTGTGTGTGTGTGTGTGTGTTTTTTTAAGTAGCCAGGCTACTTCCCCAAATACCTGACAATTTCTTACCTGTCCCCAAGCATATAGGTTATTGTGTGTCTGAGACGGGTTCACTTTGGACAATAGGAAGCGAGCCTTTAAAAAAAAAAAAAAATAAGATTTAAAAATTAAAGTGGCATTAATATTAGTATACTAGGGGGGGAAAGTTTTACATTTCTTTTGTTACTGCACAGGAGTCCATTTCTTTAGCTTAAGGCCAGTAGCTGCTGATTTATCAGGGTTCCAGAAACACAAAACGTATTTTATTCTGGCAATCCTCTACTTTTACACTAACATATTCTGACCACTCCTTTAAAAAGAAGTCATTATTGGAAGTTTATCTGCATGTCAATTTATGTCACCACATAAAATATTAACCATGCTATTTGAATTTATAGCCATAAAAATATATCATAAAATTAACTGAATACCAAAACCAACCTGACTGCCTCCATGCTCTGTGTTAATGTAACGTGGCATTGGGAAGCGTGCTTGCAGAATTTCTTGAGCGTCATCTACTGGTGCCTGCAGAAGGTGTTTGAAGTTTTCATATTCAGGCATGTCCTGGTACCCAGCTTTACGCCACTGGGCGATGGTCTACATCAAAACAAACCAACCAAAATTACTGTGGAAACACTAAACCAACAGTCTTCTTTGACACTTCTGACACTCTAATACCACTTCTCCACCCCCAAATTTGCTTCCAGTGAAGAAGCCTTACATCAAGAATGACAAGTTTTGCCCAGCCAGCATAGCTCAGTGGTTAAGTATTGACCTGTGAACCAGGAGGTCATGGTTTGATCCCCGGTTAGGGCACATGCCCAGGTTGCAGTCTTGATCCCCAGTATGGGGTGTTCAGGAGGCAGCCAATCAATGATTCTCTCATCAGTGATGCTCTATCTCTCTCTCCCTCTCTGAAATCATTAAAAAAAAAATATATATATATATATATATTTTTTTTTGGGGGGGGGGGAATAAGTTTTTGCCCTGCTGATGTGGCTCAATGGTTAAGCACCGACCTAAGCCAGCAGGTGAACATCCCCCAGGGGGTCCTGGATGCGAGAGGGCGCAGGCTGAGCTGAGGGACACCACCACCTTCCTTCCCCATGCTCCCAGTGCACGAATGTTGTGCACCAGGCATCTAGTATTTATAAATAAGCTGAAGTGCTTTCACATGTGAACTGTTAAACTGTTAATCTAATATCAAAAAGAGGATTCTCTTTAGATGCTTCCTTTTGCAGCCTCTTTTCCCTTCTGAGAGTTTTCAATACTATTTTCTAGGTCTTAATTTTTTGACTGACTGGTGGCATGAAGGAAATTACCATAAGCTACCTTGGGCCATAAGAACACCATCTACCAGCAGACTCAGAGCTTTGGAAGGTGAGAATGATGTCACATTGCCTTTGACATTAGAACTTACAAACAGAAGGTGTGCAATAAATGTGTGAACTTTTTGTTTTTAAAGGAAGCAGTGGGAAAGGCAGCTGGTCACAAACAGCCTTTGGTTTAGTCCTGTGGTTGGCAAACAGGCTCATGAGCCACATGTGGCTCTTTGAACCCTTGAGTGTGGCTCTTCCACAAAATACCACGGCCTGAGGGAATCTATTTTGAAGAAGTGGTGTTAGAAGAAGTTTTAAGTTTAAAAAATTTGGCTCTCAAAAGAAATTTCCATCGTTGTACTGTTGACATTTGGCTCTGTTGACTAATGAGTTGACCACTGGTCTAGGACCATTACTGATGGCTTACCATGTGTGACTAAGTGGCTGGCAAACTGGGGGTTAATAATGCTGAAAAAGTTTGAAGTTATAATGCTCATTAGTATTAGAAAATAAATTCTAAGTTATAAACAGAATTCTGAAACACAATTTGTATCTTTTCAGGATATCTGAAATCACTTCTAATGTATAGACACTAGGAAGTCAAGTCAACCTCCAAGGCAACTAACTATAGGTAAAGAGTGCACAATAGAAGAAAAAGAATATCTCCCTGAATATAATGCTTAGTTAAAGAATTTTCGTTAGAGGAACCATTCCCGCTCTTAGGGAATGAGCCACTTTCAGGAAGAAATGGACTGCCCTAAAAGCCTTCCATAATCCTCCTAGAGGCCCACAGGCCCAGCCTAAGGTTCACTGCGCCACGTTATCGCAAATAAAAACTTCAGTCCCGAACACGTGTTTACTACTAACTCTAACATAACTCTGAAAGGGTAATAGTGCATATAAGTTTAATGAGGAAAAGAACTGATCTTGCCTGACAACTCAGAAAGTAATAACTTATGGTGATTTGAAAGGATCACTTACAGCAAATGTTATTGAAATTACTAATATACAAATGCCCCAAGGACCTGAAAAGAGATTTTATTCACTAGAATAAAAGCCACTGTACTCATTATAATAAACTGTGGGTTTCTTAAGTCCAGATTCTTGTTGCAAATGCATAAAAACCTAAATTAATAAGTAAAAACAATAGTAAGAAATTAGAATATCATCTTACCTCACCAAGATAAATGACAATTTGGAAGAAAGTATCCATCAGCAAAATTCTGTCAGCTAGAATGCTGCTGCTGTCCAACAGTACTGGCTTAAAGAAAAAGGAGAGAGATGACATTGGTTTTCCCTGCTCCCCACGTGGCCAAAACAGCAACCACGGGCAGCAGGTGCGGTGGCTCGCCCCTTCTTGTCATCCCCACTTTCTGCTCCCTGACTTAGCAGTTCTCAGTTTCAACTCCGTGAAAGAAAGAAGCTCCAAATAACCCCTCATCAGTTAGGAAGGGAGATTAGTGACATCTTTTGCTCTAGGAACCAAAAGTTATTCCAAACATTCTGTTTCATGCTGAAAAAAGATTTTATCTATCAGAGACACATTCTATCAAACCCAGTACAACTGCAGATGACACACAGGGATGGCTTTATGAAAAAGTACAGCTTTTAATACAAGTTTGAAAAGTTTACTGCAAAATGTATTTTTTTATGATTTTCATTTCAGTAATAAAAGTAGCTTATACTTATTAAAGAAAATTTGAACCCAGTGACAATATTGATAGTTTGGTTTATTTCCATATAGTTTTTAAATCTTGCAGAATTTTTAGAAAGCATAATTTAGAAAATTTCCTATCTTAATTTTTTTCATGTATCGTTTTTAACATAAGGATGTATCTCTTGTATTATGTTACATAAACTGTGAATATTTCTTATTTTTTTCCTACTATTGAGCATTTGGATTGCTTTAAATTTTCTTTTCTAATAGTTCATTTACTATTTCTTTGAACGAAACATTTTCTATATATAGGAATATATTCTTCAGACAGAATACAAGACATGGAATTACTGGGTTAAAGTATCTGAACACAATGAAAAAACTACCTAACCATTTTTTAAGTTTTTCACTTGTAATCCTGCCTTCCACAAATAGCTTTACACACCTATGACTTTTTCATTCATATATATATATATTTAAGACTCGAAAAGAATAATGTTTAACTACTATAAAAACTCAAAAGTTTTCTTTCTTTAGTTTTGCTCTATGAATAAATTTGCTAGAAAAAAAAATACAGTAAAACCACAATACAGTAGATTAATTCAGGCAAGGGGGTGTCTGCCCGACGTGGCTCACAGATTGAACGTTGACCCAGGAACCAAGAGGTTGCTGGTTTGATCCCCGTCAGGGCACAAGCCCGGTTTCAGGCTTGATCCCCAGTGGGGGGCATGCAGGAAGCAGCTGATTGATGATGCTCCTTTCTCGTTGATCTTCCTATCTCTCTATCATTCTCCCTTCCTTTCTAAAAATCAGTATTTTTAAAAAAAGCCAAAAGCCCATTATATAATAAAATGTGTTTTCCAAATGTGAATGTTTAAAAATGGACAAATTAATTCGTGTATCTGTTTTTACTTATGTAGACATATTTGTGGAATTAAAATTAATTATGTATGAAAAATTTAATTTCACAGAAAAGTTTTCTATATATTACAGTAATTTTAAATTTATACTGAATAAGTCTAGTAGGTGCGTGCATTCACCAATTACCAAGAGTAAGCAAAAGCACACGTCTGGGGCATTACTTAGTTCAAGTACATCACTAGCACTGTAGGTGGAAAAAATGCTGTAGATGGAAAAAAAGTGCTGTAGATGGAAAAAAAAATCCAAGAGAAACCAAGATGGCGGCATAGGTAAAGGCCTAACTGCAGCTTCACACAATAATTTCAAAAAATACAACTAAAATATAAAGTGGACATTATCTAGAACAAAGTTGACTGATGAAATTCTACAACAAGAAGGAAAGAGAAAACCAGAAGGAAAATCAGAGGATCTGTAAAAGCCTAAGGTACGGAGACACGTTGCATGCATGGAGAGGACGGAGCCAGAGAGGAGGGGCAGCTGAGTGCCTGGCTGGTGTTCCCTAGTAGGAAGGAGATCAAAGCTCCGGACTGTGCTGAACCCCAGTTCTGACAGCACTGAACCCCAGTTCTGAGCGAGACCCTGGGGACCCAGACACATACAGAGGAAATCTGGGCTGTTAGGCGGAAGCTCAGGGGAGCGGTGAAAGGCAGAACCCCAGAGTTGCATACATTGCGCGCAGAGGACTGACTGTTGACTGTGCTGCTAGATTGCCCTAGTGGGAAGGAGACAAAAGCTCCAGACGTGCTGAACCCCAGTTCCGACTGCACTGAATCCCAGTTCTGGGCAAGACCCTCAGGCCCCAGGCTCATACAGAGGGAATCAGGGCTATAAGGCAGAAGCTCAGGGAAGCGGCGAAAGGAAGAGCCCCTGAGTCACGCATATTTCGCGCAGAGGACTGACTGTTGATTGAGCCGCAGGATTGCCCTAGCAGGAAGGAGACATAAGCTCCAGACTGCTCTTAACCCCACTTCCAACTGCACAGAAACCCAGCTGCGTGCTCGTTGGAGGAGAGACTAGATTGTCTGGTAGCGGGTGAAACTCTAGGGCACCTTTCTCTGAGAGGTGCTTGCAGCAAGTACCAAAGGACACAGGAACACTGAGACTCAGGAACCTCATAGGGCAAGGCTAACTGGAAGCCAAGGCTGTAGGCTCCACCCTGAAACTCTGTCCCATCCAAGCTGAGCACAGAGGCTCTTCCAGTTTTCCAAGTCTAGTCGAATAAGGCTGTCTCTTGGCATAGATACAGTTGATCCTCCCACCCTACCAACTCAGGGAAGCAGCAAAAATGCCGAGACAAGGAAACAGATCACAAACGAAAGAAATGGAGGACAAAAAGCGACTGGATATAGAGTTCAAAACCACACTTATAAAGTTTTTTAAGAATCTCCTAGAAAAGGCCGATAAAATAAAGAAAACCTATGAAGATATGAAAAAGGATCAACTAGAAATAATAAAGGATCAATTAGAAATAATAAGGGATCAACAAGAAATAAAGAATACATTCTCTGAAATAAAAAATATTATACAGAGTCCTAAAAACAGAATGGAAGATTACAAGAATCAAGTCAAAGACTTGGAACACAAAGAGGCAGAGGACACTCCTCCACAAAAGCAAGAAGACACGAGAATCCAGAAAGTTGAAGATAGTCTAAGAAACCTCTGGGACAACTTCAAGCGAACCAACATCAGAATAATGGGGGTCCCAGAAGATGAGAAAGAGCAAGATACCGAAAACATATTGAAAGAAATAGTGACAGAAAACTTCCCCCACCTGGTGAAAGAAATAGACTTACAAGTCCAGGAAGCGCACAGAACCCCAAACAAAAGGAATCCAAAGAGGACCACACCAAAACACATCATAATTAAAATTCCAAGAGCAAAAGACAAAGAGAGAATATTAAAAGCAGCAAGAGCAAAGCAGGTAGTTACCTATAAAGAAGCACCCATACGACTGTCAGCTGATTTCTCAACAGAAACCATGCAGGCCAGACGGGAATGGCAAGAAATATTCAAGGTGATGAATAGCAAGAACCTACAGCCAAAAATACTCTACCCAGCAAAGCTATCACTGAGAATCGAAGGCCAGATAAAGAACTTCACAAATAAAAAAAAGCTAAAGGAGTTTATCACCGCCAAACCAGAATTATATGAATTGCTGAAGGGGGTTCTTTAGGAAGAGGAGGAAAATAAAGATAAAAAGTATGAACAACAAATATGTAAACTATCAACAAGTGAATCTAAAAACCAAGGGAATTAAAAAACCTGATGAACAATATTAAGTGTTGAATATAATAGAATCAGAGGTACGGAAAGGGAGTGGACTGACAATTCTCGGGGAAAAGAGAGGGGGGTGCAAGAAGAGACTGAACAAAAACTGAGTACCTATGGATGAGGACAATGGGAGTTGGGGAAAGGGCAGAGGGTGGGATGGGAACATGGTGGAGGGGGAAAAAAATGAGGAACTTTTGTAATAATATTAACAATAAAGATTTATTAAAAAAAAAAAGTGCTGTAGAAAGTCACACCATGTGACAAAAGAACCAATTACCGTAAACAGTGTACTATGATCACATGCTAATCATTCCCTGAAAGCTGTTTATAAGCTGTGATACCTGAATTTAAATATGTACACTATAGCTCTAGATATATAATATTTATTTATGTCAGTGAAATTACTATAATAGTGTTTATTCCAACATATGACCTATTGCTAAAATTTGTTAAAAATAACAGTGAATTAATAACCAAAAAATAACCTGGTAATATAATTATAAGCAAATCTTAGTTAAAAGCATTTTAAAATGAACTGGGAGAAAGGCATTCACATAAAACCTTACCTCTGGTGGTCCATGGAACGAATAGGAGTAGAGAATGGGCTGGATCATGATGAGGGACTGGGTCAGATCCTGTCTGGCAAAATGGTGTCTGTAGTATGACGACTCATCAGGACTGTTGTTAAACACTTGAAGAAATGGAGATCTTCTAAGATGGAACATGAACTGCATTCACAAAGAAAAAGACAAACCATAGAGCTGTAATAGATACCCAAAAGAGTAGACTTGCTTTAGGTCCCTAAAGCAGAAGAACCCAGACTTTAATGCTGGTTCCAGGGGCTGCGGGAAGAAGGAAATAGAAAGTTGTTGAACGGATACAGCATTTTAGTTTTTGCAAGATGATAAGTCTATAGATTTGTTGCACAGCAATATGAATATGCCTAATACTGAACAGTACATTTAAAATTGGTTAAGATGGTAAATTTTATGTGTTTTTTACAATTAGAAAATTTTTAAAAAGTATTTTTAAAGAGTAGGGGAAGCCTCTGGGTGTGTCAAAGGTTCCACATGAAATGGGCAAGATAAAGCATTTATTTCTGGAGTCACTGAGTTGGGTTGCAGAGGCAGAAAGTTTGCTGTCAAAGGGCTCACTGCCCAGTGGGGAAAAGGCACATTTGGGGCAGCATGTTTTAAGCCCCTGTACAGGCAAGTACTGCTACAGTGGGATGGGGCTGGAGGTTCAGCAGGAGATTTACCACAGCCACTGGGTCTGAGAGAGGTTCCTGAGGAGGCCAGGGGGTTTGGGGAGAGGGGACTCCAGGCACAGTAACAGCAGATGAGAGGTTAGAACTCAGACCCAGGCTAGTATGTACAGTGAGGTATGTAAAGAAGAGAGGGACAAAATAATGATGCTCGAGAGGTATGTGCTTTAGCCTGAGAATTAGAAAGTGGAGGTCAGACTTTTAACTCACTCTGAAGAGTTACCAGAATATGGAAATCAGTTGCCTTGAGAAATATAAAGCTTCCTGAGACTCCATATATTGAAGCATCGTTCCTAAATGATTATCACAGCTGACATTCCATGCGTCCTATGTGCAAGGCATAAAGCACTTGACAAGAATTATCCAATTCTCCCAATAAGCCCAGGAGGTAGGTTCTCTTACCATCCCTAGTTTACACATCAGGAAACCAAGGGGCAGGTAGGCAACTTGCCCAAGGCCACCACTACTAAGTGGCAGAACCAGACTCTTATTCAGACTGTTGGCTTCAGTGGCTGGGCTCTTGACCTCTATCTTAGATGCCCCAACAGAGGGGATCTTAAAACCAACTTATTCAGTGGTTTCCAAACCATGCTCCTGAGTTTTAGCAAAACCACAAGGCCCCAGGAGTGAGGTGGTGGAGTACTGTGGTGGGACCCAGTGGGTGGGGTGGTGCCGGGCAAAACTAGAGCAGCACCCAAGTCTGTCCGCTTATGTACTGGCTTTTAAGAGAGTCCTCTGGAAGCAAGGGTTCCACAGCTGTACAAAAACTCCAGACCAACTCGTTCCCTTCAACACGTTAAGCGCCCTGTCAGTCACCGGTGATTGACACTGTACTTTCTGTCCAGAAGACAAAACAGGCTGGGCACTTAACGTGCTAAAGAGGAAACCAGCATTCACAGGGGTCCGGGACCTCATCCAAGATCAGCAGCAGCAGAGCCAGTGCTGGAACTTGGCCCTGATTCTGGCTCTTTCTACAACACTACTCAGCCTCAACCGCTCGGGCATAGGCCGGAGAAGAGGCACACATCAGGTACCACACAGCCCTACCCTGGGCCAGGGGTCCAGTGAGGTGACCTCTGAGCTCCCTTTTAACCCTAAGAGTCAAAACTATACAAGTTCAAGAATGAAACCTGTGTCCACTATCCAAAGCAAAAAGTAATTGAAAGGATAATGCAAATTTGCATATATAGGTCTACTTTTTTCAAATTTATTTCTCATTAAGGTGCCTCTGAGGGAAGATGAAATAAAGTTGGTTTTTCTTCCAGTGCTAGAAAAGGTGCACCAGCAAGGAGCCCAACCTGAAAGGCACAGGCCCCAGCTGTGAAGACACGGGTTCACGTTTACAAAGCATTAAACACTAGGCTGGCCTCAGCTCATGTAATCCTCAGAGCCACCCACTGAACTAAGCTCTACTTTCCTCATTTAAACATGAGGGTGAAGGTTCAGAAAAGGTAAATGTCCAGATCTCTGACAACTTCAGGTTTCCCCCCAATACCCTTCCTTTCTCTTGTCCAACGACTCCCAAATGCTTAGTTTCTGCAAAAAGCAGTTACTTACAGAAGCTGCTTATTACTGTTGTCCCTAGTCACGATGCAGCCTAATAACCATGGACTTATCATTAAACATCTGTCATATTAACATGGTCTCCTTTATTATATTCATCTTCCTATGTGCTTCATTTTTTAGTCTGCTGCTGAAGTAGATGACTGTCCAGCCAGAACTTCTACAAATTAGAGATATTTGTTGGGGCCTTAAAGAACGATCTTGTTTTGCCTTTCCATGAAAGTTTATACAGTTCTTTTCTCTGCGTGTCATCTCTGTCTTCTGTTGGGCTCAGGAACTGCCTCTCACAGAGACACAGTATTTGTCTTGAAGTGAATAACCTTCATCTCCTGTAGTTTGAGTCCCAAAACATACCAAGTCTTCACTTTGCCCTGAGAACAGCGGGTTTTATTTCTATCACAATGTATTCTTCTATTGTTGTTTTAGAAATGTATATTTCTTACCTGAGGATACAGAGAGAAGGAATCTGATAACCGAAAAGAAGTGGGATCTTCCTTGTTATACTGTCCAAACTTCTGACACTGTTGAGAGAAAACAACAAAAAGCAGGAGGAAAACCCTAAGTTAGTGTCACCTGGAAAAATCCTTGGAGTACGAGAGCTACATTTCAATTTTAACTCTGCCACTGACTGACTGTGAGTCCCAGACCAACACTTCTCAGCCACAGATAGGCAGACATATCCCCTCCAAGGTTATTAAAATGCAAATTCCAGTTTGGCAGATTAAGGAGGGACTAGGGATCCTACATTCTAAACACCACTCTGACTAGTGAGGGGCTAGATAAGTTCTCGGGCACTTCTTCCATTAAAAACAAACAAGCAGCCGAAATTGGTTTGGCTCAGTGGTAGAGCGTAGTCGGTCTGCGGATTGAAAGGTCCCAGGTTCGATTCCGGTCAAGGGCATGTACAAATTAGAGATATTTGTTGGGGCCTTATAGAACGATCTTGTTTTGCCTTTCCATGAAAGTTTATACAGTTCTTTTCTCTGCTTGTCATCTCTGTCTTCATGTACCTCGGTTGCAGGCACATCCCTAGTGGGAGGTGTGCAGGAGGCAGCTGGTCGATGTTTCTCTCTCATCGACATTTCTAACTCTTTATCCCTCTCAATTCCTCTCTGTGTAAAATCAATAAAATATATTTTTAAAAAAAGAAAAAGAAAAAAAAGAAACATCGATGAGAGAAACATCAATCAGCTGCCAACTGCACACTCCCTACTGGGGATGTGCCTGCCACCAACGTACATGCCTTGACCGGAATTGAACCTGGGTACCCTTAAGTCTGTGGCCAATGCTTTATCCACTGAGCCAAATCTGTTAGGATTCAATTCTTTCTTTAGAATTAATTCTGATTCCAAACCTCCTCCCACTTTACTTGTACTGCTGCCATCCTGGTCTTACCTTCCTTGAGCCTGCAAACCCCTACATCAGTCTCCTTAATAGTGTAGTCTTTTCTCTTTCCAAATTTACCTCGAATGGAACTGGTAAATGTAAATACAAGAATCATGCTGTTATCACACTCCTGCTTGGGAACCACACTGAAGTTCCCTCTCTCTCTAATGTTAAGGCAATGACAACTTAAAATGGAAGACATTTTCTAATTACACTGCACTTTCACTGCCTCCTTCCCCGCTGCACGATCTGGCCTCTGTGACAGCCCTTTTGCCAAAGTCCCCAGCATAAGCTGAAGTGCACAGCTACCTCCCACAGGCTTGGGCCCTCCACTTGGCAAGCCTTGCCTAGTTCTCCCCTACTACCCTACTTTTTATTTTTTTTTATTTTTATTTTATTGATTTTGTACAGAGAGGAAGGGAGAGAGATAGAGAGCTAGAAACATCAATGAGAGAGAGTCATCGATCAGCTGCCTCTTGCACACCCCCTCTGGGAATATGCCAGCAACCAAGGTACATGCCCCTGACCGGAATCGAACCCGGAACCATTTAGTTCCCAAGCTGACGCTCCATCCATTGAGCCAAACTGGTTTTGGCTCAATTTTCAAATTGTGTTTGAAATGTTGATATTCCCTGAAGGAAAAAAATGGTTCCACTAAACAGCATGGGCAAACACAGAGCTAAACAAAGTTAAATATGTTTCTCTACTGGGCTTTCAGTGCCTCTGATCATAAATACCTGTCGTGAATTTCCAAGACAGTAAAATCATGAGGTATGACAGTTATTGATTTTCTTCTTCATGGCTACAAACTCACCCTTTCTGCTTGGGTTCTTTTTTTTTTTTTTTTTTAATATATTTTATTGATTTTTTACAGAGAGGAAGGGAGAGAGATACAGAGTTAGAAACATCGATGAGAGAGAGTCATCGATCAGCTGCCTCTTGCACACCCCCTACTGGGGATATGCCCACAACCAAGGTACATGCCCTTGACCGGAATCGAACCCGGGACCCTTCAGTCCCCAAGCCGACGCTCTATCCATTGAGCCAAACCGGTCCCGGCTGCCTGGGCTCTTTTAAAATGCTTCCTTTGCTAGATGGCACAGTGCTGAGCTTTGTCAGTAGAGGATGCTGGAGGCAAGGGTTTGCTTCTGGGTTCGTGTGTCAAACACAGCAGCAGCCTTATGACATCCCCTGGGCCCAGCTCCTGGAGCACATGGCACAGCTTTTCCTCAGCACATCAAAGTGTGGATTTTCATCTTATTCTAGAGAGTGAATTTCATGGCACAACACCATGGTAACTACTCTGCCGTTAAGACTCAGTGAACCATGGCCATGTCCCACCTAGGTCTAGACAAGCCCGAGGAGGGGAGGAAAGACTCTTCCTTGGGTGACCTACCTCAGCCTAGAAGCAGTGGCAGTGCCTTTTACCTGCTATTCCTATATTATTTGCATTATCTTTACATCTTACAACACAGCCCTCATTATTCCAATTCCAAGATAGTAATTCTTGATATAAACCTTTTCCTGTTGTAATTACTGTGTGGTTTTACTCTTCTGATTCGATCCAGATTAACACATTAGACATCTCCCAACATTCACTGGGCCATAGACCCCTATTTAAAAAATAAAAAAATATCCAAGATCTGTATTGAAAATACAGAACACAGCATTCACAGTGACTCATCTAAATCAACTCTCAAACACACAGCTTTGCATCATTCTCTAAATGTCTGTGCATGTTGTTTCTTCCCAAATGTAATGTAAGCCCTTGAGGAAAATGCCTGTTTAGTACTTAACACTCTCAGAATGTTCAGTGTTTGGTATTTATCAGATAAGCAACTGATAAATTCTTGTTGACCTTGTTTGCTCAAAAGTAGAGCAGAGCCCTGAGTGGTGCGGCTCAGCAGCTAGAGGACTGGAGGATTGAGAGTTCAATGCCCAGTCCCGGTTAGGGTATGTGCAGGAAGCAACCAATCAATGAGTCTCTCTCACATTAATGTTTCTCCCTCTTTCTCTCTCCAGCCTTCCTGCCTCCTTCCATTTTTTCTTAAACTCAATGGAAAAATTATCCTCTGATGAGGGTGAACAAAAAACAAAAAAGAGAAGAGAAAAAAAAAAAAAAAAAAAAAATATATTTTATTGATTTTTTACAGAGAGGAAGTGAGAGAGATAGAGAGCCAGAAACGTCGATGAGAGAGAAACATCGACAAGCCGCCTCCTGCACACCCCCTACTGGGGATATGCCCGCAACCAATGTACATGCCCTTGACTGGAATCGAACCCGAGATTTTTCAGTCCACAGACCAACGCTCTACCACTGAGCCAACCGGTTTTGGCAGAAATTTTTTTTTTTTATAAAGTAGAGAGAGACCAAGATGGAACCTAGTGCCACACAGTTCCCAACTTACCAGTCGAATGAGTTGTCGGTCCAGCCACCGGAGTATATCAGGCCCCTCCTCTGACTCTGCTCGGAACACTCCTAGTCGGGCCATCAGGACTGCTGCGGCCTCCTGGTCAAATGCTGCCTCTATGTGTTTGAACTGACTCTGTGCATCTGCCCAACTGACAATCATAGAGTTAATACATGCTTATTACTGAGGAGACCAGAAAGCCAGCTCTTTACTAAGATAAAGAAACGTAAGTCCTGTGTCTTCATCTAAGACAACACAAATTCAAATTGCAGTGTTGGTAAAGAATCACAGCAGTTGTACACTCATTTTCATTTACCCTCGTGTGATTTCTGAAGGTTATAAGTACAAAATAAAATTATAGAGAACTTTCCTATATTCTACAAGACATCATGAAAACAGATACCCAAAAGGTACCAGTGTTCCTTCCTCTAAGTCAATCTTACAAAAATCTAAGTCTTTACAAATTCACAAAATGTCTTTCCTGGCACCATGGTAAAGAGAATGAGCATAAATACAAGTTTTCCATACGAATAAAGACAATATGAACAAAGCTAAAAGACAAAAGATAGACCAGGGACAGGTATAAGCAACAAACAAAATATACAAGGAGTCCCTGCAAATTAATAAACAAGGAAAAATACATGTTTTGTAAAATGAGCAAAGGCTATCACAGAGGAAATACATCTGCTTAATAAACATGGAAAGTGCTCAACTCATTGATAAATGAAATAATACATATAAAAGTAGCATATTGTTCTATATCTGCATGTTAAAGGTTAATAATGTCATTATTAATAAGAAGCCAGGGTATTCTCCTTACACTACTAAGAAAAACACAAATTAGCTTCGTAAGTAGTTTTGCAGTATCCAAAATTCCGCTTCTATGAAATGACTGGAACTATGAAGGCAGCACTGCTGGAAGGAAGGTAAGACCTGCAATGGCCTTTAGTAAAAGAGTGGTACATCCCATCCAAACCATGTAACAGCCATTAAAATGAATGAGATATTACCTTATCATGAAATTGACAAAGAGGTCCTTGATATATTATTATTTTTATAAAGAAAGGTCCATGAACTTTTTTTTTTTTTTTTTTTTTTTATTAATTCTGGGAGTGGGGAAAAGGGAGACAGAGAGAAATATTGATATAAGAGAGAAACATTGATTGGCTGCTTCCTTGCATGCTTCCCGACTGAGGATCGAGTCTGCAACCCAAGCATGTGCCCTGACCAGGAATCAAATTTGTGATCTTTTGGTGCATGGATTGATACTCATCTATTTGACAAATTATCTTTCATAGGGTAAAACATTGGTCAGTAGCTCAACAGAAAGGAAACTGGGTCTACTCACTTTCGGGCAATGGTAGTCACACGGATACGTCTCTGGGTGCTGGAGTGTTGGTACTGCGTGACAAACTGGATGGCACCTCGGCCTCCTTGGGGGATCGGGGCGTTGTGCTGCAGGGTGAGAGACCATACACTGCGTTACTGTTACATACATGACTCAAATAAAACATACAGAGCTTATCCGGCTCTTCCTGAAATGACTGTCATGGTGATGTTGGTAAGGTTCTTGAATTCTGAATGGTACACTTAAGATATGTTCATTTCACTCTTTTATAATTTTTACTTCAATAAAAAAGAAAAGAACCAAATTCAAATAAATACTGACATCAAATTAATGTTACCATAAAGAAATGTTTGGGAATGGAACCACTGATGATTCAATTTGCTTTAAAATGAATAAAAAATAAAGTGGATGGATGAATGGATAAATATGTGAAACAGCAAATACAGTAAATGTTAATTGTGGGATCTAAGTTGTGGGTATATGAGTATTTGCTGTACAATTTTTTAAAAATAAATCTTTATTCAGATTATTACAAATGTTCCTCATTTCCCCCCCCCTCCATTGCTCCCCTACACCAGGTTCCCACCCCACCCTCTGCCCTTTCCCCACCCCCCATTGTCCTCATCCATAGGCGCACAGTTTTTGTTCAGTCTCTTCTCACATGCCCCCACTCCCCTTTTCCCCGAGAATTGTCAGTTCACTCCCCTTCCATACCTCTGATTCTATTATATTCAACACTTAATATTGTTCATCAGATTTTTTTTAATTCCCTTGGTTTTTAGATTCACTTGTTGATAGTTACATATTTGTTGTTCATACTTTTTTTTTTTTTTTTTTTTTAAATCAATCTTTATTGTTCATATTATTACAAAGGTTCCTCATTTCTTCCTCCCTCCACCAGGTTCCCACCCCACCCTCTGCCCCCTCCCCATCCCCCATTGTCCTCATCCATAGGTGCAGTTTATGTTCAGTCTCTTCTTCCCTCAATTTCCCCAATAGTAAATCCCTTTTCAGATAGTAAATCAGTTACTTAGCATTTTCTCATATCAATAATACCTGTTGTTCATACTTTTTATCTTTATTTTGCTCCTCTTCCTAAAGAACCCCCTTCAACAATTCATATAATTCTGGTTTGGCGGTGATGAACTCCTTTAGCTTTTTTTTTTTTTTTTTATTAGTGAAGCTCTTTAACTGGCCTTTGATTCTGAGTGATAGCTTTGCTGGGTAGATTATTTATGGCTGCAGGTTCTTGCTATTCATCACCTTGAATATTTCTTGCCATTCCTGCCTGGCCTGCATGGTTTCTGTTGAGAAATCAGCTGACAGTCGTATGGGTGCTTCTTTATAGGTAACTACCTGCTTTGCTCTTGCTGCTTTTAATATTCTCTCTTTGTCTTTTGCTCTTGGAATTTTAATTATGATGTGTCTTGGTGTGGTCCTCTTTGGATTCCTTTTGTTTGAGGTTCTGTGTGCTTCCTGGACTTGTAAGTCTAATTCTTTCCCCATGTGGGGGAAGTTTTCTGTCACTATTTCTTTCAGTATGTTTTCGGTATCTTGCTCTCTCTCTTCTTCTGGGACCCCTATAATTCTGATGTTGGTTCGCTTGAAGTTGTCCCAGAGGTTTCTTAGACTATCTTCAACTTTCTGGATTCTCGTGTCTTCTTGCTTTTGTGGAGGAGTGTCCTCTGCCTCTTTGTGTTCCAAGTCTTTGACTTGATTCTTGTAATCTTCCATTCTGTTTTTAGGACTCTATATATTTTTATTTCAGAAAATGTATTCTTTATTTCTTGTTGATCCCTTATTATTTCTAGTTGATCCCTTTTCATATCCTCATAGGACTTGTTTATTTTATTGGCCTTTTCTAGGAAATTCTTGAAAAACCTTATAAGCGTGGTTTTGAATTCTATATCCAGTTGCTTTTTGTCCTCCATTTCTTTTGTTTGTGATATATTTCCTTGTCTTGGCATTTTTGCAGCTTCCCTTAGTTGGTAGCCTTAAAAGTCTCTGTGTTCAGCTTGGATGGGGCAGAGTCTCAGAGTGGGGTCTACAGCCTTGGCTTCCATCAGCCCTCCCTATGAGGTTCCTGAGTTTCAGTGTTCCTCAGTGTCCTTAGGTACTCGCTGCAGGCACCTCTGAGAGAAAGGTGCCCTCGAGTTTCGCCTGCTACCAAACAGTCTAGGCTCTCCCCCAATGAGCCCGGAACTGGGGTTCAGTTCAGTTGGAAGTGGGGTTCAGAGCAGTCTGGAGCTTTTGTCTCCTTCCCACTAGGGCAACCCAGAGGGACAGTCAACTGTCTGTTCTCTGAGCGCAATGTGCGAGCCTCCAGGACTTCCTTTCGCCGCTCCCCTAGGTTTCCGCCTTACAGCCCAGACTCCCTCCGTATGAGCCTGGGTCCCCAGGGTCTCTCCCAGAACTGGGATTCAGTGCAGTCGGAACTGGGGTTCAGCACAGTCCGGAGCTTTTATCTCCTTCCCACTAGGGAATGCTAGCCAGGCACTCAGCCTCCCCCTCCTCTCCTTGCGTGCAACGTGTCTCTGTATCTTAGGCTTTTACAGCTCCTCTGATTTTCCTTCTGGTTTTCTCTTTCCTTCTCGTTGTAGAATTTCCAGTCAGTCGACTTTCCTGTAGTTCTGCGTAATGTCCATTTTGTATTTTAGTTGTATTTTATTGAAATTGATGTGTGAGGCTGCAGTTAGGTGTTTACCTATGCCGCCATCTTGGATTCTTCATTTGCTGTACAATTTTTCTAATTTTTGTGTTTTAGCTTTTTAAAAATAAAATGGGAAATGTCTTTTGTGTGAAGTGTATCATTGGGCATGTGGAGGTATTATTGATATGAGAAAATGCTAAGTAACTGATTTACTATCTGAAAAGGGATTTACTATTGGGGAAATTGAGGGAAGAAGAGACTGAACATAAACTGCACCTATGGATGAGGACAATGGTGGATGGGGGGGGGGGGGGACGGAGGGTGGGGTGGGAACCTGGTGGAGGGGGGAAGAAATGAGGAACCTTTGTAATAATATGAACAATAAAGATTGATTTAAAAAAAAAAAAAATAAAATAAAATAAAATAAAATAAAATAATGGGGAAAGAACACACCCCAAAATTCACCAATTAAAAAGAAAAAAAAGTTCACCAATACAACAATGGCTGATAAAAGCCATTACGTTTCTAAGACCTTATCAGTTCAACAATAAAGTGAGGAAACAATTTGCTGCCTAACTCTGAACAAACCCTGGAGGGAATTAAAGAAACCATGCCAGACTGGCAGCATCACTTTGTGCAGAAAGAAGCCAGAGGCTACCAGTCTTGTAATAAATCAGAAAACCCAACAATGAGACACAAATATTCATGAAGAAATCCTACTCACCTGATTGACTACTTCAAAGTAAATGCCAAGTGTAGATGTGGCATCTAGGGCACAGATTTTCCACTGACTCGTGCCTCCGACACCAAGCTCCTAAGGGTGAGAAGAGGAATTAAAACAAAACAAGAAAAGCTATTCCTGTTGTTAAATGCCAATGAAGAAGCACAGACACTGAAAAAGATAGGGCACTTAGAATATCTCATTTCAAATGAAAATTTAACTGAAAAAAGTACAATTATGGATTATGGTTAAACATTTATATTTACATTACTTTTTGTACTGGTATTCTGATCAATTTTCATTAATCACAAAATATATCTGTATACTTACATGTACAAACACATCTTATACATACACTATGGTACCTAACACTAAAGTCAAATGAAAGAATTAAATCATGGCTGAGAAAAAAATAGTAGAAAAGAAAAATAATTATCTTCTTAACTTGAAAGTTTTATGCACTTTTTCATCATTACTAGAGTAAGAAATAGTTACAGAATGTTAGCTCTTAAATATTAATTAAAATTTTTAAAAAGTCTTCGTTAACTTTATTTCTTTATTTTTAATATATTTTATTGATTTTACACAGAGAGGAATTGAGAGGGACAGAGAGTTAGAAACATTGATGAGAAACACCGACCAGCTGCCTCTTGCACCCCCCCACTGGGGATGTGCCCGCAACCAAGGTACATGCCCTTGACCGGAATCGAACCTGGGACCTTTCAGTCCGTAGACCGACGCTCTATCCACTGAGCCAAACTGGTTTCGGCAAATATTAATTTTTAATCTAATTCCTTTGTGCAAAAGTTACATATAAGTTCTTGGTAAAAGAATTGAGATTTTAGTGGTATGAAGGCTTTGTTAAAAAATTAATTTCAGTGTTTCGGGCTGTAATTTCCTCCTTTATGCAATCCCATGTACCTTACAGGGTTCTTCTAGGATCCAGCAGCATTATTAAAATTCTCATTGCTTTCCTGTTATTTCTAGAGGTCTGGGATAGACTCGAAGGCTTGTGCATATGATCAATCCAACCTTCTTTGATACTGTCTTGATCCTTCTGCTTTCTACTTTCTAAAAAAATCCTTAAAGTTCTGGTCCCTCGATAACATGCTCTCTCAATTTCCAACCATTGATTTGCATGATACTTTAAATATATCTTTGCTGTCATTTCTATAGCATCTTGAGCATATGTTCACTCCATTGTTTCAAATGAAAGGTTTCTTAAGTGATCCTGGGCTCCAGCAGAGGGAGGGCACAGTGGACCAGAGTCGTGTGAAGAGAGACTGGGGTTTATGGTTCTGAGGAGAGAGCTGAAGGGACAGCTGCCAAGATCCCTGTGCTGAGTCCCTCTTACACCGCAGAGGCCATTTTTTCCTGGGTGAAGCACTCCACTCCATATTACTTTTATGTTACTCTGAATCCACCCAGAGTACACACTGTCAGGTGAGTAGAGCTGTTATCAGTGTGGTCTGGATATAAAGCCATGTCAGGACCCTATGTACTTAGCCACAGATCCAGCAATCTCAGCGAAGTAATGGTCAGAGGGGAAAGGAAAGAGTCTGAACTGAAATTACATAGCAGCTCTAAGATGGAGAGAATAAACTCTGTTTCATCAGTGTCAGCAAAGCAAGACTATAAATGGATGGATTCATGGATATTAATCTTCCCTTTCAGTGGCATTTCTAAAAGCAGGTAACAGCTGCTGAAAGAGCCACACCAGGAAAAATGGTAAAGAAGAAAAAGAAGTTTGTGTAACTTTCTTGCCTGCTAACCCATTCTCCCAAATTTCTCTCTACATCTACCAGCTCAATTTTTAATATATGAAATTTTTGAAAGTTTCAAATGAGGAGATCAAGGGGTTCATAATATGCCACCCCAAAAGATATCACTCTCATACAAGGATTATTTTGAGCTGAAGAATTGAAAAAAGAGCTAACACAAGAAAAACTCTCTTTCTTCACCTCTCTACCAGGAGGGGCAGAATGATTTTTTATAAATATGTTATTTATTGATTTCAAAGAGGAAGGCAGAGAGATAGAAACATCCATGAGAAGAGCAAATCATTGATCGGCTGCCTCCTGTATGCTCCACACTGGGGACAGAGCCTGCAACCTGGGCATGTGCCCTGACTGGGAATTGAACCATGACTTCCTGGTTAATAGGTCAATGCTCAACAGCTGAGCCACACCACAGTCAGGCAGCAGAATGATTTTTAATCACCAAAGACAACATCAGATGCTTATCAATCCAGAGGAATCTACAGAACAAACCTGCTGAAATAACCTTACCTTCCATTAGTTCCTCCCATATATCTACTTTTCCCACAATTTGACACCTTAGAAGCTCCAGGTCCCTTTTCTCTGTCTTGCCACTTTTCTATAAACTTATTGTTCTTTTGTTAAGATGATACTTAACCAGCCTTTTGAGTTACTCATCACTGAGTATATATGTGTGATATATATATGTGTGGTACACATATTAATAAACTTGTTTGTTTTCCACTTGTTAATCGGTCTTTTGTCAGTCTAATTGTGGAGCCCCAGTCAATGAAGCTAAGACACGTAGAGTAAAACTTTTTTCTTCCTCTATAGCTCCAAGGCTCAACATGGCCACAAACCCTGCAGGGCTCCAAAAGTACATTTTTTCAAACTCCTTACATGAGCATTTGCCCTGCCTTTATCAGAGGAACTATAAAGATAGAACTAAGAAATTACCATTTTATAATCTCCAATGAAATATACTGATTCCAAGTAAGGATAATTATTGGACACTAAAAATATTAGGTGAAAAGCAAACAAGATTTTTCTTGCTAATGGCAAAGGGAAAATGTGCCCTTATAATGGAAAGAGGTGGGACATTAATCACCTTCACCACAAGATGAAACGCAGGCTCACTAACACAGGATGCCAGGACTGAGGTGCTTCTGATGAAACACAGCACAGAGTATACAGATCACTCACCAAGTATGCTGGACAAAAGGTTCAGCATGAATCTAAGCATTACATTATAAAGGATAATAATGCCAAATGCAATGCTAGTTAGTGGGGGGAAAAATAGCTACAAAGGGCATTTGAGGGAAAATTAAGGAAAGAAGATAGGTTAGATATTAGGAAATTGTTTTCTTAGGTTTGATAATAATGTAGTAGAGAACATCCTTATTTTTATAAGATGCATATTGAAGCACCATAAAATTAAATACCATGATGTCTGAAACTTGTTTTCAAAGGTTCTGAAAAACCAGGTCAATTAGCAAGTATGGAAAGTAGGTGATAACTAGAGAGATAAAGCACATGTAGCAAAACATGACAGAGCACTTATGACAAGAAAGTTAATTACTGCCCTAGCTGGTTTGGCTCAGTGGATAGTGTTGGTCTGCAAACTGAAGGGTCCCAAGTTCAATTCCAGATAAGGGCTTATGCCCGGGTTGTGAACTTGATTCCCAGTAGGGGTGTACAGGAGGCAGCCAATCAATGATTCTCTCTCATCATTGATGTTTCTATCTCTCTCTTCCTCTCCCTTCCTCTCTGAAATCAATAAAAATACATATATATATATTTAAAAAGTTAATTACTCATTCTAAATGGTGGGTATATAGGAGTTCATTATATTTTGCTTTACACTTCTCTGCATGTTTGAAATTTTTACTCAAGGAACACAAATGTCTGCATATACAACAGTGTCATCCACTGCCCAATCAACCCAAAATGCTATGTGAGAAGGGAGACAAAGGTATCATCTCTAAGAGCAACAAGCATAGAGGTTTATTACTGAAGGGTTTTGCTGAACACTTACCTTGTGCTAACTATAATGCATTGTGACTGGTTGACCCACTGACCCAAACATGGGTGGCAGGGTCAGAAGGACCTACACTGTAGCTCTTCCATATCAGCTCTAACCCTGAGCAAGATACTTAACCTCTCTGCACCTCAATTTCCTCCCCTCTGACCTTTAGACAGATGGAGAAGTGGAAATAAAACCACCTCTCAGAGTTGGAGCTTTAGCCTTTCTCTCAACAGACATATCCAAACAGGTAACACAAGGCAAGGTCATCAAGCTCCAACATTTCTTTTTTCTTTTTTTAATATATTTTATTGATTTTTTACAGAGAGGAAGAGAGAGGGATAGAGAATTAGAAACATCAATGAGAGAGAATCATCGATCAGCTGCCTCTTGCACAACCCCTCCTGGGGATGCGCTCGCAACCAAGGTATTATACATGCCCTTGACCGGAATTGAACCTGGGACCTTTCAGTCCGCAGGCCGACGCTCTATCCACTGAGCCAAACCGATTTCGGCAAGCTCTGACATTTCTAATGGGCTAATCCCAGGACACAGGAGGTAAGGGTAATGGAGAAAGTTTTCCTTACATTTTCTGACACACATGGTCCTTTCACATTCAGAGATACACAAGGACCAATGGCTCCTGCGATCTTCAGTTCCCGAGAGGTCTAAAAGAGAATTAAATAAGAGTATAAAGTTAGATATCATTGAGAACCACCCTGCTCTCACAAAGGCCACTACTAAAGACTAGAGGAAAAACTTGGCAGCATTATCATTGCACCAAGAGGAAATCCCACATGGATCATGTTACAAGCTTTTCCAGGGCCACTGTGATCTGATTAAAACACTGTAAAAATCCTTCCTTAGAAACTGAATTATCTTTATTCCAAAGTTGATGCAATATTTTCAATTTACTCAACATTGAAATCATTGTACACACTGTACAATTCTATTAACAATACTACATTCTTTTCTAATTCCACGTATACAGTCATAATTATTTACTTCTAATCTGTGCATATACTGCTTTGCGTTGCTTTAAAAATAAGTAATTCAGGTGCTCTCCCTCTCAGGAGCATGCTTACACCTTCCTTCCCTCTCAGGCGTGCATCTCCTAAACCCTTTTGAGTCACCAAGAGACTTGCAAACAGGGAAGTAATGGGCAGCAGCAACTTGCCCTGAGGACCTGGGCTAACCCCCCTGAACCTGTCCCCTTTTCTCTGACTTTCCTGTGGGCAAAAGCAGCCCCACCTGGGTTAATTTCTTTCCTGTAAGATTTCTAGAGAGCCAAAGCAGCCACACCTGTTGCCTCTTCTATCGCTAGCCCTTCCTTATAGTCCCCAGCTTTAATAAACACACTCTCAAAAATCAGTGGGGAAAAAAGGAAAAGAAAAACAACAACAACAGCAACACACTTAATTCATAAACTCCAACATGATGACAAGGCCAACAAACACACGTAAAACTTTTTAAATGAAGTTCACTTTAGCAAAGTCCATTCTTCTTCATATTAAAAAAAAGAAACAACCTTAAACATTTGAGAATGTTGTTTAAAGTTTAACAAAGATGATTTAACAATCATCTTCAACTCTCAAAGTACTGATTCCAATTGTATGTTATAATAGCCCCTTTTAATGTTTTTGCAATTTATAATCAAGTGTATAGTACTCTCTCAATCCTAATGGAAAAACAAAACCCAAACACAATCTGCACTATTTTAGAGCACTCTCGCTTCACTGCGGGCAGACATTAAACATAAACCGAGGTTCTGTGCATGCAGCCACCCATAGCGACAGCTGGGAGAATGCTCCACTCTGTGTGGCTGCCTCTGTGCCCAACCCACCACCCCTTCTAAGCCTACTGTCCAGGAGCAGAGCCTACAGGGGAGCCAGACAACTCTTTTTTAGAGCATTTATAAGCCATCCTCAAGAAGCCAAGGGATAGGAAAAAAGGGGACATCTGTAATATTTCCAACAATAGATACATTTTTAAAAAAGGAAACAAAGGAATGGAATGAATACACGTTGTTGACAACCTTTTAAGTTGCCCGTGTCTCACAGGTTGGGGCTTCCACAAGTCTGACTACTAAAAAGTAAGAACATTATTTTTCCATTAAAGTTTTACCAATTTATTGTACCTTTACTTCTAAAGTAGCACCAAATGCCATTCGGAAATCTCCATTAAAGTCTTTACTAAAAATTCTTTGGAATGTCTGCTTGAAGAGAGATGTATTGAAAGAATCTCCCATTACCATGTAGCCTCTAGAAAAGAAAAAAAAAGTTAGTACTTAGAAAGCCTGAAAGCCATTCAGATGTTCCCTCAGTTCTTACAAGAACTTAAAAAGGAAGGAAGAAAAAATAAACCATGTTCATAATAGCGCTAACTTAAATGGAAACAGAAAAGTTCAATTTGTACTTAGAAAAGACACTAGTTTTTAAAAAAATATTTTATTCTTTTTTTACAGAGAAGGGAAAGAGATAGTTAGAAACATTAATGAGAGAGAAACATCGATCAGCTGCCTCCTACACACCTCCCAATGGGGATGTGCCTGCAGCCAAGGTACATGTCCTTGACCGAAATCAAATCTGGGACCCTTCAGACTGCAGGCTGACGCTCTCTATCCACTGAGTCAAACCGGTCAGGGCAAGACACTACTTTTAAAACATAAAGAAAAGAACACTTTGAAATAATTCGGTGTCTCGCTCACTGTGTCAGTTATACAAATCTATAGGGATGGCAAAATCTCAGAATTATACACACACACATGCTTGTAAAAACTGGTGAAATCCAAGGTCTGTAATAGAGCTAACTGTATTGTGCCAATGTCAATTTCCTAGTCTGACATTGCACTCTATATTTATGTAAGATGGTACCACTGGGCGTAAACAGATGAACTACTTTGTCCCATTTTCTTTTTTTTTTTTTAACAATTTGTGAACCACAATTATTTCAAAATAAAAAGTAAAACAAAATAAAACCCAATCATCTAATCAATAAACCCAAGGGTGCAGGTTTTAATAGGCCATCTACTGAGAAAATATCCCCAACTCTTCTCAGACTTCTTTGTATGGAAAAATACCCAGGCCTGTGGGAAATCCTTTTTTTTTTCTTTCTTTCTTTCTTTTTTTTTTTTTTTTTTTTCCTTCAGTTTAGTTCACTGCTCAAAACAGTGAACCTCTGGCTTTACATAACTTACTTTTTCTAGTTTGCAAATATCCATATTCATCTCTTTTTGAAGTTAAAGAAAAACATTGTTCAGAATTTCGGTATTTCACCCTAGCCAGGGTGGCTCAGTTGGATGAGCATGATTACATACACCAAAACATCACTAGTTTGAGTCCCAGTCTGGGCACATGCCAGGGTTGTGCACTGGATCAGGTGGCAGCAGAATGATGTTTTCCTCGGTCTCTCTCTCTCCCCGCTCCCTCCCCCCTCCTTGCTCTCTGAAGTTAATAAAAACATACTTAAAACAAAAAACAAAAAACCAGTATTTCATGTTTTGGCAGATGCGCACAGCTTGATGCAGGTTATACCTCCAGTATTAAACAGGATCTCAAGCGCTAGCCAGTTTGGCTCAGTGGGTAGAGTGCCAGCCCTAGGACTGAAAGGGTCCGGGGTTTGTTTCCCAATCAAGGGCACATACCTTAGTTGCAGGCTCTATCCCCAACACCCCGTGTGTAGGAGGCAACCAGTTCATGTATCTCACACAGATGTTTCTCTCTTTCTGTCTCTCCCCCTCCCTCCCACTATCTCTAAAATTCAATGGAAAAATATTCTCGGTGAGGATTAACAAGTTAAAAAATTTAAGGCCAATAAATATAACCCCCCCCTAAACACACACACACACACACACACACACACACACAAAAAAAAAAAAAAAAAAAAAAAAAAAAAAAAAACCACAACAACACAGGATCTCATACTAGGGAAGAATACAAAATAATCTGGTCCAGCTATTTCAGTGTCTAGCTCTTCCCCTTATAGTGATTGCTATTTGGACCCAAATATCCACCCTCCTCACCTTCGTTATCAAGGGATCCATGGTTTCCTGGAATAAAGACTGTTTCCCAGGCTGCTTTGCCTGTGGCTGTGACAGCTTTGTCTACCAGAAGTGGCCTTTGTGATTTAAGGAAATAGGGTTGTTCTTACAGGAAGGGACACGTGCTTCTTCAATTCCTCCTCCTTCCTGCTGTTATAACATGGCTAGAGCCTAGCAACTATGTTGAACCAGAGCTAGCACATTAAGGTAGTGGAGCAGCACAGGAGCCTTAACCCCTGATAATGATAAAATCAATATACCTGCCCTGCTGCCTACCTCCAGTGAGAGAGAAAAACTTGTTTTGGATTTTCTGTCACAAACACACAAACTAATACTGACTCACACCCACCCTCTACCAAAACACTGCCAGGTTATCATCCAGATTAGATGCTCCCAGAATCTTACACCCTCCAGAGGCAGTTCATTCCATGCTTAGAAAGTGTGGATTGCTAAGAAAGGTCTTTCTTTACACCGAGTCAAATTGTTTCTCAGCAGCTTCCACCACTGGTTCAAGTTCTATCGTTTGGTCACATACAGATCTGATTTCTTCTCCACTGAGCAGGCCTGTAATTGTTGAATATAGCTCTCACACCCCATCTGTCTTCTAGCTCCTTCAAGCATTCTCCATATGGCATATGTCTCTGTCACTCTTACTGCTCCATTTTGAGTATCTCCAGTTCCTCTACACAGCCCCTTTGAACTGAAATGCTCAGAATGGAAGATGATACAATGGAGATAAGGCGTGACAAGCATCAAGGAAATCAAGACGATGATCTTCTTTGAAGATAATCAACTCCTCTAGCACAGTGTAGGATCACCTGTCTCTGCTGGAAGTCATCCCAAACTGTTGGCTCATTTTAGGTGAGCTATCCATTAACACCTCTAAATCTTTTTTTTTTAAATGTTACTGCTAATACACTTCCCTGATACTATACTTGTACAAAAGATGATGTGAGCCCTATCTGGTTTGGCTCAATGGATAGAGCATCAGCCTGTGGACTGAAGGGTCCCTGGGCTTGGACAAGCAGGAAGCAGCCAATTAATGATTCCCTCTCATTATTGATGTTTCTATCTCTCTCCCCCTCTCCCTTCTTCTTTGAAATCAATAAAAATATATATATTTTAAAAAAGTGATGTGACCTGCCCTAACTGGTTTGACTCACTGGATAGAGTATCGGCCTGCAGATTGAAGGGTCCCAGGTTCGATTCTGGTCAAGGGTATGTACCTTGGTTGGGGGCACATCCCCAGTAGGGGGTGTGCAGGAGACAGCTGATCGATGTTTCTCTCTCATTGATGTTTCTAACTCTCTATCCCTCTCCCTTCCTTTCTGTAAAAAGTCAATTATATTAAAAAAAAAAAAAAAAAAAAAAAAGTAATGTGACCTAAATACTAAACTCATTCAGGAGTCAAAGGCCTTACTGAAAATCTGATGGAAGTGATGGTTCCTCTCCACAGAAGAAATATACATAGATAAACTCTGGTGTACAAACTTAAGGATATTCACAAAAAACACTACAGCTTTTGTGTGGCTATGCCAAGTCAGGAACTGCTGGTGGGCACTGTAGGAATTCACCATATTAAATGTGGCTTTCTGGTACAGCTAGTGTCACCTAACACATCTGCTGCACTCCAAAACAACTCCAGGTGGGCTCCATCTTCTTCCCTCGTCTTTACTCAGTGAGAACCAGCAGCATCACAGGCCCTCCACAGCTCTCCACCAGTGCTTCTCAACCTATTCTGTGCATACACATCACCTGGGATTTTATTCAAATGCAGGATTGAGTCAATAGGTCTAGGGCATGGTTGGCAAACTGTGGCTCACAAGCCACATGCGGCTCACAAGCCACAGTTTGCCACTCTGTAGACTAGTGAGTTTGCCAACTACTGACCTAGACTCTCAATTCTTATTACAGGTTGTTGTTTTTCCTTGTGATTAAGCCCCTATCCCAGTGGTCGGCAAACTCACTAGTCAACAGAGTGGTCAACCATGGCTCATGAGGCGCAGTTTGCCAACCACTGGTCTAGGGTAAGGCTCAAGATGCTGTGCTCCTAACAAGCTTTCAGGTGGGCTGATGCTGCCTGTGCTCAGCCACACGAGTACTAAAGGTCCACACCCGTGGTTCTCAAATTCTGCTCTTCAGTAGAATCACTTGAGGGAACTTTAAAAATGCTGATGTACAGGCCACACCCCACACTAATTAAGTCAGAATCTCTGGAAACAAGTTCCAAAGGGAAGAGTTTTTCAAGTTCTCAGGTGATTCCCCAGCTTCAGATCAGTGCTGCGCATCAGTGATTCACTCACTTTCACATGCACCAGAATTCCCTGGAGAGCTGGTTAAAACAGACTGCCAGTCCAGGCCAGTTTGGCTCAGTGGGTAAAGCATTGACCTCCAGACTGAAGGGTCCTGGGTGCGATTCCAGTCAAGGGCACATGCCTGGGTTGCAGGCTCAATCCCCAGTAGGAGGTATGCAAGAGGCAGCCAATCAATGATTCTCTCTCATCATTGATGTTTCTCTCTCTCTCTCCCTCTTCCTCTCTGAAATCAACATAAATATATTTTTAGAAAACCACCCGACTGCTGGGTTGCACCTCCATAGTTCCTGATTCAGGTCTGGGTGAGGCCTGAGGATATATAATACATTCCTAATCAGTCCCCGGGATCCCTGAAGGTTGCTGGCCAGGCATCACTGCACTTCTCTATACTGTGATCTGAGTGCACGTTATAAACTTAGGATCTAAGTCTGTGTGCACTGTGATGCACCCTCTAGGCTGAAGTCACTAAGCCAGGTGAAGGGTCTCCTAATGGCTCTGGCATTCGGACACAATTTCCCTTCTCACAAGGAAGTGCTTTGCTGAAGGCCACATACTTCATGTTTCCTTTCTTTCCTGCTCTAGTATCTTTAACAACTCTAAGAAAGGAAGTTACTCTAATAAAGGTTTGTTCATAGTGAACCCTTGAGACTTCCTTTTCACCACTTTCTTCATCTATGCAGCCCACTCACCTTCCCAGCCATGGAAGCCACAGTCTAGAGCTGTCTAAATACTTAACTAAGTCAGCCTTGTCCTTTCCTATTATTGCATCACACATTTCTTTTTCCTTAAAATAAACACTCTGACGTTTCCAGGTGTTTGCTGTCAACATACCCAGTAAGATTTGCACAGCATTTCATCTCCAAAAGTCCAGTTTGATCAAGGGCACAAGCATAAATATCAATGCAGTGGCCATTTGTAGCAGTTCGATTAGCAAGCATTTCATAGTGCTGTGAAGAAAAGTAAACCAGCTTTAGGAAACAGTAAAATTATTCACCAGATATGCCTTACTATACCAAAGGGATATAATAAAATATAGGCATATGGAGATAGTTTTTTGAAAAACATGCAGCCGAAACCAGTTTGGCTCAGTGGATAGAGCGTTGGTCTGCGGATTGAGGGGTCCCAGGTTCAGTTTCGGTCAGGGGCATGTACATTGGTTGCGGGCACATCCCCGGTGGGGGTCTGTGCAGAAGGCAGCTGGTCGATGTTTCTCTCTCATCAATGTTTCTGGCTCTCTATATCTCTCCCTTCCTCTCTATAAAAAAATCAATAAAATATATTAAAAAACAAACAAAAAAACAACATCCAAATAGACCTAACTGGTTTGGCTCAGTAGACTGAGCGTCAGCTTGCTGACTGAAGGGTCTCAGGTTCAATTCCGGTCAAGGGCACATGCCTGGGTTGTAGGTTTGATCCCCAGTAGGTGACGTGCAGGAGGCAGCCAATCAATGATTCTCTCTCATCATTGATGTTTCTATCTCTTTTCCCCTTTCCCTTCCTCTCTGAAATCAATAAAGATTTTTTTTTAAAATCCAAATAATTAAGTGTTTTCAATCTCAAAACATTTTTGACAGTTTTAAAGCCACTGACTCTAAGTTCTCAGTAATTTAACAGCTGCCAAGATCAGCAAAATCATTCCAGCAAGAGCAACTTGCTGACCACGAAGCATGGCCTCAGCAAAGTAGCTGCCACTCCAGAGGAGCCTAAACCCAGCACTGGGTTACCACAACTCGACTACAGCCTGTATCCAGAAGCACCTACCTTGGTTGCTTTCTTCATGAAACGTGCATTATCTTTCTCAATATCATGCCAAGAACGAATAGGAACTTTTAATTCATCTCCAACCACCATTCCAGGTCCCTGGGTGGGGGGACCCCCTGTAAACAACATAATCCTGGCTCCGGTGTTTGGAAAAGTGCCCTAAAACAGTGAATGGCAGCATTTTAGAAGCAGACAACTCCACCCCCAGTATGTTTCTGTTTCCCTAAAAATATACTACAAATATGAGTTCTCATCAGCTATACCGAATACTAATATTGCAGAATAACACAGACGACAATGCCCAAAGCAGCCATCTCTCTTCCAACCTGAAGGTTGTGTACATTTTTATTAATTTACTGTGAATACTTCTCATTGTCCTAATTGCTTTGTGTTTCTCATGAAAACTTGATAAATTTTAAAACATCAAGGGGTTCTTCGAGGTGAGTAATAATAACTGAAGCACTTTCTGATAAATTAACAGTCAGCTGATTAGGTTGCAACTGGTTTTCAAGCACAACTTCAAAGCAACTTCTGAGAGCGAGTGTGCATGGTTTGAAGAGTCCAGTCAATTCCCAGTTACCTCCAACAAGCCAACAGCAATAGACAAAGCAACACCAGTGGATCGCAAAGGTCTCTTCCCTTGATTTACGGGCCATGGGTCCCTCTGCAGTTCCCCGAGAAGGTCAGTGAGGTTCATGTCAATCTTGTGAACAGGCTGCAGAAACCTGCATGATTTTGAATAGACACATCCATCCTGGTTTTAAAACATACTCTGGTCTTCATCACTAAGTAATAAGTAGTTACTGCTCTTCAAAATAATTACTCAGAATAACAAAACTTACAATTTTTTCTTCTAAGTTATCTCTAACTACAAAAACAAGTCAATTTTATTAAAAAATACATCTTAAAGCCTAATGTATAGCAATTTATATATGTGTAACATGAAAAAAAATCAATTTAAATAGGTACAAATCGTAAGGTTCATTATGTGGACAATCTTCATCATTCTCAAGATTCATAATTTGTGTTTCTCTTGAGCCTTGGGAGTAATAGAACTAACACTGGTTTCTTAACAGCATAAAAGACTGACCACAGCAGGTCAAACTATGCATTTTATCATGTTTGCTGAATATTAACCCACCCCAGGGCAGCCCCAGACACTCAAGGGGTTGAGTGAAATAAGTGCCTGATTTTAGTTTGAGGACACCCAACAGAAGCCTTTTCAGTTTTCCCAGTTTTACTTAAGAATCAAAAAGGACAGCAGCCATGTGTTTAAGAGGAGGGGCACAATGGTCTGAAACCCTACAAGGCTAACAGGAAAAGCATTCTGAACAAACTTAACACACATATATGTAAAAACATTTATAATTCAGTTATATGTATATAATATACATATACTGCTGTGTTAAATACATTATTAAACATTAAATATTGTTGACTTAATTTTTCTTTTTCTTTTTTAATATATTTTATTGATTTTGTACAGAGAGGAGGGGAGAGAGATAGAGTTAGAAACATCAATGAGAGAGAGTCATCGATCAGCTGCCTCTTGCACACTCCCCTCTGGGGATGTGCCCGCAACCAAGGTACATGCCCTTGACCGAAATCGAACCCACGACCCTTCAGTCCCCAAGCCGACGCTCTATCCATTGAGCCAAACCGGTTTCGGCTTAATTTATTTTTCTCTGAAAATAAGAAACTAAAAATTTAACATTTTTCTTCCCTTGAGTGGATTCCCCTGCATGCCAACGACTGTATGTGCAACACTACATCAGTGCCTCACCTGCTTGAAACAAAAGGGTGCTCCTGTGGTTGAGCAGGTCTTGCTTGTTGCATGGGCATGGCAGGCTTGGTCAGGCCAAGCATATCCTAAAAAAGAACAAAAAAAAAGACTCATTTTCTCTAACACTGAAAAAGTAAAGGGGTAATTAATTTTTAAAAAAATACTCTTGCACCCAGCCAGTGTGGCTCAGTGATTGAGCATTGATTCATGAACCAAGAGACCACCAGATCGATTCCAGTCAGGGCACACGCCCACAGGTTGTGGGCTCAATCCCCACTAGGGGGCAGTCAGGAGGCAACCAATCAATCTCATTAATGTTTCTATCTCTCCCTCTCTCTCTAAAATCAATAAAAACATATGTTTAAAAAAAAAATACTCTTGCTCCTGCTTGTGTACAAGTTAAAGCACGAACCTGTATCTGCTTTGCAGTTAAATCCTTGGTCCCTCGGAAGACATAACTTTTGGAGATTCCTTCACAGCTGAGTTCATGAACCTGCACCATCCTCCCAAATGTGATCAAACCCACCAGAGCATCTGGAGGAAGGAGACTCAGGGACATTTGTAGAGATTCTTTGAGTGCTTGAAGGTCCTCTTCTTCTAGGCATGTGTCGATCACATAAAGGAAGACTAGAGGGGACTGTGGACCTCGCTTTATGCAGAGAAAAACAACATAGTAATCAATATACAAATCAAATCAGGTATGTAAATAACAAGTCTTCAACTATATTTACTGTCCGGGGATAAGATCCAGTTCTTTTAAATCAAATCAGGTATGTAAATAACAAGTCTTCAACTATATTTACTGTCCAGGGATAAGAACAGCTAAACAAACATCATTTAATAACAGGTTCTATTAAAACAAACTGGGGGGGGGGGGGAAGGGGAACTAACTAAAAGAAAAAATATTTGTATCTAACAAATTATTTCACGTTTTTGAAAGCTTCTAAGTATCAGACATTGTTCTAGATCCTGGGATACCTCAGTGAACCAAAACAGCAAAGATCCCTGCCAGCCTCATGGAGCTAACTTTCTGGAAGGAAGAAGGTAAGGGGGATTGCATATGCCAGGAATGTAGGTAAGGGGCAGGTTCTAGTATTAAATGGCAGGTCAAGGTAGCCTTATTAAAAAAGTAACATTTGGCTGAAACCGGTTTGGTTCAGTGGATAGAGCATCGGTCTGTGGACTGAAAGGTCCCAGGTTCGATTCTGGTCAAGGGCATGTCCATTGGTTGCAGACACATCCCCGGTATGGGGTGTACAGAAGACAGCTGGTTGATGTTTTTCTCTCATCAACGTTTCTAGCTCTCTATCCCTCTCCCTCTCTCTCTGTAGAAAATCAATAATATATATATATATATATAATTGATTTTAAGTAACATTTGAGTAAAAACCTGGAGGACAGGGAGAGAGGAGAGTAAGAGTCCAGGTGAGCACAAGTGAAAGCAAGACCCACAGGCAGAGCACTGCACAATGCTTGTTCCTGGCATGCTTGAGGCAAGACAAGGAGGCCCATCTAGCTGAATGAGGAAACTAGCAAAAACTGAGGTCAGAGTGGTAACACAGAACTGGCTCACAAAGGGCTGTGAAACTGTTACTCTGGACAAGGGTAAACATGAAAGGAGAATTAGAGAATGCCCCAGGAATTCAAGTAAGAGGTGGTGTCTGGCCCAGGAAAGCAGCAGTGGGAGAAAAATGGATAGATTCTGGATAAATTGTGAATATAGACCCAATGGGGTTTCCTAATAGATTAGATATGGGATGAGAGGGAAAGTCAAGGGTGGATCTAAGGTTTGTAGTAAGTTGAACAATTAGAAGATGAAGTACCATCAACCGAAATGGAGAAGGATGTGAAGGACAGGGTTTGAATTTATTTAGTGCTACCTCTTTTTTACAGCCTTCTTCCAAGACCTGAAAATGCCAGAAAGTATACATGAATCATAATTAAATGTTTAGAATCTTGCTGCCCTCACAGTTTTAAAGTCATATGGAAGATAAAGCATTTCAAGAGAATCTCACTATTTAACATTAAATATGCAACAAACCTGTATCATGTACTCAATTGTAGAAAACTGGGGCATCAATTCAGCGGGCTGATTCACCTCAGATATGCCTGTGTAAGCTGGAGGAAACTGAAGAGATGAAAACAAAGCCATGTTTATTAGAGCTGAAACTTTTCTATGCTATACCTTTTATTTCCCATTTATAATAATAGTTTATGATAACATATTCATTCTGAAAACACAAAATAAGCATATGCCTAAAATATAGAAATTAGTAGTATTTAAAGTCTATAACCATGCCTTATATTTACATTACAAAACTTTTTAATGCTGCTTTAGGTTAACTGTAATTTTTATTTTTATTTTTTTAAATATATTTTATTGATTTTTTTAATTTTAACTTTTAAATGAATAAAAAATGCACTATCGCCGAAACCAGTTTGACTCAGTGGATAGAGAGTCAGACTGCAGATTGAAGGGCCCCGGATTTGATTCCGGTCAAAGGCATGTACCTTGGTTGCGGCACATCCCCAGTAGGGGGCGTGCAAGAGGCAGCTGATCAATGACTCTCATCAATGTTTCTAACTCTCTCCCTTCCTCTCTGTAAAAAATCAATAAAATATATATTTTTAAAAATGCACTATTAAAAACCATTTTTAAGTGTTGTCCTGCAAACTAAAAGCAGAGATTTTAGCTGTCTCATCAAAATCTATGCAGAAGACCAAAGCTTTTATTTGGGTTTATTATTTCAGCTATTATCAATATAGTAATAATGTTTGCTATAGAAAAATTGGAAAGTATAGAAAAATATGAAAAAACAGAAAGAAAAAACCGTCACAGTCCTATCACTGTGAGGTAATCACTGTCAGCATCTTGGCATTTTTTTTTTTTTTAATTATTTATTCACTTGGTCCCCCCCCCCCAATATATTTTATTGATTTTTTAAAGAGAGGGGGAGAGAGAGAGAGAGAGAGAGCTAGAAACATCGATGAGAGAGAAACATCGACCAGCTGCCTCCTGCACACCCCCTATGGGAGATGTGCCCGCAACCAACGTACATGCCCCTAAACAGAATCGAACCCGGGAACCTTGAGTCCGCAGAACGATGCTCTATCCTTTGAGCCAAACCGGTTTCAGCTCTATTCAAGTTCTTTACCTATTTTTAAACTGGGTTGATTGATTGTTTTTTGTTCTTGAGTATTAGGAGTTCTGGATATTAATCTCTTATTAGATATTTGCAAGTATTTTCAGCCACTTTATGGGTCTCCTTTTTACTGATGACATTGTCATTTGATACCTTAGAATTTTCACAATAAATTACATTAAAAATTCAGAATTGAAATCTGTGTTTAATGTAATTAAACAGAATTGAAATCTATGTTTAATGTAATTAAACAATGGATAGAACGTTGGCTTACGGACTGAAGGGTCCCAGGGGCACATGCTTGGGTTGCAGGCTGGATCCCCAGTAGGGGGCATGCAGAAGGCAGCCAATCAATGGTTCTCTATCATCATTGATGTTTCTCTCTCTTTTTCCCTCTCCCTTCGTCTCTGAAATCAATAAAATATATATTTTTTAATGTACTAGAAGGTGCCGAAACCGGTTTGGCTCAGTGGATAGAGCGTCGGTCTGCAGACCGAGGGATCCCAGGTTCAATTCCGGTCAAGGGCACATACATTGGTTCCGGGCACATCCCTGGTGGGGGGTGTGCAGGAGGCAGCTGGTCGATGTTTCTCTCTCATCGACGTTTCTAGCTCTCTGTCCCTCTCCCTTCCTCTCTGTAAAAAAATCAATAAAATATTAAAACAAAAATGTACTAGAAGGTAGAAATGTTTAAGACTTGTATATACTTCTGAATCTCTCATGGAGATAATTTGGAAATGGTATCTACTTATAGTTTCCATGCCTATAGTTACTTATCAACTGTACATTATTCTTTTCATCCTGGGCTTATTGTTTCTATATCTGAGAATGAGACTGCTAATTATAATTATAATAAAATATATGAATAAATAAATGCATGTTTTTATACCTTAAGATCTACTAGAGCACTGTACATTATGTTGGTCACAATTTTTTCTGACAACTTTATTGTGTTATAGTTTATATATCAAGAGAAACCATCCATTTTATTTTATTTTATTTATTTATTTATTTTAAAATATATTTTATTGATTTTGTACAGAGAGGAAGGGAGAGAGATAGAGTTAGAAACATCGATGAGTCATCGATCAGCTGCCTCTTGCACACCCCCTACTGGGGATATGCCCGCAACCAAGGTACATGCCCTTGACCGGAATCGAACCTGGGTCCCTTCAGTCCCCAAGCCGACGCTCTATCCATTGAGCCAAACCGGTCTCGGCGAAACCATCCATTTTAAATGTACAATTTAATGACTTTTAATAAATGTACAGTGTTGTACAATGATCACCACAATCCAGTTTTAGAACATTTCCATCATAGGCACATTTATTTTAAAGAGTCTTTCGTATGATTTGTGAGCTCCTTCTAGCTTTGTAGTTTAAAATTTTTTAAGCCAAAAGAAACTCAACACTGTACTTGAACCCTAAAAGTTAGAAAGATCAGAAAATGGAAATTCAGTAATGTATACTATCCAATTAGAATAAACTGAAGTCAAATGAAATATAAACAATATATGTTCTCTTATGGTAACATACTCGCTGCCTACAGAGAACTTATTAGATCTATCACCTTGAGTTTAAATTGTTACCTGCCAAAGCACAATTCAACATCACTTAATTTTTTTTCAGAGTAATACAATTCAAACAAAGAAAATACATTTAAAAATATTCACATACCTGATTTCTTTGGAAACAGAAATTACAGGCCCAAAGTTTTGCCCGATAATCAACTTGACTGTAAAAAAAACAAAAACAAACACAACTAGGTAACATGTTTAAGGTAAAAAGCATTCAGATGTAAACTTCAAGTATAATAAATTGGATGAGTGATTTTGTATGGGTGTATTGGTAAAACATTCATTGCAGTTAGAATTCTGCCTGCTAAATACAACAAAGGTTTCCCTCATACAGCAGTAATGAGACATTAATAAGTCCTTTTTTATTCTTTCCCAATTTCCTAGATAATATTTAAAATGTCATTTTTATATTATAGCTCATATTCTTTTGCCCTGTTAACATAATCTTTGTAACTTTTCTAACATCTTTATTCCCTCTGTGAAACTGCTAAATTTTAATACTAAAAAGTGTATTTTACACGAGAATAAACTTCCCAGACTTTCACCACATATAGCTCACTTGAAGAAAAGTTGAGCAGGCATGCTTCTGAGTTGATAGAATTCCTAGAATTGGTTCAAGATACGTTAGTTGCCTCCCTGCCCCACTTTCTACAATTAGAAAATTAACAATATGTGGCACCCTAACCAGTTTGGCTCAGCGAATAGAGCATCAGCCTACAGACTGAAGGGTCCCAGGTTCGATTCCGGTCAAGGGCATGGACCTTGGTTGTGGGCATATCCCCAGTAGGGATGTGCAGGAGGCAGCTGATCGATGTTTCTCTTTATCCCTCTCCCTTACCCTCTATAAAAAAATCAATAAAATATATTTTTAAAAATCCACAAAAACATTAACTGGCTATCATTTTAAAAGAAGGCAGCAACATCTTATATGTGGATACATTACATAAAAGCAAGGGAATGAAGTAAAAAATGTTCCCTCATATAAGAATTTTATCTGTTAAAAAATATTAATGACACTCTTCACCTATTTAAAAATTCTCTCAAATAGTACCCATATTTAAGTGAAATATCATAGGGACAAAAAAATTATACTTAACAATAAAATCATTGAGTTAAAACTTCGTTCGGAGCTCAGTTAATTAGAGTGTCATCCTGATACACCAAAGTTGCGCATTGCATCTCTGGTCAGGTCACATAAAAGAGGCAATCAATGAATGCATAGGAGGGTGGGGCAACAAACCCATGTATCTGTGTGTGTGTCTTTCTCTCTCTAAAAATCAATGAATAAATAAAAATTTATAAACAACAAAAGAGTTAAAATTTCTTCTATATCATCAATATACTAAGTATGTATGAAAAAACTGTCTAAGTTTTTTGGTATTTTTTTAATGCTTTAAAGGGCAGCAATAAAATCTAAATAACCTAAATACAAACTGAAACTCAGCCAAAAAGTGAATTTCAAATCCTTTTCCTCTACTTCCACCTTATTCCCTCATAAATTCTAATTTTATCTGAAGAATTATGCCAGGGAGATCACTTTATTTTTAATTTTTTTATTTGATTTTGAGAGAGGGAGGGAGGAAGGAAGGAATAGGAGAGAGAAACATTTGTTTTTCTACTTTTTATGCATTCATTAACTGATTCTTGTATGTGCCGTGACCGGAGATTAAACCTGTAACCTTGGCAAATTAGGACAATCCTCTAACCAACTGAGCTTCCTGGCCTGGGTATCAGGAAGATTTCTAAAAGCATTCATCAACTAAGAATCTCACCATCGCCCGGCCAGTGTGGCTCAGTGGTTGAGAGTCTACCTATGAACCAGGAGATCATGGTCAGGTCACATGCACAGATGAGGCCAATCCTCAGTAAGGGGGTGTGCAGGAGACAACCAGTCAATGATACTTTCTTATATTGATGTTCTATCTCTCTCTACCTCTCCATTCTTCTCTGGAATCAATAAAAAAAAATATTTAAAACAAAAAAAGAATCTCTTCATCTACTAATCTCAAATTTCATGCCTTGCCCAAATTCAATCACTTAAATGAGAATCATGGAAATGTCATAATTTACTGTATTGATCATTTACTAGTTTTTTAAAATGAATTCATACCAAAGTGGATTGAGAATGGCTTTGCAAGTTGGCCTGCTGCACAGCACAGGTTCATACTGTACAGGGGGCAGGTCTGGACGTTCTTTCAAAGGTGTAAGGAGACAAGCCAAAGGTACCACCATTCTCGTAGCCTCGAGACGGCTAGAAGGCCACACATTCCAACTGAAACGCACACCGTCCCGTTCTTCATTCTGCTGAATGAACTCCAGATATGTTGCCATCGTCTAAAAAGAAACTGAAGATAGAGTTTTAATTATATGTGAAATTGTTAACTAAACTTCAAAGACAAAAAAATATAAAAAGGTCCCCTAACACAATGTTTCTTAACACTAAGTCTGGAAGAACTGTCACTGTAGGATGACAACATCTTGCTTGTCGATGACCCCCAAAAGCTGATTAACTTCAGTTATCTTTGACTACTGTTCCTTTCTCAACCCTCCTCTCTAAAACTTAAAAAAGTAAAAAGAGCAGGAGGCTCTTTTGAGATGATCATTTGTTCATCTCTAAAATGCATTTAAACCTCCTCATCTCATCATCAGCCAAGCTAATTTCAGCTCCTTGCCCAAGGGTTAGTCTCAGACTGTTTCAGGATCCAGCTACCTTCCTCCCTAATCCCTTTCCTTCCTTGGTCTACTAAAATAAACACTACTAAAATTTTCATGCCAAGTGATCTTATTTTTGTGCCCTTTTCCCTCCTTCCTTTGTTACCTCTGGAGGAAAGAACTGCATATTGATGTGGGAATCCAATTCATAATGGGAATAGCCACTAGTTCTGAGTGAATTTTTACTTGGAATCAACCAAAATTACAAAGGAAAGTTTGCTATTATGTTTAGTGATTTCCTCACCAAGACCTCTCTACTCACCATGGTTGCTTATGTCCGTGCCTTGAAAGATTCCAGAATAAAATAGTCATTCAGACTAACCTTTTCAAACCCCAATAACACCAACTCCATCTAATGTTTTATACATCCTGTTTACATCCTAAAATCTAGGTTAACACACATTTCAGCTATTAGGGTTTAAGAGGACAAGCACCTCAAGAAAAATGGGGGGAAGGGAGAGGAGGGAAAGCAAATGAAAGAATCTAGAATATCACTGGCCTCTAGTGCTCATTTTATACAGTTCTGAATAATAGTCTCCATGTTATTATCAGAATCACCTTACTGTAATGATTTGAAACAAGATAATGGTTATATATGGCTAGAAAAACGAATGAATGATTGAGTCTACTATCCATAACCTATCCACAAGTATTCCAAATATTTGTTTCAATGAAACTCTATGGCATATATTTATTTGCTTTTTTCCTGACAAAAGTGGGAAATTGAAGCACTGTACACAGGAAGCACTTCTTCAGCTTCCTGGATGGCAAATGGATCTAATTCTAAGATCACAGTTCTCAGCAAGTACCTCAACAGGCTTCACTGGCTACTTCCTCTCTCAAAAGAGTTCATTATTAAAAGGTACTGGCTCCATCCAATGTCCTCAAGCAACTACATATTAGAACCTGCTCTCTCAGTTTCCCACTGACTCCTCCTCATGCCTTCTTCTACAGCATGGATTATTTAACAAAAAACATTTTTTATTTTTTCAGTTACAGTTAACATTTAGTTTCAGGCATATAACCTTGTGATTAGACATTTAGGTAATTTGCAGTGATCATCCTGATAAATCTAGTACCCATCTGACATATGTGGCTACTACAATATTATTGACTATATTTCTTATGCTGTAATTTACATCCCCATGACTACTCTGTAACAACCAATTTGTACTTAACCCCTTTACCTTTCTCACTCATTTCCCCAACCCTCCTCCTATCTGGCAATGATCAAAATGTTCTCTTTATCTATTAGTCTGTTTTGCTTGCTTGTTTATTGTTCTTTAGATTTAATTGTTTGATAGATACTGTCATTTTAGTGTTCACATTTTTTATTTTTTCTTCTTTTTAAAGGAGAACCTTTAACATTTTATGTAATAATGATTCAATGGTAATGAACTCCATTAGCTTTTTGTTGTCTGGAAAGATCTTTATAGGTCCTTCAATTCTAAATGACAACTTTCCTGGGTAATCTTGGTTGTTGTAGGTCTTTGCTGTCTGTCACTTTATTTTTTTTTTTATTTTTTTTTTTGTAATTTGTGTTTTATAAAAGTTTATTGATTGATTTAAGAGAGAGAGAGAGAGATTTGTTGTTCCACTTATGTATGCATTCATTGGTTGATTCATATATGTGCCCTGACCTGCACTCCAACCCGACACCTTGGCATATCAGGAGGACTCTCTAACTAAGGAGCCACCCAGCCAGAGCCCAATTTGCTTTTTTAAAACTTGCATTATCATGACAATCTTTCTATATTAGTACATGTCAATATGCTATATTTTGTTAAAGAGTGAATAGTATTTTACAAAATGTATTTTTAAATCAATATAGCTAACTTCCTATTATTGCTGGATAGTTAATTGATTTTCTTCCCTTTTATTTATTTATTTTTTTTGTTTTGTTTTTTTTAATTTTTTTAATTTTTTAATTTTTATTTTTTTTATTTTTTAAATCAATCTTTATTGTTTATATTATTACAAAGGTTCCTCATTTCTTCCCCCCTCCACCAGGTTCCCACCCCACCCTCTGCCCCCTCCCCATCCCCCATTGTCCTCATCCATAGGTGCAGTTTATGTTCAGTCTCTTCTTCCCTCCCTTTCCCCAATAGTAAATTCCTTTTCAGATAGTAAATCAGTTACTTAGCATGTCTGTCACTTTAAATATTTCTTGCCACCCGCTTCTGGCCTGCAAAGTTTCTGTTGAGAAGTCAGCTGACAGCTTATGTGAGCTCCCTTGTAGGTAACTAACTTATTTTCTCTTGTTTCTTTTAAGAATCTGTCTTTTAATCTTTTGCATTGTAATTATGATGTCTCAGTATGGGCCTCTTTGGGTTCATCTTGTCTGGGACTCTCTGTGCTTCCTGGACTTGTATATCTATTTCCTTCACCAGGTCAGGGAAGTTTTCTGTCATTTTTTCAAATAGGTTATGAACTTCTCACTCTTTTTCTTCTCCTTGTACACTCACGATGTGAATGTTGGAATGCTAGAAGTTATCCCAGAGGCTTTCTACACTATCTCCATTTTTTATGGGGGGGGGATTCTCTTTCTTATTGCCGTTCTGATTGGGTGTTTTTTGTTTTTGTTTTTAAAAAATATATATTTTATTGATTTTTCACAGAGAGGAAGAGAGAGGGATAGAGAGTTAGAAACATCGATGAGAGAGAATCATCGATCAGCTGCCTCTTGCACACCCCCTTACTGGGGATGTGCCTGCAACCAAGGTACATGCCCTTGCCCGGAATCGAACCTGGGACCTTTCAATCTGCAGGCTGACGCTCTATCCACTGAGCCAAACCAGTCCCAGCTGATTGGGTGTTTTTTGCTTCCTTATGTTATTTGCAGCTTCATCTACTCTACTGTTGATTGTCTATAAATTATTCTTCATTTCAGTTAGTGTATCTGTTAGGTCTGACCAAATAATAGAATTCTAAAAGTCAGTTCCCATGTGCATGAAATTCATGCACTGGGGGTGGGAAGGGAGGATGTCCCTCAGCCCAGCCTGTGCCCTCTCGCAGTCCAGGATCCTTTAAGGGATGTCTGCCTGCTGGCTTAGGCCCAATCCCCTAAGCTGGCAGGCAGACATCTCTCTCACAATCCGGGATCCTTCGCTCCTTACCACCTTACTGCTAGCTCCTTCGCTGCTCTTTAGTGCTGCTGTGGAGGCAGGAGAGGCTCCCGCCACTGCCACTGCGCTCGCCAGCCATGAGCCTGGCTTCTGACTGAGCAGCACTCCCCCTGTGGGTGTGCAATGACCACCAGATAGCAGTTCCTACATTGAGCATCTGCCCCTAGTGGTCAGTGTGCATTGTAGCAACTAGTCATTCTGCCATAACGGTTGCTTAGGCTTTTATTATATAGATATAGATTAGGTCATCTGGAAAACCAAAATGGTGCCAGCATCCAGGGACAAGAGAAGTCAAAGATTTTAAAGGTCTGCCGAAACTGGTTTGGCTCAGTGGATAGAGCATCGGCCTGCAGACTCTAGGGTCCCAGATTCGATTCCGGACAAGGGCATGTACCTTGGCTGCAGGCACATCCCCAGTGGGGGGTGTGCAGGAGGCAGCTGATCAATGTTTCTTTCTCATCGACGTGTCTAATCCTCTATCCCTCTCACTTCCTCTCTGTAAAAAAAATCAATAAAATATATTTTAAAAAAGGAAAAAAAAGGTTTTAAAGGTCTTTGGGTGGGCTTTTTCAGGTGGAGAATTCTCTGGGTAGGTCTGGAGGGGAAAGATAATGGTTTTAGCAAGTGGAATGTGGCATAAGTAAAAGGGAATGTCGATTGTAAAGAGGTCTAAAGGTCAGTTCCCAGGAGGGAAACCCGCCCTCCGGCGCCCAAATTTCATGCACTAGGCCTCTAGTTAACTCATAATTCTTTAGCCCTTTGTCTCATGCGTTCCTTCTCCAGAGACACTAAAAGTATCCTTCACACTGACTGACTCATTTTAATAGTTTCCATGACCACTTTAATGTTTTTATTGATTTTAGGGAGAGAAAGGGGAAGGGATAGATAGAAACACAGATAAGAAACATCTATTGGCTGCCTCCTGCAAGCCCCTACTGGGCAATAAGCCTACAACCCATGGGCATGTGCCCTTACCTAGAATCCATATGGTGACCTCTTGGTTCATGGGTCAATGCTCAACCACTTAGCCATACCAGCAGGGCTCCATGTCCATTTTCATGCCGTTGAAGTTCTAAGTTCCTGCAGCATCTTTATAACCACTGTTTTGAACTCTATATCTGGTAACTTGCTTGCCTCCATTTCACTTAGTTTGTGTGTGTGTGTGTGTGTGTGTGTGTGTGTTTTTTCCTGGACATGTCTCCTGTCCTTTCATTTGGGGTTTGTTTCTTTGTCTCCAAATTTTGGCTGCTTCCCTATGCATCTTTCTACGTACTAGGTAGAGCTGCTACATTCCCTGGACTTGGTAGAGTGGCCTTGTGTAGTAGGTGTCCTGTAGGTTTCAGTGGCACAGCCTCCCAGTTCACCTGAGCTGGGTGCTCCATATGGGCACTGTCCTGTTGTAATTGAGCCTTAATTGCTGTTGGCATCACTGGGAGGAACTGACCCCCAGGCCGATCAATTGTGAGGACCTGTTGTGACTACAGCAGAGGTGCAGAAACTGACATTCAAAGCAGGACTTGCTTCAGTGGGCTTTGGTGCTCAGAAAGTCTGCCCTTTGAGCATGTCAGTACAGCATGGATTCTTAACCCACCCAGAACTTGAGGCTCAAACAATCCTCTGAAACTTACGTGAAATTCTGTGCCTCAGTGAATTTGCACATAGAACCATCTAGGAAAATGGTTTTATGGCTTACACCAAATTCTCAAAGGGTAAGGGTATTTGAGGAGATTAACAGCTGAATGAATGAATATATGAAAGGGCTGGAAAGATCTGATAGAAGTGCCGGACAAAAAAAAAAAAAAAAAATCGGGACCACTCTTACTCCATCCACCAAGGCATATTTTCAAGACACAGAAACCAAGTTTAACCAAAGATTAAATCCAAGGCAATCAGAAGTCCCGTGTTCTGGTTTCAGCTCTATCAAGAAGCAGAAGTCATTTCACTCGAAACGCGAGTTCAAAAACTGAAAAAGGGGCCTGGGTCCTTTCGCACCCCTCCTTTCTGAGACACCCCTACTCAGAAGCCGGCCTGCGGCTGGGGAAAATCGGCCTGGCGGGGAAAGCGTCACCCTCAGAAGACCCCTGGATCACCAATCGCCCCCATTCCTCTGCCCGCCGGTTAAAGGATTCCCACCCGGAAGCTTACCCTTCGCCGCCTACACGCCCACGCCGGTGCCCTGACCTCGGGCCCCTCCGGCGTCCCCCACTCACCTGGCCGGATCCGTCCACCTGGCCGCAGGAGCCCGCACCTACAAGAGACCGGCGGCAGCTCCCACCGCCAAGTCCAGCTCAGCTCTAAGTCGATTGGTCAGCGTCTCTGTGCGTCACTCCCGGCACCGCCCACGGGCCAATCAAAAAGCGCTTCCTCCCGGCAGACAAGCGGAAGCAAGACATTCAGGGAAGCCGCGACGCCATCTTGGAGAAGGGCAAGACTCCCGTGCCTCGCTCCACAAAAGCTTAGTTCCTCAGAACATACTTTCCTCCACGGTCACCGCTGAACGTTTCCGCTTCAGAGAACCTCGGCGCCAGCCGGACTGTTTTCTAGACGCAGCCAGCCCGCCTCAGGTGCACTCTCTGATCCAACAGGACGTCCGCTCGCCTCGGTGGGAAGTTCCTCTCATCACCTTAGTTACCGGGAAGCGAGAACGATGACGTATGGCCCCGGAAGAAGGGGTGGCCCTGTGCAGAGGAAACTGAAGCCGGCTGGAAAGAGGCGGCAGCGCGCGGGAAAGGGTGGGGCGGGGCGGGGCGGGACGGGGCGGGGCGGAAGGCGTGTGGGCGGGGAGTGTGGGGACCGCCTGCGCTTGCCCAGATGTGTGGAGGCAGGTCTCTGGGTCCGGTTAAGATTCATGGTGCCTTTTGCTGCATTGCTGCAGAGAGAGAAAGATGGGTCGCCAGCAGTTCTACTGGAGCCATCCGAGGAAATTCGGCCACGGTTCTCGTTCCTGACGCGTCTGCTCAAACCGGCGCGGTCTGGTTCGGAAATATGACTTTAACATGTGCCGCCAATGGTGTTAACGTCAGTACACGAAGGACATAGGTTTCATTAAGTTGGATTAAGTGAACTTCCATGAATAGGTCATTTAAGCCATATACCTTAAGACAGAATGCTAAAAAATAAAATAAAATTAAATTTTAAAAAAAAGAATGCTATCTCTCTGTATGTAAAATAAATAAATAAATAAATAAATATCAAAGTAAGAGCTGACCAACCTATGCGTGAGAAGACAGACAAATCTTAAAACAAGCCCAAAGGAAGGTATATTGTTTTCCAGCCTTCAGTTCTTGCCATTGTTTTTTGAACTGAAAACCACTAAACAAACCACCACTTAGCTATAGGAATGCCTCTGGATGTTTTCATTTATTTTAAGTTTTCAACAATATTATTGAGATATGTAAGTTGTACAAATTTAAAATTACAAATTTAAAATTACAATTTGTTAAATTTGTTTTTGTTTTTTCTTTTTTTATTATGAATAGAACAATGCTTTTTTCATACTTCATATTGTTTTTTATTGTTTAAAGAATTACAAATATTAGTACATATGTCTCCTTTTATTCCTCCATTAACCTTCCCCCCGCCTCCCGATCCCCCTGGCACATGTCCTCAGCCCCCCCCCCCCCTAGTATCTTGCATCCATTGGTTCTGCTTATATGCATGTATACAAGTCCTTTCCCCCAACCCCCGTCCACTTTGTTAAATTTTGACACTACTGCAATCAAGATAACAAATGTGTAGCCCTGGCTGGTTAGCTCAGTGATTAGAGTGTCAGCCCATGCACCAAAGGATAATGGGTTTGATCCCTAGCCCAAGTTGGGGTGCACAGGGGTTGCGGCAACCAATCAAAGTGTCTCTCTCACATCAATGTTTCTCTCTATCTATCTCTCTCTCTATTTCTCTCTCTCTCTTTTCCTTACCCCCCCTTCCTAACTCCCTTCCACTCTCTCTAAAAATCAATGAAAAAAATATCCTCCTCGGGTGAGGATTATAAAAACAAAGATAAGGAATGTGTATATCACCCTGCAATGTTTCCTTGTGTCTCTGATATATCTATTTTTTTTAGAGTTTTGAATAAGTGGAAACATATGGTACATACTCTCTTTTTTTTGGCATCTATCACTCAACATAATCCTTTTGAGAAAGGGAGAGGGATAGAAAGTTAGAAACTTCGATGACAGAGAAACATCGACGAGCTGCTTCCTGCACACCCCCTACTGGGGATGTGCCCACAAGCAAGGTACATGCCCTTGACCTGAATTGAACCTGGGATCCTTCAGTCCACAGACCATTGCTCTATCCACTGAGATAAACTGATCAGGGCAGTAACACTGACCTTTTAAAGAAAATCTGGAGTCTAAGATCCAAGAGGGAAAAGGATGTCTTGCTCTTCCTAGACATACTGGGGCAGTGTATCATTGATCATCTACTTGCACCTGCTCAAAATATAAACTGCTGGAGTGTTTCTCAATGTCAGATGCTAACACACATGTAATGTACACAGTGAGTAAGTCCATGGGAAGAGCATGTACTTTCCTCTCCATTCCCATTTATAATATACACTCTGTCCACCTCAATTCAATAAGCTTTGACTATATAAGATAGGACCAGTTCCTAAAATTTCAGGATTGCCATATTATAATAGGCAAACCCTTTCATTGTGTTTTTTTTCTTCGTTTTTAAAAATATATATATTTTATTGATTTTTCACAGAGAGGAAGAGAGAGGGATAGAGAGCTAGAAACATCGATGAGAGAGAAACATCGACCAGCTGCCTCCTGCACAACCCCCACCGGGAATGTGCCCGCAACCAATGTACATGCCCTTGACCGGAAACAAACCTGGGACCTTTCAGTCCGCAGGCTGACGCTCTATCCACTGAGCCAAACCGATTTTGGCTAAACCATTTCATTGTTATCTAAGTTTCCCTAGTCTCTAAATTGGTTTAAGTTATTGTTATTCATATTCTCTACACAAATGGTGAAACCTTTTAAAGGACACGTTTAAAGTAATAAAAAATAACAACCAGAGCCGAAATCGACTATTATACTAAAAATTATTTTGAAATCAGAAGTAAAAATGATAAGGATTCCAGAAATCCTCAACTAATAAATAGGCTGTGTCTGTATGTTTGAACTAAAAGCACACTTTCCTATGGAAATACCAATAATTCTAGTAAAGAAAGAACACATTCTGGGTATGTCACAACCTGTCTTAATTAAGGGAGGAGGGAACGGGAGTGCCAGTAAGAGGCAAGTAAAAGATGATACCCATTGGGTGCCTTGTGGGTTAAGGAAGGCTGGAGTAACCCTATTGGCCCCCTAGAACTACAATCCCCAGAATGCCGCAGTGCAGGCTCCCTTTGGGCTCTGAGCACTGCAGGATCGGCTGCCAGGGTAGCCTGGCTTACCTGCGATCATGGCTTCTCCTTGCAAGGTGGTGATTGTTCCCGGGAACGGAGACGTGAATGTGGCGGACGAGGACGGATGGTATTGCTGGGTGAAGAAGAGGCTGGATCAGGTAAGACACACCTCGCTGCGCTGGGAAATCAGCCTGGAGCTGAAGGGGACGGAAGGGATGGAGGACTGAAATTTGAACGTGTCTCCCCACTCCTCCTAAACCCCAAGCCCTGTGTATTTTCATTTCTCCCCTTTGCTACACTTCTTAATTTCGATAAACCTCCCTTAGGGCTTAGTCGTTAAAGAATAAGGCACCACCTCTTGGAACTGCGGAGACCGAGTCCCCTCCCCCTCCTGGTATCTGCTGCTGGTTCAGATTTGGGAGTGCCCATAAAGCTTTACAGCTGTTCCCTTTGCTCCCTGGCTCAGATTCTTTAAAATTCAACATGTTGTATTAATGAATGTATACAAAATATGTGTAATATGTATGCAAATTATGAATCATAATGGTATAAGCCCATGCTTCCTCTTTAAAAAAAAATATTTTATTGATTTTTTTACAGAGAGGAAGAGAGGGATAGAGAGTTACCCTGTTTCCCTGAAAATAAGACAGTGTCTTATATTAATTTTTGCTCCCAAAGATGCACTAGGTCTTATTTTCAGGGAATGTCTTATTTTTTCCATGAAGAATACGGTACATTTATTGTTAAATAAAAATAAAGGAAATTTAGTACCTGTATACAGTACGGTGGTATGGTAGTTGTCAACATAAACCAGACAAACTGTGAATCCTACAGTATCAAGAATTTACTCATTTATTCAATGACAATCATGTCATCTTCTGGAACATCATCATAATAATCCAATTCCTGAATTTCCTGGTGAATTTCTTGTGACTCCATTTCTTTCAGAATCAGTGGACCAAATCTCTCATGTTTAGCCTAGGGGGCCTTATTTTTGGGAGGATGCCTTATTTTCACTCAGAAGGAAACCTGTAAGTAGGTCTTATCTTCTGAGGATGTCTTATTTTGGGGGAAACACGGTAGAAACATCAATGAGAGAGAATCATCCATCAGCTGCCTTCTGCACAACCCCCACTGGGGATGTGCCCGCAACCAAGGTACATGCCCTTGACCGGAATTGAACCTGGGTCCCTTCAGTCTGCAGGCTGAAGCTCTATCCACTGAGCCAAACTGGTCTCGGCCCGTACTTCCTCTTGTTCTACCTGGAACTCTCTGTCCCTTGATACCTGTATGGTTTTTTCCTCCTGAGAATCCATCATCAAACTAAAATCTAGAACATTACCAATACCATCTGTGTGCTCCCAGCCCATTTCCCAGCCATCTTTATTTTATTTTCATTTTCTCCTCTTTTTAAAGTTAAAGTACTTTTGCAACCTCTATTGTATTTTTTAAACATGCATTGTTTAATCTGGCTTCTTTGTGAGCTTTGTAGAAATGGCATTCTACTGTGGCAACATAATTGTGGTTTTTGTTTCGTTTTTTTTTTAAACTCTCTTCTGTAACCAAACAATAAGATTACTTCCTGGGTTGCTGACCCCTTGAGCACTGAAGTAAGTTGCTATTATAAAATACCTGGGTTGTGGCTGAAAACCATGGCTAGAGCTATCTGAGAGGATGGGATCTCCAACCTTCTGTATCACATTTTATCTACTCCCTGGCCCACAGTCTGTTTGGCTCCAGGTCATTCGGTCTAGAACACATTCAGTAATACTCTCTCTACAGTTACAAGTATTTCTATATAGATACCTACAGAGCTGGCTAGGTATGGATTAACAGACACATGACATTTATGAGGATTGTATATTCATACATAATCCTATAGTGCTTTACCTGGTTCATTTCATAACCTAAGCAAACACTTATTAAAGATCATATTAGGTGTTTCTTTTCTTATTAGCAAGTATAAGTAGTAATGAAGCTGTTTATTATAGCTTTTTTTTCCCTCCCTTTCATATCATAGATACCTGGTTTCCAGTGTTTGACTAAAAACATGCCTGACCCAAGTGAGTATTAAAAGTGTTTTTATTTTTTAATTTTTATTGTTCAGATTATTACAGCTATCCCTCATTTTCCCCCCATAGCTCCCCTCCACCCAGTTCCCACCCCATCCCACCCCAGGCCCTGGCAACCCGTCTGTGTCCCTATGTACTGCATATATGCCTGTAAGATCTTTGTCCAATCTTTTCCTGCACACCCCACGCTCCCTCACACTGAGAATTGTCAATCTGCTCCATTTTCATGCCCCTGATTCTATTATTTTAAAAAAATATATTTTATTGATTTTTTTTACAGAGAGGAAGGGAGAGGGATAGCTAGAAACATCAATGAGAAAGAAACATTGATCAGCTGACTCCTGCACTCCTCCTACTGGGATGTGCCCACAACCAAGGTAGATGCCCTTGATCAGAATCGAACCTGGGACCTTTCAGTCTGCAGGCCGATGCTCTATCCACTGAGCCAAAACGGTTAGGGCTGTTCATCAAATTTTTTATTCATTTGATTTTTAGATTCACTTGTTGATAGATATGTATTTATTGTCACTTTGTTGTTTAGAATTTTTTATATTTACCTTTTTCTTCTTCTTCCTCTTCTTAAAGAATACCCTTCAGCATTTCATATAATACTGGTTTGGTGGTGATGAACTCCTTTAGCTTTTTCTTATCTGTTAAGCTCTTTAGCTGACCTTCAATTCTGAATGATAGCTTTGCTGGGTAGAGTAATCTTGGTTGTAGGTTCTTGCTATTCATCACTTTGAATATTTCTTGCCACTCCCTTCTGGCCTGCATAGTTTCTATTGAGAAATCAGCTGACCGTCTTATGGATACTCCCTTGTAGGTAATAGTTTATCTCTTGCTGCTTTTAATATTCTCTGTCTTTTGCCCTTGGCATTTTAATTATGATGTGTCTTGGTGTGGTCCTCATTGGATTTCTCTTGTTTGAAGTTCTCTGAGCTTTGTGGACTTGTAAGCTATTTCTTTCACCAGGTAGGGGAAGTTTTCTGTCGTCATTTCTTCAAATAGGTTTTCAGTATCTTGCTCTCTCTCTTCTTCTGGCATCCACATAATTTAGATGTTGGTACACTTGAAGTTGTCCCAGGGGTTCCTTACACTCTCTTCATCTTGGTTCTCCTCTTAAAAGTGTTTTTAAATAGCTTCATCTTATTTTTAAAAAAATGTATTTTATTGATTTTACACAGAGAGGTATTGAGAGGGATAGAGAGTTAGAATCGATGAGAGAGATACATTGACCAGCTGCCTCTTGCACACCCCCTACTGGGGATGTGCCCGCAACCAAGGTACGTGCCCTTGACCGGAATCGAACCTGGGACCTTTCAGTCCGCAAACAGACACTCTATCCACTGAGCCAAACCGGTTTCAGCATTTTGTTGGGTTTTGATCTTGTATTTTCCTGGTAGAGAACAAGAATATCATAGTAGAGAAGCTAAACAGAATATGTACCTAAGAATGAATGATGGCAAGTAGTTTGGGGAGGAGGATATATACAAAAAAACAAAACAAAAAAACAACCAAACAAACAAAAAAAACACAAAAAGACAAAAAAACAAACAAAAAACTAATAGACAATTCTAGTAAGGATCAAGAAAAGCACTTGGGCCTGGCCAGTTGGCCCAGGTGACTGGAGCATCATCCTGTACACCAAAAAGGTTACAGGTTGGATTCCCAGTCAGGGCACATACCTAGGTTGTGGTTCAATCCCTGGTCAGGGCATGTATGGGAGGCTATCGATTGATGTTTCTCTCACCCCCCTTCTTCTCTTTCTAAAACCAATAAAAACATATCCTTGGGTGAGAATTTTTAAAAAAGGGAAAAAAATAAAAATACTTGGACTTGGTAAAATTTAATTTTTAACTTTGTAAGCAACTTGACTTTCTCTTCCATAAATCAACAATTATTTCCAGGCAAAATTTATGGGTGTTCCACTTGAGGCAGAGATAGGATAAAACTCTATAGCATTTATGAGATCCTAATATTTAAAAAATATAACAGTGACTCTTTTGTTCTGAGTTTGGCTATGATTTGTCTCAGGAATTTCCGTTTTGAAAAGAAATAATGTATAAATTTGAAAGAGAACATTGTCCTTTAGGTTGGAAAGTTTAAAGCTTCAGAGTTATAGTTTATTATCTCCGCAGTATTTTCTTACAATGGTAAAAAATAAAAACAAAACTACAGATTTGATTCTTTCAAACAGCAACATGCAATGTCTCTATTAAAATGGCTCCATTGCCACTGTGATCTGAAGTTTTATTTTATTTATTTACTTTTTAAAATATATTTTTATTGATTTTTTTACAGAGAGGAAAAGAGAGGGATAGTTAGAAACATCGATGAGAGAGAATCATCAATCAGCTGCCTCTTGCACACCCTCTATTGGGGAATGCCCGCAACCAAGGTAACATGCCCTTGACTGGAATCGAACCTGGGACCTTTCAGTCTGCAGGCCGACGCTCTATCCACTGAGCCAAATCGCTTTCGGCATGATCTGAAGTTTTAAAGTTGTGAATAGATGAAGGCTGTCCCTGTCAAATGACAGACTCTTTCTTTACCCTGAACCTTAGTTACAGCTCGAGAGAGCATCTGGCTACCCTTCATGGAGACAGAGCTGCATTGTGACGAGAGGACCATCATCATAGGCCACAGTTCCGGGGCCATCGCGGCCATGAGGTGCGATCCTTGAATTATCACCCTGTGTAGGCTCCTACCGTTTTCTTGGGAAATACCTTGTATATATCTGGTTTCCCTGTAGAGGAAATAGTACTGACCTCAAAAGTGGCAATATAATTTATCGTAATGCTTCCTGGTTTGGTTAGTGGGTTAAAACCTTTTTTTTTTCTTTTCTTGGGACCCAGTGATCTTTTTTTTTCTTCTTTTTATAAAATGTTTTTTTTTTTAAAAAAAAATATAATAAATCTTTATTGTTCAGATTACAGGTGTTCCTCTTTTTTACCCCCCCACCCCCCTCCATAGCTCCCTTCCACCTGATTCCCCACCCCACCCCACGCCCTTACCCCCTGCCACTGTCTTCATCCATAGGTGTAAGATTTTTGTCCAATCTCACAATGGACTGGTGAATATAATAGAATCAGGGACATAGAAAGGGAGTGGACTGACAATTCTCAGGGGGAAGGAAGTCTGAATGGTGCAGGAAGAGATTGGACAAAAACCAGTGATCTTTTAAACACATTAGTGATTCCATCCCCAGCTGCTACACTTCTCTTTAGAAAAACTCCTAGGCCTTCAAGGCTCTGAGTAGTAGCTCCAATGTCATCTCTACCTTCGCTGCCCCAGCCTGGTTTACAGACTTCATTATAGTTCCTTAACGTGCTAAGTGTGCGCCTATCTTAGGCCCGTACTTGCTCTTGTTCTACCTGGAACTCTGTCCTTAGATACTGCATGGTTTTCTTCTCCTCTTTAGGCTCTGCTTGATCGAATATTCCCTCTCAGTGATGCCTCTTCTAATCACTCCATTTCAAACAACCACCTCACTTCACTGGCTCCTATTCCATTTATACCTTATTATCCCCTTTATTATCTATACAGTTTTTTGCCATCTGATATCCTGTTTATTTGTCTCCTGCCAATAGAATGTAAGATAAATGAGAGTGGACTTTGTTCTAAAACCCCAGTGTCTAGAAGAATGTCTGGCATATGATCAGTGTTCAGTAAGTATTAGTTAGCAGTTAGAGGCTGTTACTCCTTTTCTCCTTAAACCCCAAGTCCTTAGTATTCAAGGGCATGTTCCTGATGATCACCAAAGAACATGACATCTCTCACTTTAGGGTTGTGAGGCCTAGGGGTTAGGGACTTAGCTGGCTGAATAAGCCTGTTCAGGTTGGGTTTCTTCCATACTTGCCTGGCTAGATGACAAAGGATTGTGGTTTTTATTCATCTAGCATCATCCCAACCAGTCCTTCAGGATGTCACATGAATTGCATGTCAAAGAATCTTGCCCAATTCCATAACTTTTCAGCCACACTAATTGAAGTTATAAGAATAATAATGCTTTGCAATATGGAATTACAGAATTATGGTACAGTTATTGTTTATAAGCTGCCAGGGCTTGTCTGAAAAATGAAGAAATTTCTTAATGCTGAAATACGGTATGTACCAACTCAAGGCCAACCAAATATCTCTCAAGCCACTGGCTAATAAAGGTGTGCCCTTCTTTTATTTATTTCTTAAATATATTTTATTGATTTTTTACAAAGAGGAAGAGGAAGGGATAGAGTTAGAAACATTGATGAGCCGAAACTGGTTTGGCTCATTGGATAGAGCATCTGCCTGCGGACTGAAAGGTCCCAGGTTTGATTCCAGTCAAGGGCACGTACGTTGGTTGCCAGCACATCCCCGGTGGGGGGTGTGCAGGAGGCAGCTGGTCAATGATTCTCTCTCATTAATGTTTCTAGCTCTCTATCCCTCTCTCTTCCTCTCTGTAAAAAAAAATCAATAAAATATATTAAAAAACAAAACATTAAAAAAAAAAAAGAAACATTGATGAGAGAGAAACATCGATCAGCTGCCTCCTGCACACTCCCTACTGAGGATGTGCCCGAAATAAAGGTACATGCCCATGACCGGAATCGAACCTGGGACCTTTCAATCTGCAGGCTGACGCTCTATCCACTGAGCCAAACAGTTTAGGGCAAGGTGTGCCTTCTTTTAAAGATCCCTGGAACTGATTGCAGGGTTGTGAGCAACATTCTAACTTCTAAAGTTAAGGTAGACAGAGAAAAATAGATACCAAAACCATGGGGGATTGTAGAGGATTGACTGAGTCCCAGAGGACCACCCCACAGATTACTTGTTAATCACAAAGGGGAAATAATGTCTTTACAATGAAAGGATTTGATGGATATCACCCATAAGCCAGCAATTACCATCTTGCATGCCACAGCAGGCACACTGATGTGCCACAAGAATTTTTGAAACATGCAATACCTGACTAGTTAGGAGCACCAATCTCTTTTTCCTGAGACTGTCAGATAAGACAAAACAAAACACAAAACAGCCAACATAATAACCATCAGATGAGAAAGGATCAAAATTACGCGCTTTTTTTTGTCAGACTGGCAAAAAGTATATCTATTTTGTATGTCACAGAATTTTAGTAATTAGTTTATGCATACCATGATATAAGAATGGTTGAAAATTGCTGCCTTAAGCAAGTAATCAAAGTTAATCTCAGCAATAATGGGACCACTGGCTTCAGGTGCCTCTGATGGATGAACTGGGAGATTCACATCATCTATGTAATATCTTTGCCAAAAATGTCTAACCTCAGTCTAATCATGAGGAAATAGGCAAATTCAGGTTATGTGATAATGTACAAGACAACTGTCCTAAATTTTTAAAAACTGTTTGTTTGTTTTTTAAATATATATTTTATTGATTTTTCACGGAGAGGAAGGAGAGAGCTAGAAACATCAATGAGAGAGATACATCGACCAGCTGATTCCTGCACAGCCCCCACCGGGGATATGCCCGCAACCAATGTACATGCCCTTGACTGGAATCGAAACTGGGACCTTTTGGTCCGCTGGCTGACGCTCTATCTACTGAGCCAAGCTGGTTTTGGCTGTTTATGTTATTTAAAACAAAAAGTTTGGTATTAGCTGGTTTGGCTCAGTGGCTAGAGCATTGGCCTGTGGACTGAAGGATTCCAGTTCAACTCTGGTCAAAGGCACATGCCTAGGGTTGCAGGCTTGATCCTGTGTAGGGCTTGTAGGACGCAGCCAATCAGTTATTCTCTCTCATTATTGATATTTCTCTCTCTCCCTTCCTCTCTGAAATCAATAAAAACATATTTAAAAAAATTTAAAAGTGACTAGAGTCATGAAAACCAAACGTACTGCACGATCTTTGGATCTAGGATGGAAAAAGCAGTTTTAAAGAGCATTTTTTGTACAATTGGGGGGGGTGGAAATAGAGTTAATATGTTTCAATGTTAAATTATTCAGTGTAATAGTGGTACTGTTATATGAGGATATAGGGATCATGCTAAAAATGTAGGGTGAAAGGTAGCAAAATTAATGAACCTAGGTGCTTGTTATTCTAACTTTTCTGTAGGTTTGAACATTTTTCAAAACAAAAGGTTGGGGAAAGAAGTTTAGGCCCATGAACAAAATATCAACCCTAAATCTTTTCTGGCACCATGGCTCCTTGAAATTGTTATCATTCTATGTCTTACCCTTGCCTGTTTTTTGAGGAAGCTGTCTGCAAATAGTTAACTGTTTCCCAGGCAATGTTCTAGGCACCAGGATCACAAAGATCAAGGTTAAGATGTGCCCTTAAGGAGCTGATGGTTTACATTGGGGAGATAGATATAAGACTGCATAAGTAATACAATGCAATGTGGAGTGTGTGGTAAAGGAGGTATATTTCTGCTATTTACAGAATTTCTTAAAATAGTGTTGGAAGATGTGGCATGCCTTAAAATGCAGATTCCTGCCAAGACCGGTTTGGCTCAGTGGATAGAGTGTCGGCCTATGGACGGAAAGGTTCTAGGTTCGATTCCGGTCAAAGGGCATGTACCTTGGTTGCGGGCACATCCCCGGTGGGGAGTGTGCAGGAGACAGCTGATAGATGTTTCTGTCTCATTGATGTTTCTGTCTCTCTGTCCCTCTCTCTTCCTCTATGTAAAAAATCAATAAAATATATATTAAAAAATGCAGATTCCTGAGCCACATTCTCAACCTTTTAAAAAAAATTTAGATATATTTTTATTGATTTCCGAGAGAAAGGGAGAGGGAGAGAGGAACATCACTGATGAGAGAGAATCATTGTTTGGCTGCCTCTTGCACATCCCCCACTGGGGATCAAACCCGCAATCCAGGCATGTGCCCTGACCCAGATTCGAACCGTGACCTCCTGGTTCTTAGGTCAACCCTCACCCACTGAGCCATGCCTGCTAGGCTTCCCAACCTTTTGAATCATGCTTTGGGACATAGACCGGAAATCTATGTGTTAATCAAATAATGCTGATGCACACTAATGATAGATTGCACACATTGAAGAAAATGATTATACTTTTTAAAAATATATATTTTATTGATTTTTTTTTACAGAGAGGAAGGGAGAGAGATAGAGTTAGAAACATCGATGAGAGAGAAACATTGACCAGCTGCCTCCTGCACACCTCCTACTGGGATGTGCCTGCAACCAAGGTACTTGTCCTTGACCAGAATCAAACCTGGGACCTTTCAGTCTGCAGAAAGACACTGTATCCACTGAGCCAAAAACGGTTAGGGCATAATTATACTTTTATGTGTAGTGTTGGGAAAGGATTGCAGAAGAGGTTTGAACTACCTTGAAAAATGAGTAGGAACTCATATCAAGTAACCATTGGGCTTACAGTTCTGCAGTTTCATTATTTCTCATATTAACTCCAACAGCATATAGCACATACTTCTTGTAAGCTAAACCAAATGAGGTAAGTGGTTAACCGACTTTTTGGTGATCAGATTTAACATTAAATATTAGCTGACATCATTTCTCTTTCTTCAGGTATGCAGAAACACATCGAGTGTATGCGATTGTATTAGTGTCTGCATACACATCAGACTTAGGGGATGAAAATGAACGTGCAAGTGGTAAGTTTGAAGGCAGAAACCCGAGAAGAGCCCTTCCTTTAGTCACATGGCTGCTTGTTCAGGTTATAAAACAGCATTGTCTTTTGGACCGGCTAAAAAATCTAATAGCACATGAAAAATATTTACCACCAATCTTTAGCTGTAAGTTTGGCACTTGGAGAGGTTGTAACCATTTCTAATCCATGGTCTAGAATTGAGGTCTGACTGTATATGAGCCATACTTCCCTTTCACAAGTACCTATGATATCAAGCTTACAGATCTGAAAACCATTTGGGTTTTGATTCTTTATGCGTCTTCTATGGTCTTCACTAGATATTTCAGAATGGCTAGAATAGAAATTATCCATTGGCACTGATAGTTGGTTTATATATATATTTCTTTTAAAATTTTTTATTAAGGTATTATATGTGTACATATATTACCATTGGGTTATATATATTTTTCTCCCTAGGCTACTTCAACCGTCCCTGGCAGTGGGAGAAGATCAAAGCCAACTGCCCTCTCATTGTGCAGTTTGGCTCCACTGATGATCCTTTCCTACCATGGAAGGAACAACAAGAAGTGGCAGACAGTTTGGAAACCAAATTTTACAAATTCACTGACCGTGAGCACTTTCAGGACACAGAGTTTCCTGAAATGATTGAGGTGGTAAAGGCTATACTGAAAATATCAGCACAAACAGAATGAGGTCTGCTATTTTGGCATACCAGTATAGTAGAGCAATGATCAGATTACAGGTAATTCATCAGAAATGCCTAAAACCCCCCCACAAATTTCAGTGTTCAAACTAAGTTACAAATAACATTTCCATTTTCCTTAGAATCTTTATCTTTCCAAATTGCTATGAATTAAAGCAGTATTTTCCCTATGATAAGGGACATAAGGACATGTTAACCATCCAAAGTGAATAAGACACAAATGGAACCCAGGTTTCCTGGTTTCTAGCCCAGATTAAAACAAAATTAATTTAATGTATAATAGTTGTACTCCTCTTTATTTTATTTTTTATTTTTATTTTTTAAAATATTTTATTGATTTTTTTAAAGACAGGAAGGGAGAGAGAGAGAGCTAGAAACATTGATGAGAGAGAAACATTGACCAGCTGCCACTTGCACACCCTCTACTGGGGATGTTCCCGCAACCAAGTTACATGCCCTTGACTGGAATCGAACCTGGGACCCTTCAGTCTGCAGGCCGATGCTTTATCCATTGAGCCAAACCGGTTTCAGCTTCCTCTTCTTTAAAGTGTTGGAGAAAGAAAACATGACTGAAGGTCTAGAGTGTTGGCTTAGAGCTCAAAACACTATTATATTAATTATAAACACTAAGATATTAATCCCAGACTGGGGCCTTTACCTTTGACACCTTGCCCTCTAACCCATGATCCTTCAAACAGGTTGAGAGACAATGAAACATAAGGATGCTATGAGGCAGGGTTTTGCAAGGGTCAGGCAGGGAGTATGAGAAGTCAAACTTTGTTAAGACCACAGTTGGGAGGATAAGGGCTATCTGGAGAACTCATGTCATGTGGGAATGTGACAAGGGTGTGGCCAATTTTCTGATTTTTTGAGGAAAAAACTTTATAGAATGGGTTTATATTTAGGGAATATATATGCATGTATAAATAACGCATATGTACAGGAATTACGTGTAGTCCATGTACCTAAGGATTACTTGGCAAGTACAGTGTAAATAAAAAATTTACAAACATTGCAACACACACAAAACCCAAGCCAGCCATTTGTGGCCTCTGCCGTAATTAACTTAGCCAGGTGCCTTAAAAGATTCACTATAGCCAAAACTGGTTTGGCTCAGTGGATAGAGCATCGGCTTGTGGACTGAAGGGTCCCAGGTTCAAATCTGGTCAAAGGCATGTACCTTGGTTGCAGGCACATCCCTGGTAGGGGGTGTATAAGAGGCAGCCGGTCGATGTTCCTCTCTAATTGATGTTTCTAGCTCTCTGTCCCTCTCCATTCCTCTCTGTAAAAATCAATAAAATACATTAAAAAAAAAAAAAAAAGATTCCCTGTAAAACCTGAGAAATGAACATAATGTCAAAGAATAAAATCATGGAAACAATTTGGATTTTGTTAAGTCTTATTTTTTTACATAACCTTTTAATTCCTGAAACTTTTGTTCTGTAGAGTTCTACTTCCTAACTCCCATGGTTCTTTAGATCTCTTTCATTTCCCATGCTTTTTCTTCTGATCATATTTTAAAAAACCCTTTTCATTTCTTAACAATTTTTGCCTATTACTATCTCTAAATATTGCCTTAAACAATCATTAGATTCACTTGTTGATAGTTATGTATTTGTTGTTCATAATTTTTATCTTTATCTACTTTCTCTTCTGAAAGAACCACCTTCAGCAATTCATATAATTCTGGTTTGGTACTGATGAACTCCTTTAGCTTTTTTTTATTAGTAAAGTCTTTATCTGACCTTTGATTCTGAGTGATAGCTTTGCTGGATAGATTATTTTTGGCTGTAGGTTCTTACTATTCATCACCTTGAATATTTCTTGCCATTCCCGTCTAAAAACCAAGGAAATTTAAAAAAAAAATCTGATGAACAATATTAACTGCTGAATATAATAGAATCAGAGGTATGGAAGGGGAGTGAACTGACAATTCTTGGGGAAAAGGGCAGAGGGGGATGTGGGAAGAGACTGAACATAAACTGTGCACCTATGGATGAGGACAATGGGGCACGGGGAAAGGGCAGAGGGTGGGGTGGGAACCTGGTGGAGGAGAGCAATGGTGGGGGGGAGAAAAAGGAACATTTGTAATAATATGAACAATAAAAACTTATTTAAAAACAAACAAACAAAAAAAAACAATCATTAGCTGCCGAAACCGGTTTGGTTCAGTGGATAGAGCATCGGTCTGCAGACTGAAAGGTCCCAGGTTCGATTCCGGTCAAGGGCATGTACATTGGTTGCGGGCACATCCCTAGTAGGGGGTGTGCAGGAGGCATCTGGTCGATGTTCCTCTCATCGATGTTTCTAGCTCTCTATCTCTCTTCCTCTCTGTAAAAAATAAAAGCAAAAACAAACAAACAAAAAAACATGACATTGTTTATTAAAAAAAACACCACACACAAAAAAAAACAATCATCAGCCAATTATTATAGAAAGTTCAATTGGACAGCACTGGAATCTAGGGCATCCTATCTAATAAAAGAGTATTATGCAAATTGACCATTACCCCAAGATACATAATGGCCACCCCCATGTGGACACAAGATGGCCACCACAAGATGGCCTGCAGGGGAGGGCCGTTGTGGGCAGTTAGGGGTGACCAGGCCTGCAATGGAGACAGTTGGGGGGGATTCAGGCCTGCAGGGGAGGGCAGTTGCAGGGGACCAGGCCTGCAGGGTAGGGCAGTTGGGAGGAACCTGGCTTGAAGGGGAGCGCAGTTGTGGGTGATCACACCAGCAGGGAGAGCAGTTAGGGGTGACCAGGCCAGCAGAGGAGGGCAGTTGGGGAGACCAGGCCTGCAGGGGTAGGTAGTTGGTGGGGACAGGTCTGAAGGGGAGGACAGTTGCGGGGGACAAGGCTTGCAGGGGAGGACAATTGTGGGGAGGGGAGGGAACCTGGCCTGCAGGGAAGGGCAGTTGGGGGAGGACCAGGCCTGCAGGGGAGAACTGGGGGTGGTGGTGACCAGGTCTACAGAGAAGGGCAGGCCTGCAGGGAAGGGCAGTTAGGGGTGACTGGGGTAGGTGAGAGCAGTTGGAGGTGACCAGGCCTGCAGGGGAGGACAGTTAAGGGTGACCAGAGTGGCAGGGGACGGCAGTTAGGGGTAACCAGGCCGGCAGGTGAGGGCAGTTATGGGCAATTGGGCCAGCTAGGGAGCAGTTAAGTGTCAATCAGGCTGGCAGGGGAGTAGTTAGGGGGTGATCAGGCTGGCAGGCAGAAGCGGTTAGGGGCAATTAGGTAGAGGCAGGTGAGCAATTCAGAGCCAGCAATCCTGGATTGAGAGGGATGTCCAATTGCCTGTTTAGTTCCACTGGGATCAGGCCTAAATGGGTGGTTGGATATCCCTCAAGGGGTCCTAGATTGGAGAGGGTGCAGGTTGGGCATAAGGACACCTCCCACCCCCATGCACAAATTTTTTGCACTGGGTCTCTAATGTATTTTGTATTCTTTTTTTTCTTTTTGTATTTTATATTCTTCCCTGACCCACCATCTGACTCAAATTTGAAATTACTTGACTAGTTTGCTTAGTTGGTTATCAGAAAAATCATGGCTCTGTAAAACTCATCACCAAACTAAGATCAGAGAAGTTTCACTGAAGAATCCCACATAAACTATTAGTTTAACTCCCCAACCTGGGCATGTGCCCTGACTGGGAATCAAACACTAAGTCAGGCATGCTGGGCAGAAGCTTACTTTCTGTTTTTATTGATTTTAGAGAGGGAGAGGGAGAAACATTGATGAGAACCATTAATGAGCCATCGAATCATAGATTCTCATTTTTGTATATGGCTCATTATTAACCATAGCAAGGCTTTGCCAGACTCCAGGGAATATCCAATCTCAGGTGAGCAAAATACCTTACGGTATATTATTTTTTTTTTTTTTTTTTTAAATATATTTTATTGATTTTGTACAGAGAGGAAGGGAGAGAGATAGAGAGTCAGAAACATCGATGAGAGAGAGTCATCGACCAGCTGCCTCTTGCACACCTCCCACTGGAGATGTGCCCGCAACCAAGGTACATGCCCTTGACCGGAATCGAACCCGGGACCATTCGGTCCCCAAGCCGACGCTCTATCCACTGAGCCAAACCGGTCCTGGCTACCTTACGGTATATTAAATAAAAATCAACTTTAAGATCAGGACTTCACTCACAACTTGGTTTTTTGGTGTTGTCACGAGTCTAGAGCCCCACTATTTGTTTTGGTCAAAGTTTACTCCAGTACATAAATATACATTTGTCATCGAAGGTGCTGTACTTTTAAGTTATCGTCTTTTTCCTTCAGCTAATTTTCACAATTTAAAATGTGCTATGACAAAAAGATTTAAAGAAAATCTTTATTCTAGTGAGGCAAGGGATACTTTTATGTTTTAGCCATTGATTGTAAGCTTTAAAAATAAATCTCTGGGGGGAAAAATTAAGACATAATGCAGAGTCTATATTTAAAACTGATTCCCGCTTTCCAATGCGAATTCTCCTCCAAGTTCAGTTTGCTTATTTAATAAGACTATACCTCTGTGATAGGCCAGGTCACCCGAAGGACAGATATTATATTCCAATTCTCACTGGTGGTAGAAGAGAAATCTGTACTTTACAGGCTCCTGGATTCTCTGTAACTCATGTATATCCAATACTCAAAAAATGTTATTTGTTTCAGGGGAAACTTGGGATATGTGGGGTCGTAGTGCCTGGCGGCTCCTGCGCTCTGAAAGTCTCGGGGGCCACCGGGCTTCAGCCCCCCGCGGGCGTTTCTTGCCGGCCCTGCGAGAGACTTCTTCACCACCACAACCAAAGAATCACATGATATAAGGATTTGACAAAGCCCAAGCAGAAACAATTGTATCAGTATTAACCACTTTATCAAATGTCAGCTTGGACACTATCTATAAGGAGATGGTCACGCAAGCTCAACAGAAAATAACAGTACAACAGCTAATTGCCCATTTGGACTCTATCAGGAAAGACATGGTCATCCTAGAGAAAAGTGAATTTGCAAATCTGAGAGCAGAGAATGAGAAAATGAAGAGTGAATTAGAACAAGTTAAGCAACAATTAATAAATGAAACCAGTCGAATCAGAGCAGATAATAAACTGGATATTAACCTAGAAAGGAGCAGAGTAACAGATATGTTTACAGATCAAGAAAAGAAACTTATGGAAGCAACCACAGAATTTACCAAAAAGGATACCATAACCAATAGTATTATTTCAGAAACCAGTAATAAAATTGACACTGAAATTGTTTCTTTAAAAACACTAATGGAATCTAACAAGCTTGAGACGATTCGTTATCTTGCAGCCTCAGTGTTCACTTGCCTGGCAATAGCATTGGGATTTTACAGATTCTGGAAATACGATAGCAGTGGAACAACTATATTATGCTTCTACTACTGCTTCCATTGACTTCTTAAAGCACTGAACTACGATAGATTTACTTTGAACATTGAAATTTGTAGCAAAACTTAATACAACAAGATTATTCAAAGTACATATGGACTAAAAATGTTTTAGAATAAGAAAATGTAGTTTGTGTTTTTTAATGTCTATTTTATTATGTTGAAAAGGTGCCATTCAAAACCTGGTTAATTTGAGATAGAAGGGCCTTTTGTCTTTATCTTCTTGATAGCTTATAGAAACTGAACTGGAGTTTTGTGTTTGCTTGAATAACTGTAAATCATATAGGATTTCTTTGGTATCTGCTGCCTACATATTTTGATATGCAACTTTCCTGGTAACTATTACACAATTACCTTTTCATATTTAATAAAATATTATTAAAAAATATTATGTGTTTCAAAGGGCTAGTGTCATCAAATGCTAATTCTATATAGCTGGCTACAGAATTTGATTCTTAAAAATTAGTTATTTAACTGAATTTATTTTACTAATCCCATTTATTTCAAAATAACCTTTCTGGTTGTCCACTTAGCAGGAGTGGGGATCCTTTCTTCTGCCAAAGGCCATATGGATATTTATAACATACATCATTCATTCAATTAAATTTATATTGATAAATTTACACTCCTAGATTTGTTGAATTTTGAGTCCCCTCTATAATTGCCTTGTTGGGCCAGACCAAATAGTTTTGGGGATCTATACAGCCCTCTTGCTGGGTGTTCCCCACCCCTGGCTTAAGAATATTTCCAAACTGGTGTTTGAACTCAGGCCTCAGGAGTAGCTGAGCTTGAATTCCTTTCCTCTGGTATCACACTTTTGGCCTAGCCCAGGGGTCGGCAACCTGCGGCTCCGGAGCCGCATGCGGCTCTTTTGAACCTTTGCTGTGGCCCCCAGCAGGCCCGACACTAGCAGGGCAGATAGCAGGGCGGGGTGGGGAGCTGTATCACTTATGTCGCAATGGTTTTGCGGCTCCGAGGTTTTTTTTTTCCTTCGAAAACGGGTCCAAGTGGCTCTTTATGTCTTAAAGGTTGCCGACCCCTGGCCCTAGCCAAAGAAACTTTTAAAAATTATATATAATTATAATTTATTATATAGATGTATTTCTTGATTTTTTTTAAATTAAAGTATTATATGTGTACATATCTTACCATTGCCCAACTCCACTCCCATATATGCCCTTCCCCTCCGAGTTTTGCGTCCATTGTTTATAAAATATATTTTTATTGATTCAGAAAAGAAGGGAGAGAGTGAGAGAGAGAGATGGAAACATCAATGATGAGAATCAGTGATTGGCTGTCTCCAGCATGTCCCCCCACTGGGGACTGAACCCGCAACCTGGGCAGGTGCCCTGATTGGGAATCAAATCGTGACCTCCTGGTTCATAGGTTGATGCTCAAATACTGAGTCTTGCAGGCCAGGCACATTTATTTTATTTTATTGCTTTTAGAGAGGGAGAGGGAGAAACATAGATAACCATCAATCAGATACCCACCCCCTGCCCCCGCTGATCAAACCTGCAACCTGGACGTGTACCCTTACTAAAATTGAACTGGTGACCTCTCTGTGTATAGAGTGATGTTCAACCAACTGAATTACATTGCCCAGGGCAACACAGAAACTTTTAAATAGAGTTAAAAGGGAAAATACAACAGCTGAGATCCTAAAAAGTCCTCCAGCTAACATCTGTGGAACACTACAAACAAGCTAGTATTTTTTATATGTCTAAAGAATGAAACTGAAAGTGGTATTAGAACTAAGGACAATGACAATGGCTTTCTGCTCAGTTTAGACATATTATATGAGTTTTAGAACAGAATAAAGAAAAGAAATAAGTCTAAAATAGGACAAGAACAAATGAATGGTACCCCTTCCCAAAATAAAGTCTGACTAGAGGGTAATGGATTATTTTTGGTTTTAATGTTACTTAAATAAGAATATAGGAAAAATTCTATTAAATAATACAAATGAGCCACAGAGTGAATTTGTAAGACTTTAACAAAGAAGGTCTAGAGGGAAAAAACCCTTTTGGATGAGAATAATATTTATGGACTGAAAACATCCTTGACAATGGTTATTTAAGTTTGAGGTAAATGCAGTAGCTTAATCTTCCAAAATATTTCTTTTAAAAAAAATATTTTTATTGATTTCAGGGAGGAAGAGATTGAAACATCAATGATGAGAAAGAATCATTGATCAGCTGCCTCCTGCATGCCCCTACTGGGGATTGAGCCTACATTCCAGGCATGTTGCCCATGACCAGAATCGAACCTAGGACCCTTCAATCCGCAGGCCAATGCTTGATCCACTGAGCCAAACTGGCTAGGGCAGTGGTCGGCAAACTCATTAGTCAACAGAGCCAAATATCAATAGAACAACAATTGAAATTTCTTTTGAGAGCCAAATTTTTTAAACTTAAACTTCTTCTAACGCCATTTCTTCAAAACAGACTTGCCCAGGCAGTGGTATTTTGTGGAAGAGCCACACTCAAGGGGCCAGAGAGCTGCATGTGGTTCGTGAGCCACAGTTTGCCGACCATGGGGCTAGGACAAGAATACTTCACATAAAAAGGAACAGAATGTGGAAAAGGATGTTCCAACTATCCTCTCTATTCATACCCCAATTTGCACAGACTGTTCTGCTATTCCTGCCTTTCCTGTTTTAATTTATTCTCAGTGGAACCACTGAGGAAACAGAAATGGTGACAGTGAACCAGATATAAACAATTTCCAATGAAGACCTTAATAAATAGCTTTAAAACAAGCATTTTTAGGCTCCGGCTATTATCCATTGGTAAATACGCATTTGTTGGGTTCTTTTTTTTTGGACAGTCAAATCTTGAAAGCTTCAGATGTTGTCCTCCAGAACTTCAAAGTATTTTATTTATTAAAGAAGGGATTTCACTTACCTGCTTTATATTCTGGTGGCTATTCTACCAATATAAATTTAGTCTTCATAGATTTAAAAAATATATTTTCATAGCAGTAAGTCTGTATCCATGATTGTGAAGTTTGCTTTCAAGGGAAATTGATGTTCCATCATGAGTTAAATAATTTGTTCCCAAAATAACTTCATTTGAAAGACGTCATAAAGTTCCTAGCTCTATTAAAATTCAAGCCATTCTGTCATGTAAATGCAGTTAGAGGGCGAAATCTCACCACCTTCATGGCAGTCATCAAAAACCTTTAAAACAGAAAAATGTTTATATTCAAACTGAAGTTTTAATTTATTATACTAATAAAGTCAAATTAAAGTCTCAAAATTTTATTAAACTATCCAAGACCCAACCGTTTACTTAAAGCACTATTAAAAACAAAACTTTCAAATTGGAAGAGATTAGGTCTGTATTTAAGGACATACTAATTATTAGGCCTGCCCTGTGATCATAAAGTTACTTAATGGGAAATCTTTTACTATAGCATTAAGATGACCATGCTCACCTGCCCACTGGGGAAAAGGCTATTAGCAGGTAACACAGGAATACAAGGGAGATCTATACATAAGAGTGACTTAGCCGAAACCGGTTTGGCTCAGTGGATAAAACTTCTGCCTGTGGACTGAAAGGTCCCAGGTTCGATTCCGGTCAAGGGCATGTACCTTGGTTGCGGGCATATCCCCAGTGGTGGGTGTGCAAGAGGCAGCTGGTCGATGTTTCTCTCTCATCGACAATTCTAACTCTCTATCCTTCTCAATTCCCCTCTGTGTAAAATCAATTAAAAAAAAAAAAAAAAAGAAGAAGAATGACTTAGTTTTGACTAATGAAATGTTTCCTGTTTAGCTACTTTCCTTTTTGTGAAGGGTGCTGAATAGAATTTCTAATATGGTAGCCTTTTTTCTAGTAATTGAAACCATGGCATAGAATGCTTAGATATATAAAAAGGGCCAGTATCTATAATAATAAAAGCATAATATGCTAATTAAACTGGACATCCTTCTGGACGAAGCCAGGGCTGCAAGGGAAGCCCGGTCCCAGGTGCCTGCTGGTGGACAGAGGGAAGCCTGGGTCCTGGGTACCAGAGGAAAGCCAGGGCCAGCAGCTGGGGAAGGAAGGCCTATTCTTTTTTTTTTTCTTTTAATATATTTTATTGATTTTTTACAGAGAGGAAGGGAGAGGGATAGAAAGCTAGAAGCATCCATGAGAGAGAAACATCGATCAGCTGCCTCCTGCACACCTCCCACTGGTGATGTGCCTGCAACCAAGGTACATGCCCCTGACCGGAATCAAACCAGAGACAAGAGTCCGCAGGCCGATGCTCTATTCACTGAGCCAAACCGGTTTCAGTGGAAGGCCTACTCTTGCACGAATTTTGTGCATCAGGCCTCTAGTAATAAAACAAAACAGATTAGCAGCCCATGAATATAAATGTGATGAGGGCTGGGACAGTCCCTATAGCACACAGTTGGCACTCATAAACTATACGGGAATGAGTGAATGAGTGAATGAATGAATGAATGAAGAGTACTTGGGCATACTGCAGGGGAAAGAACATTACCTCTGAATTTGAATCCTGGTTGTTACTTCTAAGCCACATGCTCTTAGGTCTTTCTTGGCCTAAGTTCCCTCCTACTTAAGGGAAAATAACTCCAGTAGCTCAAAGGGACATAAGAAGGATTTAATGAAACCACATAAATCTTCAAAAACATGTCTATGCTATGTTCTCATATTCTCAACAAATTTCATTTCTCACACTACTAAGGTTAAAAGATTAATAGTTGTCAAAAATTGTCCATTTTAACCCTAACTGGTTTGGCTCAATGGACAGAGCATTGGCCTGTGGACTGGAAGGTCCCAAGTTCCATTCCAGTCAGGAGCGTGTGCCTTGGTTGTGGGCACATTCCGGGTGGTGGGTGTACAGGAGGCAGCTGGTCGATGTTTCTCTCTCATCCATGTTTCTGGCTCTCTATTCCTCTCCCTTCCTCTCTGTAAAAAAAAAACAATAAAATATATTTTTAAAAAATTGTCCATTTTAAAACACAGATCTCTTATGTAAGGCAATGATTTGTTCATTAAATATCAAGATTACATGGAGGTTTGATTAATTCTTGGTTAACCCTGAGAGTCAGAAAACTGGGGTGTGCTTATTGGTACGTTACATGGCATTTGCACTTGGAGGTAGTCAAGTGTAATGTGAAGTCTCTTGAACTCACCGGGCAGAGTCCACAGGGGGCCCGGACCAAGCCTGTAGGTGGGATGATTGGATTGACTGCTCTGTACAATTTCATGTGTCCGTCTACACTGCCAACTGTGCCTTCCTTTGCAGCGATGATAGTCATCTCCACTTTCCCATCATATATGAGTGTATTCAAGATGGTTTCAATGTCCTCCATGGACAACTCTACCTGTAAAGAAAATACATTAAAAAGGAAACAAAAAGGACAAAGACACATCCTTTTGGAGGGAGTTAAAAACAAGTCATGGAAAACACAAAGAGGCTGAACAATGATCCAAGTTAGCACAAACCACTCAAATGCTACAGACAGAAAATCTTACCTCAAACTGACTTTCATATCTTTGCTCTTTTATGTAAAACCTAGAAGTCTTGTAAAGTCAAGTTTGGTAAGAATTGGACGGAGATTTATAAAATGCTTGAGCAGAAAGGTACTTTAGACATAAAACAGTCTTTAGTCAAAATCACTAGTTTATTTATAAATGAAAAATCTGGAAAATGAAAAATGACTTGTCCAAATGTTCACTTCAATTTCTTCTTTGATCATGAAAAGTACTCAGCACTATTTCCTTATGTAAAGGACCTTATATAAAAGTCTTCAAAAAATATGCCGATACCACCATATATCTCATAAGAGGAAAATACCAATAAATGACAGCTGATGTGATGACTGTTGGCACATATATTGAAATGTGCCTGCCGTAGCTGGTTTGGCTTTGTGGATAAAGCGTTGGCATTCGGAATGAGGGTCCCAGGTTCGATTCCAGTCAAGGGCACATGCCTGGGTTGTAGGCTCGGTCCCCAGAGTGGGGCATGCAGGAGGCAACCAATCAATGATTCTGTCTCATTGTTGATGTTTCTATCTCTCCCTCTTCCTTCCTCTTTGAAATCAATAAAAATATATTAAAAAAGAAATGTGTCTAAGAAAGTCAGAATAGCCGAAACCGGTTTGGCTCAGTGGTAGAGCTTCGGCCTGCGGACTGAAGGGTCCCAGGTTTGATTCCGGTCGGGGGCATGTGCCTTGGCTGCGGGCACGTCCCCGGTGGGGGGTGTGCAGGAGGCAGCTGGTCGATGTTTCTCTCTCATCGACATTTCTAGCTCTCTCTCTCCCTTCCTCTCTGTAAAAAATCAATAAAAATATATTAAAAAAAAAAAAAAGTCAGAATAAACTTCTGAAAGTGAAATGTACTACGGTACCAGGCTCCGTTCTGCTGCTCTGTCTCCCAAGCTCAAATACACACAGTTCCGATAATGCCAATAGCAATGACGAACTTTGCCTAACTGGCTCAGGATAATACTTTTTCAAAGTGGTTCTGCAGAATATTCACAGGTTATCCCCTGAAAAAATGGTCTGGGTCAAATATGTTTGGAATAAACTATAAGTTTTAAAAAATAAGATAAAAATTAGAAAGTGAGTTCTGACCTTACTGATCCCCAATTCACAGATATATTTCCACACTTCATGTGATGAAGCAAATGAACTATTTCTTTGTATCATTGGATTCTGTTTGCTTTCTCGGGCTGTTTCTGCCTATAAGGATAAGACACATAAATCTTAGCAAAAACACAACTGTTTTCTGAATACAATTTATACAGAGTGAAATCAACAGAACATATTTTGTTTAGTAAAAATTACCAACTTAATATGCTTATGAAACAAGATCTACAAAATTAAACATTCTTTATGAAGAGACTTAAAAAAATGATTGTTTATTCAACTATGCCTTACCTTGGTTTGTAGGAACTTAAAACACTGTTGGTTAAGCACCTCTACAAATTCAGATTCAAAATCCTGGTCACTATACCAGGCTCCACCAGTCACAGACCGGTCTGGCTGCAGGTTATAGAGCATATACACCTTTTTCTTTGAGGCCTAGGAAAAAACAAGCACAGAAGAGGTGCTTATAAGCTAACAATCTCCCAAAACTAAGATGTGAAAAAAGCTCAAAACATTAGATTTTAGAGTTTTAGATTCACAGAATTATTGTGAAAATGGTATAGAATTCCAGTTACCTTATAATGTTTTCCCTATTATTAGCATCTTAAATTAATAGGATACCTTTGTTACAATGATGAACCAATACTGATATATTATTATGAACTAAAGTCTACACTTTGTTCATATTTCTTGAGTTTTTCCATAATATCATTTTTTCTGGTCCATTTCCCCCGCCCCAAGATACCACATTAGATTTAGTTGTCATGTCTCTTGAGGTAAATTTTAGATTGAGACAGTTTTTAAGTGTCGTTATTGATGAACTTGACAGTTTTGAGAATTACTGGTCAGGTATTCTGTAGGATGCCCTTAATTGGGATTTGGTCAATGTTTTTCTGATGAATAGACTGGGAAGAATGATCAGAGATCAAATGACCTTCTTATCACATCACTAGAGGCCCAGTGCACAAAATTCATGCTCTTGGGGGAGGGGGAGTCCCCAGCCCGGGCTGTGTCCTTTTGCAGTCTGGGACCCCTCAGGGTATGTCTGCCTGCCAGCCTAGGCCCAATCCCTGAGAAGCTGGCCTTGCTGCTTCTTAGCGCTACCTCAGAGGTGGGAAAGGCTCCCACCACTGCTGCTGCACTTGTCAGCCGTGAGTCTGGCTTCTGCTGAGGGGCGCTTCCCCTGTGGGAACGCACTGACCACTAAGGGGCAGCTCCTGAGTGTCTGCCCCCCTGGTATTCAGTGCACGTCACAGCGACCGGTCATTCTGGTCGTTCCACCATAATGGTCACTGGGCTTTAATATATATATAGATATTAAGGGTATCTGACTGTCACCAAGTGATGATTGTCATCAATATGACTTATCAGTGTTGACATTAACCTTAATCACCTGGCTAATGGTAGTGACTCACAGTTTCTTCATACTTTTTCCCCTGCCCTTTCCTTGGAAGAAAGTTGTTATGTACTGCCCACAATTAAGGATTAGGAATTATGCTCTACTTTCTTTAGGATGGAGTGTCTACATAAAATTGAAATTCTTCTATATGGACTTGTCTAATGTGTCCCATTTATTTATTCAAACATCTCCTGGTATGGACTCATGAAAATTTATACTACTTGGTTTGCAACCTTGACAATATCATTCTAAGTGAAAGAAGCCAGATCCAAAAAAACAAACACACACACACACACACACACACACACACACACACACACCAAACAAAAAAAAAAAAACCCCACATACACATGATTCCGTTTATAGGAAATGTCCAGAATAGGCAAATCTATAGAGATAGAACATACATTAGTGGTTGTCAGGACCTTGGGACAAGGAGGCTGGGGAATGACTGCTAATGGGGTCACATGCTGGGGTGAGGAAAATGTTTTAAAATCAGAAGAGTGTGATGGCTGCACAATCCTGTGAGTACACTAAATCCCAATGAATCATACCCTTTAAGAGGATTAATTTTGTAATATGTAAATATCTCAATAAAGCTATTAAAAATAAAGATGTAGGAGAATTGTAGAAATGAAGCTAGGAGATGGGTATGTGGGGATTCATTATATTATTTTCTTTACTTCTGTATATATTGGAACTTACCCATTAAAAATGTGAAACAGAAATAATATTCTAACTTAGGGAGTGGTGTGACATAAAAATAATTGATAAGTAAAATCAAATGAATATCAAACTTTTTGGCAATTCACCTATGTTTTTTATTTAATTTTTCAATTACAGTTGACATCAATATTATTTTATATTTGTTTCAGGTGTACAGCCTTGTGGTTAGATAATCATATACCCTACAAGTGATCTCCTGATATTTCAAGTACCCACCTGGCACCATACATAATTATTACATTATTGACTAGGTATATTCTCTATGCTATACTTTATATTCCTGTGGTTATTTTCTAACTATAAATCTGTACTTAATCCCTTTTTGTCTTTTTATCCAGTCCTCCAAACCCCTTCCCCTCTAGCAACCATCATTTTGTTCTCTGTATCTATGAGTCTGTTTCAGTTTTATTTATTCATGTTTTTTTTTTAATATTCCACATATAAGTACAATCATATATTTGTCTTTAACTTCTTTCACTTAGCATACTTTCTAGGTATGTTCATGCTGTCATGGTAAGATTCTATTCTTTCTTATGGCTAATATTCCATTATATATATTAACACTGTTTTTTTTATCCACTCATCTACCTAGGTTGCTTCCATATCTTTGCTATTGTAAATAATGCAACGAGCATAGGGGTGCATATATTATTTTGAATTAGTGTTTTGGGTTTCTTCGGATATAGACCCAGAAGTAGAATTGCTGGGTCATAAGGCAGTTCCATTTTTTTTTAAATTTTTTTTTTTGAGGAACCTCCATAGTGTTTTCCATAGTGGCTGCATCAATTTGCATGAATATTAAATTCTTATATGCTGAAATTTGTGTTCAAGCAAACTTTAATCTAAGGGAATTTTGGCTCCTTTGATACTAAAATCAGTGAGGTCAGCAGCAGATGTCCATGATGAACACAGCTCTGGAGCATGGAGTCCCCGAAGGATGTGATGGGTAGGGTGGGGTGAGGAAGAGAAACTATGTGGTGGAACAGATGATCCACCAAGGCAGAGATCTTTCTCTGACTTATTCACTAATGTATTGCAAGCACACAGTAGATATTTGTTCAATGAGTAATCTAATATATCAAGATAGGAGTAAATTATCTTACACATCACAAAATCCAGAAAAAATGTTCATGATTCCAAAAATTCTTTCCTAAATAGTAATTTAGCTTTACTAATTTATTAATTTTGAGTGGGTAAGAAGTGACATATCTAAGCAGTATCTCCAAACCAATTATGAGCTAAATTTTAAAATATATTTTTTGATCAGTTGTTTTAAATCACAGCACAGCTTAAAGAACAATAAAAACTTGAAATATAATTGGAGTAATATATATAGTAAACATTTGGAAGGAAAGTGAAAACTACTCACTGCTACAGACTTAACAGCTTTGATAAGCTTTTTACTTTCCAAATTCTTTAAAATTTTGTTAATTTCTGTTAATGGCAAATTACTTTTATACCGGATGTCTCTGCTCCATATTCCTGTAAGAAAGTAAAATAAGTTTAAAACTATAAGATTTGTGCTCAATAATACCATTGCTTATATCTCATTCCAAAACCAGCAAAATATATATCTATATATTGCTAGGGCACAACTATAGGAAAAATTAAGTGACATGGAGGTAATAAAACTCTCACATAAAGTAACAAAAGTATGCAAAACAATATATGCTATATGTTCTATTTTCTATAGAAATTTCTTAGAATCCTAGTGTGGAACCTTTTTAAAAACAAATAAAAAGAATCTTTTGTAATGGAAGAAAAATCTTGAATGCTATTAAATTTATGCAGTCATGTGCTACATACTGACATCAGTGATGGACCGCATGTATCCTGGTGGGTCCAAACGATTATAATAGAGCTGAAAATTTCTATCATCTGGTGTCCTAATGTAGCCCAACTCATTACTCATGTGTTTGTGGTAGTGCTGGTATAAACAAACCTACCAGTCGTATAAAAAGACAGCATATACAATTATGTACAGTACATAATACTTGATAAGTGACTATTTTACTGGTTACATATTTACTGTAGTATACATTTAATCATGAATTTAGAATGTACTCTTCCTATTTATAAAAAAAAAGTTTACTGTAAAACTATGCTGCAGAAGCCCCACTTATCCCTAGTCTCATACATTTCGGGTTTACTGTGTCTCTTGATTGCATTCTTTTCTTTTGTGCTTGATTTAATCTTGTGCTGTTTTATACAGTAATATGTTGTAAAGGCTTGTAGTTTAGGAGCCATATACCATATAGCCTAGGTATGTAATAGGCTTATATCATCTATGTATAAGTAAACTCTGTGATATTTGCACAAGGACCATAAAATTACTTAACTATGCATTTTTCAGAACTTATCCTTGTTGTTAAGTGGTGCTTGACTGTCTCTTCCACTCCCTCCTGTATCCCAACCTCTGTTTTCTATAAATTTCACATCAGATTATATATGTAAAACACAAAATTAAGTTTGGGCTACAGTCAGCTGCAATCTTCAAGGGAGAGAAAAAAAACCGTTTATGTGAGTACTGATGTCCATTTTACAACACTACATTCAGGAGATGGAAAATAGGAAGATTATAGTTCTTACAGCCACTCAACAGCCTGCACAGGGAGGTATAATTTTTCTTTCAAAGAAAAAAGAGTGTTCTATGTGAAAAGGGAATATTATGTAAAAATATTTTGCCATATTTTCTTCCCAATGCAGAGGCATAATGAGATAAGAACTTTTTTTCAACACAGTACGGCTTTTTCATTCATCTATTTCTAGTGGTTTCACATTACATCATAAATGTTAAAGCTGACAGATCAAATATATCCTAAATTGTAATAACCAGCAATTTATTTTTCTTTATAAGCAGCAATTTAGATATAGTTCTTCAATGAAGATAGAGAAACTAAATAGCTGTTGAGTGACCTAGTCAGACACTGCCATACTGCTCTATACATCTCTCTGTTCGTTTTTTGAAAAACCAGAGAGATTTTATTAGCCACAATTTACATGTGATGAAGAAAATAAGGCTTTCTTAAGTATAAAGAGGATTAAAAAAAGGACCTTAACTTTTATTTTGGATAATACATTCACATGGTTCAATATTTGGAAGTTTCTTTCCATTCCTGCTCAGTTTTCTAATCCCTGCCTCCTTTGAGGCAACAATGACATCACTTCAGATGTTCTCTAAGCATATGTATAGTACAGGGTGAGGCAAAAGTAAGTTTACAATTGTTTGTATTGAAAATAATACAATAATTAATAAAGAATACACTGTTTCGCATACTCACAACTGTAAACCAACTTCCTCTCCCTTCCCACCCTTCACCCCCGCCCATGTAGAAGTATATTATTTTCCTCTCCTTTTTATATAAGTGGCAGCACAGACATTGATCCATTTCCCAGGAAGACAGAATCTCAGTCCCTTTATCTGTCCAAAAGTCAATGTTTTTTTTCTGCTTCTTCTTTCACATGCTTACCTTTATTTCCTGCATCCTCTATGATCTGATATACTAGTTTTTCTTGGTTATCTGATCCCTTCATTTTACTGCAAGGGGATAAAATAGAATTAAAAAGGCAAAGAGGTACAGAATAATCTAATAATCTACATGACTACTCCAATGAATCAGCAGACAAGGTCATCACATTGACTTATTTACTAAAATAAGAACTTACCTTAAAAAGAATGAGACAGGGCTGTATGTACCAGAATGAAAAGATGTCCAAGACAGAGTAAGTGAAAAAAACAAGTTGCAAGACAGTATGAATAGAATGATTCCATTTTTTGTTAAAAAAAGAAAAAAAGAGAGATTATATATAAATATATAATCATTTATATGTATTTATATATCTAGAAGAAAAAAATATACCAAATTATTATAAGCAGTTATTTCCAGGAAATGGGAACTCATGATAGGAGGCAGGGATGATATGCAAGAGGTTTACATTATGCAATTCTGTATCGGCTTTTTTCAAAACATATATTTGATAATAATCAAAGTTTTCTTAAAATGATGTGATTACATGCTTACCCAGCATTCTGAGAATCCTTTATTCTATACAGAAGACCTGTATTGCTCCGTAAGAGATCCAACTGACCCTAAAATTTTTAAAGATAGAACATAGCAGTGAATTACTTTGGAGATACATAAAATCTAATGACAAATGTTAATATATTCTTTATTATTTTACACAGACTAAATATACTACCTCCCAGTTATTTGTCAGTTCTTGAGATTTAAATTTCCCCCTATCACATACAGTGCATTTTTTAAAATTTAGCTCTTTATCTCATCATTTTCTAAAATATTAATATCTAATAATTACTTATATGCTTGATCCTGGCTTGGTTATATAATCAATGTATAAAGAATTATAAACAAGCATCTTTAGAACTTTTAACAGAAAGTTCACTTGTCCTCAATAAATTGTGATTCAAATTAAAACAAATTCAAAAAAACAAATTAAATATACAATAAGTATAATACAAATAAAATATAATTTACATAAAGTTCAAATAAAAACTAACATGTAAAAACATTTTAAAATATATATATTTTTTGATTTTTTTTTTTTTTAAGAGAGTTAGAAACATCGATGAGAGAGGAACATCGATCAGCTGCCTCCTTCACACTCCCTACTGTGGATGTGCCCTCAACCAAGGACATGCCCTTGACTGAAATTGAACCTGGGACCCTTGAGTCTGCAGGCCCATGCTCTATCCACTAAGCCAAACCAGTTAGGGCTGTAAAAACATTTTTTTAACACAATGATTAAACTTTACAAAGTTAGCCGAAGCCGGTTTGGCTCAGTGGTAGAGCATCGGTCTGCGGACTGAAAGGTCCCGGATTTGATTCCGGACAGGGGCATGTACGTTGGCTGCGGGCACATCCCCAGTAGGGGGTGTGCAAGAGGCAGCTGGTCAATGTTTCTCTCTCATCGACGTTTCTAGCGCTCTCTCTCTCCCTTCCTCTCTGTAAAAAATCAATAAAATATATTAAAAAAAAAAAAAACTTTACAAAGTTAATAGTGACATTTACTGATATGTGTGATTTCTATTTGTTACATGAAAATTAGGCAGAAGATGCCGAAACCGGTTTGGCTCAGTGGTAGAGTGTCAGTCTGTGGACTGAAGGGTCTCAGGTTCGATTCCGGTCAAGGGCATGTACATTGGTTGCGGGCACATCCCCAATAGGGGGTGTGCAGGAGGCAGCTGGTCAATGTTTCTCTTTCATCGACGTTTCTGGCTCTCTGTCTCTCTCCCTTCCTCTCTGTAAAAAAATCAATAAAAAATATATTAAAAAAAAAAAAAGTAAAATAAAGCATGTCTTAACATACTTCTAAATTTCCCTGGGTCTGAACTTAGGAGCACCCAGATGGCTGTACCACTGGGCTTCTGGGAGTTTGGGGAAGATGTGGCTAAGAGAGGCCCCATTTCCATGTTAAGATTGGGCAGACCTATGATTTGGAAATGGGTTTACATATGGCTGAACAGTAATACCCTCCCTCCCTAGACACCATTAAGTAGCAAAGCTGAACTACAAAGCTCAATTTAGAGGTTCCATTTGGTTATTTAACTCAACCTATGAACATTTAATGAACCAGTACTGTGATTGTTGTTTGTGGGTATGAACATGAATTCTAAAAGCAAATCATACACCTAACTTCAAACCATCTGGATGGCGTTAAGATAGAGGTAAGTAATGGGTGGGATGGGCTCTCAGAGAAGCAGCTATGGCCCAATCTGGGATTCAGGGAGGCTTCCTGGAGACAACAGCAGAGCTGAGTCTTAGAGGATAATGAGGAGTTAGTCTATTCTGATAAGCTTTTTACTTTAAAAAGAAGAGGAAGAAGGGCCTTCTAAGCAGGGAAGACAGCATGAGCAAAGGACCTGAGACATGCAACAGCATGATGTGGTCCCTCTGAAACCTAACTTATGAGACACAATGATGGCAAAAGAGATAAGTAAGGAAGATAGAGGCTCAATGTGGTCAACCCGTGAGTTTTGACTTGAATCTCTAGCACTGAAAGAAGTATTTCTGATGGGGAAGTGACTTGGTCAGATCTGTATTGAAGACACATCAGACTGCCTGCTCTGAGGCAGATGGAGCCAGGAGAGCCAGTTGGGATGCACTGGAATAGTCCAGGTAAAAGCCAAGAGCCAGAACACATGCAGGGGTCATAGGAATGGAAATGGGGGGATAAATTTGAGATGTATTTAAGAGGCAAAATCAGTAATAACTTGTGATTGATAATTGCTCTTGCTTAAAACTCTTCAATAGCTCCACAACTGACTACAGCCTATAGCCAACAGGACTGGCAGTAGGTGGGGTCAGTCACAGAGATAGTAAAAGAGAAGGAGATACTGAGGATGATTTCCAGACAGAAAGGAAAGGGTTGAAAGAGTGGTTAAAGGACAAAAACATTTTTTATTGCCACAACCTCCCGGCATCCCTTACTCTATCTTTCCTGGAGCTGAAGACCTTCATCATAATGAAATGTCTAGAAATCATCAAGAGTCCTTTTTTCCCTGGTGTTAAAACAAGGTTAGCAATCTGGCTCACTGCTTGTTTTTATAAATAAAGTTTTATTGGGACACAGCCACACCCATTTGTTTATGTGTGGACCATAGCTACTTTCGTCCCGCCCCCCCTTTTCTTCTTCTTCTTCTTTTTTTTTTTTTTTAATTTTCCTAATTTCTTCTTCAGGAATTTTAAAAAATATATATTTTATTGATTTTTTACAGAGAGGAAGAAAAAGGGATAGAGAGTTAGAAACATTGATGAGAATCATTGATCAGCTGCCTCTTGCACACCCCCTACTAGGGATGTGCCCACAACCAAGTTACATGCCCTTGACCGGAATCAAACCCGGGACCTTTCAGTTCTCGGGCTAATGCTCTTCCCACTGAGCCAAACCGGTTTCGGCCATAGCTACTTTCTTGAAGAGTTATCTCTTATAACAGAAACCAAATGGCCTGCAAAGCCTAAAACATATACTATCTGAAACATATACTATCTGCCACTTTATACAAAAAGTTTGCCAGCCCCTGAACTAGTAGGTTGAAGGGAACATTTTAACAGAAAGTTCACTTGTCCTCAAACCTCCATATCCAGAGCCCTTAAAAATCCAACAAAGCTGATTTAAAAAAGCAAATCAGCCTTAGCCCTGGCCGGGTAGCTCAGTTATTTAGAATGTTGTCCTGATAAACCAAGGCTGCAGGTTGGGCCACATACAAGAAATCAATGAATGCATCAATAAGTGGAACAATAAATTGATAGTCCTCTTTTTCTCCCTCTCTTCCTCTAAAAAAACATAAATAATAATTATAATAATAAAAAGCAAACCAGCCTTCAGATGATTCCTTATTTTAGAAATATTTTACCTAATTGGTATTAAGACCAACATTCCTCAGGACATGGGAATGTTGATGATAGGGAATAGAAAGGAGAAATAGGTAGATTTAGAACATGGGGTACCACTAGGACAGGAGAGAATGACATTAGGGCTCCAGGAAAACAGAAAAGGTAAGAATAGGTAGAAGGGCTTCACTAAAAAACAAAAACCCACTGCTATCACTGGGGGCTGAATCTGCACTTCCTCCCAGGGACCCAGCACTGTTGACATTTAATTGGACTCATTCCTGCCTCTTGAAATGTTCAGTGAGATTGTGGAGTGATACCTTAATGAGGTGGTTCTGTGATGATTCACAGAAAAATCAGGGGGATGTGTTTCATAGGGAATGGCCAACACCAGGAGTAGGAAGCAAACAGAAGGTCAGAAGAAACTATGTCTATGTGCCTTTATGTATCTTAATGACAATTAGGTTAACAAATAAAGCAGTCTGAGCTGTTTCCTGATTTAAATTTTATCAGTCACAACCTAACACTCCTTTCAATGTTTCTTTTTTTAATAACAGGTTTTTTTTTAATATATTTTATTGATTTTGTACAGAGAGGGACAGAGATAGTTGGAAACATCGATGAGAGTCATCGATCAGCTGCCTCTTGCACACCCCCTACTGGGGATATGCCCGCAACCAAGGTACATGCCCTTGACTGGAATCGAACCCGGGACCCTTCAGTCCCCAAGCCGATGCTCTATCCATTGAGCAAAACTGGTTTCGGCTTTGTTTTGTTTTTTAAATGTATTGATTTCAGAGAGGAAGGGAGAGAAAGAGAGATTGAAACATCAATGATGGGAAAGACTCATCCATTGGCTACCTCTTGCATGCCCCACACTGGAGTTTGAGCCCACAACCCAGGCATGTGCCCTGACTGGGAATCGAACCGTGACCTCCTGGTTCATAGGTTGATGCTCAACTACTAAGCCATGCTGGCCAGGCTCTTCTAATGTTTTTATGACTAATAATAGGAAGTAATGACAATGGTAATTAAAAAATGTAATTACATTAACTAGTTGGATTCACCTTACCATAGACAACAGTCTATTGATTGCCACTGCCCGCTGCTGAGCTTCTATATGAGGCATTTCATTTTGAATTACTTGGTCTGTGATTCCATGAGGGAACTGATGACATAATTCTATAATCCTAGGAACAAAGGCATTAACGATATTCTTATTTCAAGTGGGGTTGGGGGGGGGGGGAGACTAGCAGAACAATTTGAAATTGTGTCTTCACATTTAGCAGACAGTCTGGGTTTCTATGAAGGTTCTGAATCAAAGCTTTCAAAATACATGTTTACGTTATTATTTAAGGAAAACATTTTTTCTCACTAATATGAATTCTAAATTAGAACAAAAGTCAAATGAAAACAAAGAAAAAAATATTAACGCTGCAGCTTCAATTTTCTCAGATGCAAGTACACAAAGTTAGGATACAGTGTATTGGGCAGCCATAAGTCTGCAAGCAGGAGCCAAATCAGATATTTCTGGTGGGAAGCCAAAATGTATGACAATTCACAACTGGGGCCTGTTTTTGGAATTATCCCTACCAAACAGAAATAAGCCCAAATATTCACACTGTCATGGGATCCTCATTTGCTATTCATATTAGCTTGAGAAAATTGGGGTCTTTCAAAATTATGTGGTAATCTAACAATAGTAGCGCACTGCTAGAGAATTACAATAGTGAGAGGCTTTAGGTGCCCTACAATCTTGAGTTAAATTCCGCACCGAAATCATTTGTGGCTTAGTGTTGCTTTGTCATCACAAACTGCACCCTGATTTTGCCCACACGTCTTGTCGTGGGAGTTCCCATAGCGACAAGGGCCACTTGGGAGTCAGAACACGCATCCTCCTCAAGTCCTTAGGCAAAAACGCCATTTCCTGAGCGTCGATCACCACAACTTCCCTAACAGCATCGGGACAGCTACACAAAATTGCAAACTGTCAGAAACTCCTTCTGAATTTCTTAAGAGTTGTGTTCTTCGGGGGTGGGAAGGGGATCCACACCCGGCAGCCCCCTCCCTGCGTGCTCACTGAACTTGTCCGGTATCTCCCGACCGTCCCCGGAGAAAGGGTCCGGCTGCCCAAATGACCCGCCGGAACCGAGCTTCACCCACTGACTCACCTGTTTTCTATTTCTACTGGATCCGCGTCGGGCGGCTGCAGCTTCACCTTCACCTCAGCCATGAGGACGCGGTTCCTTTAGCAGCGGGGTGAGCTGCGCGTATCGGCCGGAGAACCAGCGGTGCCGGGCGATGGGCCTTCTTCCTCGTGTCGCAGCCGGTCCTTCCTTGTCTGTCGGCTTGAGGTGGCCACGCCGCGCCTGCTCCGCGTCACGCACGGGCGCCGCTACATCCTCTGATTCTTAAAACAAAAAACAAAAAATCCCCACAAAAAACATTTTCCCCTACATCCTCTTATTCTTGCTTCCAGAGTGTCAATGCCTGTCGGGCGAACGAGCTTCCTTTCCTCATTCTGAGTGGAAACGCCACTTTTTAGCATTTTCCAACCTCGGAGAAGGCGTATTCTCGGACGCCTACGGTTCCTGCGGGTACCACTCTTCCAGTCAAACCTCACGGGCGGAGCTGGTTGCTAGGAAGCCAATTTTCCGCCAATCACCTGCTCAGTTCTCAGTAGGCGGGGCGAAGCTCTCAGCGTCAGTGGTAACCGAGACCTTGACCAAGGAGAAGGCAGGAGGCAGTGAGAGGTGGGCTAGCTCGCTGCGGACGGCGGCGGTACCCCCGCAGTGAGAGGTGGAGCACCTGGCCGGGGACGGCGGAGGAGCCTCGGAGGACTTAATTCTGTCTTGGTGGCCGGTGATAGAGGAAGAGGTGGAGGAGGAGGAGGACAAGGAGGTGGGGGAGGACCTCCCTCAATCCTGCGGAGAAGAGGAGGACCTCCCTCAATCCTGCGGAGAGGAGGAGGAGGACCTCCCTCAATCCTGCGGTAAGGAAGAGAGAGTCTCTGACTGCCCCCCTCCCCCATGGGCGGGGGCCGGGACCAGACAGGGTTCCTGATCTGAGCGGCCGAGTGTGGGTGGATGGAGTTGGGGGTTAGGGTGCTGTTTCCCCAACAATGCCATTTGGGCCTGTTGGATTGGTCTACTTCTTGATCTCTTTCTTGGGGCCCACTCGCCGCCCCGGCCTTCCAAGGGCAGCTCCTACTTGCTGCGTGCGAACGACTCCCTCCACAACCATTTTTTATTTTGAAGTAATTTTTCAAGTATTTTTATTTTATATTATTTCTTTATATGTTTTTATTGATTTTTAGAGAGAGAGGAAGGGAGAGAGATAGAAAGAAATATGGATGTCGTCAGAGAAACATCGATCTCCTGCACGCCCCCTACTGGGGATAGAGCGAGCAATCAGGGCATATGCCCTAACCAGGAATCCATCAGGTGACGCTCAACCACTGAGCCACACCAGCAGGGTTCAACTATTTTTATTTTAACTGTCTCTCACATAAATGGAAATATGAGTTTGAGCAAGTGTCCCAAGTCCATACATCCTTTCTTAGGGGCTAGTGATCTGTCAGTATTTGCGGTTCAAATTCTTGACCTCTACCCTGGAACTATGGTAACCAGGTATTAAGTTCATTCCTCCATTTGTTTATCTCATTTTTTTTTGGAATACTGTCTGTGACAAAACTAAAACCCCAAGATATTCAGAGCAGCATTATTTAGAATTGCAACCACTAAAGCTAGTAATATCCTTAAAGCCCCACCACAAATTGATAAATAAGATTATATAAGCATGTGGAAAATTGTAAATAATAGTGATGGTGCAATAAGTAAATTATAAAAATGGAATGATTGTATTGAGTGAAATCTATCCATAATCATTGGAATTTGAACAGGATAAAGAGTGATGGGAAATGGTCACTATATTGTTTTTCCTCCTGAATCCTTCACATATTAAAAATTATGACACTGCCCAGGGAAAATGTCAGTAAGGCCTCCACACTCATACTTATTTATAGTAGACGGAGTGGGAGACTTTTGTATTTGTTGCTTACTTTTTATATTGGTGCCATCTTTCAGCTGAGGCTTGATACTCTGTTATCCTTCTAAAGTTTCTTTGCAGCTTTCAAATGCAAGAATTACTTGGTGACAACTGCAGGACCTGGAACCTGGAGCTTTCCCAAAAGAGCTGGCTCTAAATTAACATTTTGTGCTGTATGCAAAGTTATCTCTGTTTCTCTGGCATGATGACTTGCCCTGAAGCCAGGAAAGGTAGCACAGGAATAAAAGGCAGGAAAGGCTGATAATGATCCAGAGGAAGCTCAGACCAGATTATTAGAGATGGTCTGTGTTCTGGTGCATTAATTTAATTTGTCCATCTATATATATAAAAGCCTAGGCAATTGGCTGAATAGCCAGTAGCTATGATACGCACTAACCACCTGGGGGCAGATGCTCAATGCAGGGGCTGTTGAGTGATAGTAACTTTGCAAAGTGCCCTCTCACACTCTGGGACCCCTTGGGGGATGTCAGACTGCCAATTTCAGCCCCATCCCTGCAAGCCAAGCTGAGTGACCCCACCAGTGCACAAATCCATGCACCCGGCCTCTAATAATTTAAAATAATTCCCTTGGCCCAGCTGGTGTGGTTACTCATCGACTTATGAACCAGGAGCTCATGGTTCGATTCCTGGTCAGGACACATGCCCGGGTTGCAGGCTCAGTCCCCAGTGTGGAGTGTGCCAATCAATGATTCTCATCATTGAGGTTTCTATTTCTCTCCCTCTCCCTTCCTCTCTGAAATCAATTAAAAATATATTTTAAAAAACAATTCCTTTCCCCCATCTCATTCATTCATGATTTTTTTCCCAGGAGTAAGGTAATCATTTAGATAATCAAAACGCCACAGAAGACCTCAATAGTAAAAATACAGCAGAAGCAATAATTATTTCAAATAAAAATTGAATAATATTTTTAGGTGATATAGTAATAGTATTCTCTTTAGTTTTTATTAGCTTTACTGTATTTAAATGAGGTACTTCTCTTCAGCATGTGTGTTCAAATATATGTGGCTGTTGGAATTTATTTTCATTTACTTTTTTAAATGAAAAGCAGGGAAAATGACTGCTGGTTCAGTGTGTGTTCCTCAGATCATACCATTGCGAGTGCCTCAGCCTGGAAAAGCCAACCATGAAATTGATAACAATACACTTGTGGAAATGAAGTCAGGTAAAAATAAAACTTATTTGGAATGCTTTAAAATAACATGGTCATACTCTTTATGTTCATCTGGTTGTTGATTTTCTTTTTTGTATGTTTTCTATAACCAGGACCTTGAGAAGTTTATAAAACTTGCAAAATTTGCAACACTTATACTTGATGGTTTATAGAACGGTGTATACTAATAATTAGATTGAGACCATTAGCTCTGATTGCCCTTTCGCTTGTATAGGTACTTCCATTTGTAAAGGTACTTGACTCATTAGGCCAAGGTAAGATGTCCCAGTGCTTCCCCAAATGTTTCCAGGATGTTCATTATTTTGCTGAGATAATAATTTTGATATACTAACACAGGCTCTCCACTCACGTTGGAGATTGAATCCTGGCTTTGACAACCTCTAGTAATTTTTGGTATATTAATTAGCCTTTCTGAGTCTCAGTTTCCTCATTATGAGATAGTGATAATAATATCTATTATTTAGAGCCATTGTGAGGATTAAATGAGTTAATGTGAGGTATGCAGGGTCTGGCATGTAATAATGCCAAAATAAATTTTAGCTGTTATTACAAAAATAAAGCCACCGATTATTACAAAGCAATATTTTGTGTGTGCTTTTTAAAAAATATATTTTATTGACTTTTTTACAGAGAGGAAGAGAGAGGGATAGAGAGTTAGAAACATCGATGAGAGAGAATCATTGATCAGCTGCCTCTTGCACACCCCCTATTGAGGTGCCTGCAACCAAGGTACATGCCCTTGACTGGAATCGAACCCAGGACCTTTCAGTCTGTAGGCCGACGCTCTATCCACTGAGCCAAACCGATTTCAGCACAAAGGAATATTTTGTAATTAGTACAAAAAACAAGTCTTAGCTATTATAACAAAAAACATTTCCTACTAATGCCAGAAGTGGGTATATATATATGCATATATACACACACATATATATTTACATATACATATGTATACTATAAGGAAGAGGGAAAGTTTTATAGATAAAGCATATGAACAAATACTTGTTTAAAACAGACAGGCCCTGGCCTGTTTGGTTCAGTGAATAGAGTGTGGTCCTGCGGACTGAAGGGTCCCGGGTTCAATTTCAGTCAAGGGCATGTATCTTGGTTGCAGGCACATCCCCAGTAGGGGGTGTTCAGGAGGCAGCTGATCGATGTTTCTCTCTCATTGATTCTGACTCTCTATTCCTCTTCCTTCCTCTCTGTAAAAAAAGTCAATAAAATATTTAAAAAGAAAAGCAGACTGAGATTCCAGTGTACTTTATTAAGTGATATGTGTAAAAATTATTTCTGTTTTTATGTTATGACCCCTGTGCTTCCTAGACCAAAAGTTTCAACTAAAAATATATTACATTATGCTATCTCCCGTTATCTTAAAAGCTAATATATATATTTTTAATTTTCAAAGCAAAATACAAATTTTAATATATGTGCCCATGACTCATAGAAATTGAATGTTTATTGACAAATGATGATATGAATAATAGAGTATCCAAATTTTCTAATATTAAAAATGTCTCATAAATAAGGTTTTATAATTCAGTAACAAAAAGAATAATAATAACCCAAAAAAAAAATGAACAAAGCATGTGAGAGGACATTCTATAGGAAAGGAAATATAAGTGTCTCTTAAACATGTGAGAATATGCTTCTGCCTACCCGTTCACCTGTTTGCTGAGCAGACCTTATCCTCTACTTTATTACTCCATTGCATTTAATTACCATTGAATAAATTATATATATAAATATATATATTTTTTTTTACTGTCTGTGTGTTCTTCCTAAAATGGAAGCAGGGACTTTGGTCACTGGGGTATCCCCAGTGCCTAGAACAGTGTCTGCTACATAATAGGTACTTAGTAAGTATTTGTTGAAGGAATGAATCAATCTTACTAAAAAATGTAAGAAATGTGAGTTAAAACAGCAAGATACTTTTTATTTTTACCTAACAGATGGATAAAAATAAAATAATTAATAGCACACTTTATGGGTGTGTGGGTAAACAGGCATGTTCATGAATTGCTGGAAGCAGTGCAAGTTGTTTTAGCTTCCATAGAGGGAAGTTTGGCAGTATTAACCAAAATTACAAGTGCACATACCTTTTGACTCAACAGTGCTAGTTCTACATATTTTACAAATATACTTACAAGAAGAAGTTTTTTCAGGGTTTTTCTTACAGTGTTTGTAATGGCAAAAGAAAGAAAAAGAAAATATTCAGATGTCCATCTGTAGGTTCATCTCTATAAAGAGAGAATATAACAACCAAATAAAGAATGAGATCACACTTTATGTACCAGTATAGAACAATATACAAGATATATTGTTAAATGAAAAAAAATGTGTGGAACAGGGTATGATATACACCTTTGTATAAAAAGTAAGTGAAATAAGAACACATACATTTATGCTTGTATTGTTATACAATATTACTGAAAGGATAGTCAAGATTTCATTGATTGCCTTAGGGAGTGGGAAGAAGAACTTTATTTTTATTATTATTATTTTTTATCATTGGGAAGAAGAACTTTAATTGTCTATCATTTTTGACATTTTGAATTTAGATTTATATTAATTTATTACCTTTATAAATATTCCAAGATTGTAGGAATGAATCTACCAAGTACAAGTATAAAAGCATTTATTAAGCAATACTGAAAAAAAGAAAAAGAAAAAATAGCTCCTGCTTTCTAAATGGTTGTTCTAGTTTTAAAATAGACCCCTACTCTATTTGAATTAATTCCCTATTGGAAAAGCAGAATAGCATAGTGGTTCAAGAGCGTGGGCTATAGATCCAGCCTATCAGGAGTCAAATCACAACTCTGCTATTATTTGACAGATTTCTCAAGTTTTCTCAACTGTAAAGTGGGTATAAAATAGGGCCTAATTAATGGGATTTTTCAGATGAAATGAGTTTATTCATGTAAGGCCCAGTGCTTAGAATAGAGAAGGAACTCAATTATCGTTATTGGTATTCGTTTCTACAATATATTTAAAAATCTCATTAAATAATGGACCCATCAGCATTATTCAGGGACTTGGTATTTTAATACTAATCGCAGTTATCCTATTTCGGGTTTTTCAGATACCCCAGATGTCAGCATATATTATACCTTGGATGGCAGCAAGCCTGAATTTCTAAAGAGAATAGGTTATGGTGAAAATACTACATTTAAGTATACAAGGCCTATTACTCTGCCTGATGGAAAAATACAAGTTAAAGCTATTGCAGTCTCTAAGTAAGTTAAGAGAATGGTGATTAAAATGACTTCATAATATAATGATGCTTTAATTTTCTTTCTTTCAGTGGGAATTAGTGCTGCATTAGAGGGTATAAAAGAAAATTTATTTTAATTTCAGCATATATCTGTAACTTTTGGTTTTTGTCTTCTGCTGAGGTATATTGTAAAGTGCAGAAATCATAAGAGTACAACTTAAGAAGTACTACTACGTATATTAATAATATTCTGTTTTTATTTTTAATGCTATATTGGAATTTCAGGAACCTTTTCAGGGCTTGGGACCTCTGAAGAGATTCATCAAGTTCTAGAGAAAATACTGTTTCTAGTGGATATTTCTTTTATTCCCCAGGACATAACCTACAATCACCATGACCATTCTGTTTTATGTTGTATTGATTCAATTGATTTAATTGCTACTGTCACTTCCATTTGTGATATTTGCTATTTTATTCCTTTCTTTCCTATTCAATGACTTTTACCACTTTACCAATATGGAAACACATCTTAATTTGGAAACCTTGTGATGTAGAGAAAAACTCAATTGCTTTGCAAGTCTGTGATAGGGGAATTATTTTGTGCAGCAAGACAGGTTTGGCCACATCTTTGGAACACTATTAGTCCCCAAATCAATAACTGGCTGGCCCAGGTTCTGCTTTAAAAAAGATTATCAAGCCCTGACCAGTTTGGCTCAGTGGATAGAGTATCAGACTATGGACTGAAGGGTCCCAGGTTTGATTCCAGTCAAGGGCATGTACCTTGGTTGCGGGTACATCCCTAGTAGGGGGTGTGCAGGAAACAGCTGATCCATGTTTCTCTCTCATCGATGTTTCTAACTCACTATCCCTTTTCCTTCCTCTGTAAAAAATCAATAAAATTTTTTTTTAGAAAAAGAAATAAGATTATCAGGGCTCCCTCTGGTGGCTGATCTACTTCATGGCTTTCTGAGGAGAGTTAGAAATTCTACACCAAAGATTGTTTTGGAATTTGATAAATTTTTAAAAGAATTAAATAAAAATTAAACCAAACAACCCCCTAACACATATTCTTCTTCTTTATTAAATATTGGCATTTTAAGCTTTTTTCTACTTGTTAACCCACTTCTATCAAAACAAGTCTTCATAATTATCATTAAAAATTAATAAGCTAGCCCTGGCTGGTTTGGCTCAGTGGATAGAGCATCAGCCTGCAGACTGAAGAGTCCCGGGTTGGATACCAGTCAAGGGCACAAGCCCGGGTTGTGGGCTTTATTCCCAGTAGGGGGCGAGCAGGAGGCAGCCAATCGATGATTCTCTCTCACCATGATGTTCTCTCTCTGCCTTCCTCTCTGAAATCAATAAAAACATATATTTTTTAAAAAATAGTGTTAGGTGAGTTTCTGGTGCTCAGAATAAATCACCACCAGTTTTTAGTTATGAGCACCTCTACATGACTTTCTTGTGGAACTTCTTTTGCATCAAAGAGGAACAAGATTAATTGTAAAATATTATGAATAAATTGAAAACATGGTAGCATTTGAGGATTAACAGTTTAAGTCTACCACAGCAACATATATTATGCTACCTACAGGAAAATTCCCTTGAGTCACATGGAATGATATACAGATGACCTCATTCTTTGTTTTAAAATAGTTTGAGACTTAAAGTATAAAATCTTTATGGTCAGTATGATAGAACGTCTCCAAAAATGAATCGTGCCTCCTAGTGTAGCCCCTCCACTGGAATGTGGGTTGGTCCTATGACTTACTTTTGACCAGTAGAATCTTTCAGAAATGGTGGTAAGGCTTCTGCTCTGGTCTCTTGGAACATAAACACTTCCAGCCAAGTTGACCTCCAGCCCAGCCAATATCTGACGGCAATCACATGAGAGATTGCAGATTTGTTTTAAAACATTATGTTTTGGAGCAGTTAGTTACAAAACAATAGATCTTCTTAATGAGAATAATGTAAAGAAAGACTATAGAAGTTATATTTTTATTTCCTCAATTTAAAATATACTAAATTTAGTAGCTAGACTAAGGGACTTTAATAGAGTTATCTTAATTGCTATCCGGCTTTTTTGGACTATTTGTGCAATACCCAGACTTTTTCTTTTTAAAATAATTTTCAGAGACTGCAGACAGAGTGGCATTGTAACAAAGATGTTTCAGGTGGACTATGAACCGCCAAATGCAGCCTTTTCAGAAGACAGTGTTGAAAACATTCTTGAAGATTCTTCAAAGCAGGCAAGTAGTGAAACTATAATACATTCAGATAGTCACCACATTCTTGGTTCCTCCTTTCTCAGTGGTCACATCTTCTCTTTCATTTCATCACCACAGTCCTTCTACCTACAGCCCTGGACATTATCAACCATTGCAACATATCTTTTCTGATTTTTCCCCTTTGGTCCATCTGTAGATTTTCCTGCCTATCATAACTGCCCATATTCTAGTGTCCTCAGTGACTCCCCGTTACTTATTGAAGTAACAAACCTTTAGGCTGGCATCCCAAAGGGTCACTTTCTGTCCTAAGTCATTCTTCTCTTGCTTTGTGAATCCCCTGTATATACTCCAGCCAAACTGAACTGTGTTTTCTGTATTCTATCACTGCTCCCCTGGCACCCAGGCCTTCTCCTTTTATAAAATGCTGTGAATATGTGATTACTTTGCTCCTTGTCTATCATCCCCTGGCACTGTAAGCTCCAAGATGGTACATCTGCCATGCTCAATTCCTTGCACAGGGCCAGGTAGGAGAGGGTGGTGAGGATATATTTGTTAAATAGATGCACCAGACTAGTGGAGAAGCCCTCAATGGGCTTCTGTTACGTTAAAATCTTCATTCCCAAGCAGCTGCAAAACACCACTTTGGGGAGTGAATGAGAACTAGCTAAAAATGACTTTTGAAACATCAGACCCTGCATTGTGGGCCTCAGTAAACAGATCCAAGGATCAGAAGATGGGCTAACCTATGGAAAAGCAATAAACTAAAGAGTCTGTCACAGAGGTCGTGTTTGGGGTGACATAAAGTTTTCTGGGGAGTCCCGTTAGCCCAACAGTGGTCCAGAAGCCAGCAGGGAGGCTGTGGAACCAAAGCAGTGGGTGTGGGTAGAACATGGGGGCTCAAGTATGATCAGGGAAGGGATCTACACAGGGCAGGCCAGCTAGCAGAGGCTGAGCCTACATGTGTCAGCAGGTGCACAGGCTTGATCAAGCAAAAGAGACTGAGTCCATGGAGAAGGAAGCCCAGAGAGGAGTGTTAAGGACTGTATGTGGGCAGGTACTGTATATAAGTCCTATCTTGGGGGTCAGACCAAGATAGAACTTATGTTCAGTCCTGTCTTTGCTACCTGGATTTGGAAGTTCCTCTGTTATTACTCAGACTCCCATGGTGGCAGCGGCCTGCCTCCGTGTGCTGCTGCCTGCCTCTCATCTTGACCACTTGATCTGGGGCTCACACTGCCAGCCAAGCAGCTCAGATACAAAGCTGTGTATTTCCAGAGTAAGGTGAGACAGAAGTCACTTTGTAAGTCCTTTCAAGTAAGAAGTCTGCGCTATGACACTGCCTCTACCATGTAACTTAATGTTCACATTTTAAAGTGGGCCTAATGAAGAGAATGATATGCTTTTTTTTTTTTCCCCTTTTCATTCCTAGGAACTGAAAAATGGATTTGTTGCACCAAAACCAAGGAAGAAATCTAAGAATGTTGAACATAAACCTGGTTGGAATGTTCACCATAGACATCTAGGTATGACATGAGAGGAGGATGTTAACATCTAAATGCCAAATAGGTTCATAACTTACTTTGTCTGCAGAAGGGTTGGAATTAGAAATACTGGAACAGTAAAATAAGCCAGAATTTGAATTTTAATGCTATGTAAGCTAATGCTTATCCAGGAGGGCTAACCTAGCAGTCTAACAAAGTCAGGTTTATAACTCCTTGCAACACACAAGAGGATCCATGGGGTTGAAAACAAAGAAAAAGATAGTAGAAGGTTTCAGGGGAGAGTGGACTTTGTGTGAAATGTAAATGAAAGCAGCGTGTTTGAAAGGCTCACAGCACATCAGGGCTAAATGTGAAGTGATCACTATCTGGTATGGACTGCCTAAGGGAACCAGTGTTCTCTTATCTTGGAAACAACAAAGATTAATGTGACCATTGCCTCAGAAACCCTTCTCTGAAGCTCCACACCAGAGTTGGAAATTAGGGCTGCTTGTGGATGTCTAACTTACATCCTCAGGCAAGAGTCAGATGTTTCATTCTTACTGAGATGCTTTGAAACAACAGTTTCTAAAAACCTGATTTTTAGAGAATAAGGTTTCTTGGCAGGCAAGAAATAATGTCACTCAATGGATGTGCTTTTAGGATATTTTACTCCTGCACTGTGTTCTGGGAAGAAATATTTCTTTATAAACTTGCAATTGGATTTATGTGAAATGGGCAGATTTTAATTTTCTTAGTCTGGACTAATTTTTTTCTTTCTCAGTGCTGAGTGGGGGCATCTTTATGTAGTTGCTACTTTAAAGAAAGACTGTGATGACAGTGGTCCCTTATAAAAAGTTTTGCAACTATGAAGACATTTGCATGATTATATATATATAGATAGATAGATAGATAGATAGCTATAGATAGATATAGATATAGATAGATAGATATAGATATATATATATATATAATTATAGTTGTTTACAGAATGATGTTTTTGATGTACTAGTATTTGTATATCTCGAGGTAAGTGAAAGAACTAAGTATAAAACATTGAAAGATCTTTGCTTTCAGACAACCACATGGAAAGGCCCCCTTACCGTGAAGAATCGGTTTCTAGACCACCCAGAAATCCGCCCCAGGTAACTTTTTTTTTTTTTTTTTTTTTTTTAAATATTTTATTGATTTTTTACAGAGAGGAAGGGAGAGGGATAGAGAGTCAGAAACATCGATGAGAGAAACATCGATCAGCTGCCTCCTGCACACCCCCTACTGGGGATGTGCCGGCAACCGAGGTACATGCCCTTGACTGGAATTGAACCTGGGACCTTTCAGTACGCCTCTTAGATTTCTTCCTTGGTTTTGGTGCAATAAATCCATTTTTCAGAGAAAGAAGAAGGGAGAAAAGGCGATTGGGGGGAAGGGGAAGAGAGAGAGAGATAGAATAACAACATGAGAGAAATGCATTGATTAGTTGCCTCCCACATGGATCTCAACCAGAGCTGGAAATGAACCTGCAAGCCAGGTACATGCCCTTGACCAAGAATTGAACCCTTCAGTATGCAGGGCTCATACTCAAACCACTCTGAGCCACACCGGCCAGGCCTAAACTTATGTTTTTAACTTATGATTAGCACTTTAATTTTTTAATGGTGGGTACTGGAATTATCATTACCTATGACTTCCCCAACCATACTTTTTAAAGGGTGGATGCTGGATATAAGGCAAAATATTATAATTTGCAGTGAAGTTTTACTATGCCACAGCTTTTTACCAAGATTCTGTTACATTCTTAATTTTAGTTCCCTAGTTTTGCGCACATAACTGGCCATCCGAGTTTGACAGCCACAGAGATCATGAGAATTCAAAGGGAGACAGACTTTCTCAAGTAAGTAATCTCATTCTCTTTACTGTTTCTTAAATCCTTCTATGACGCATTATGGTCAAAAAGAATTTAAGGATGAAACGTAATGGTGTTTGGCTACCCCTAACTGTGTTTTATTAAATTTTTACAGATTTTAAAGGCATAACTGGCATATAATAAACTGCATTTATTTAGTGAGTACAATTGACATATGAATATAACTCTGAAACTATCACCACAGTAGAAAATGAACAAATCTATTACCTCCAAAAGTGTATGCCCTTTTGAAATTTCTCTCTTGTGCCTCTCCTTATTCCCAGGAAACTATTGATTTGCTTCTTGTCACTATAGCTTAGTTTGCATTTCATTCCATATGTAACTAGAATGTTTCTGAATGTACTCCTCTTTTTTCTTAGCTTCTTTAATTCAGGCCAATTATTTTGAGATTATTTTTAGATTTGTCCATGTTTTGCATGTATTAAACATTTTTGTCTTTTTTTTTTCTTTAATGGTTGACACGGTTACAGATGTCTCCATTTACTCCACCCTCACTCCTTTACCTGCCTGGCCATCACCCCACTGTTGTGTAGTTGATGGGTTATGCATATATATTCTGTACCTAATACCGTCACCTTCTTTCATCCAGTACTCCCTTTCTCCTTATCCCTGATAGCTATCAGTCCATTCCATGTATCCATGCCTCTGTTTCTATTTTGTTCATCAGTTTATTTTGTTCATTAGATTCAACCTATAAGTGAGATCATATGGTACTTGTCTTTCTCTGACTGGTTTATTTCACTTAGCATAATAATCTCCAGGTCCATCCATGCAGTCACAAAGGGTAAGAGATCCTTCTTTTTTACAGCCGCGTACTATTCCATTGTTGTAAATGTACCACAACCTTTTTATCCACTCATCTACCAATGGGCATTTGTAAATAATTTTGTAAACACACTGTTTCCAGATCTTGGCTATTGTAAATAAGGCTGCTGTGAACATAGGGGTGCATATGTTCTTTTGAATTGGTGTTTCAGAATTCTTAGAAGATATTCTCAGAAGTGGGATACTGGGTCAAAAGGCAGAAAACTTCATGCTTTTTCCACAGTGGCTGCACCAATCTGCATTCTCACCATCCAGAGTTCCCTTTTCTCCACATCCTCACCAGCACTTGTTTGTTGACTTATTGATGGTAGCCATTCTGACAGGTGTGAGGTGATATCTCATTGTGGTTTTAATTTGCATCTCTCAGATGTTTAGTGACATTGAGCATTTTTTCCTGTCTATTGGCCATTTGTGTGTCCTTTTTGGAGAAGTGTCTAGTTATATCCTTTGCCCTTTTTTTAATTGGATTGTTTGTCTTTCTGGTGGTAAATTGTATAAGTTCTTTATATATTTTGAAAATTAACCCCTTATCAGATATATCATTGGCAAATATCTTCTCTCTTATTGTGGGTTCCCTTTTCATTTTAAAAAATATATATATTTTAATTGATTTTTTACAGAGTGGAAGGGAGAGGGTTAGAGAGCTAGGAACATCGATGAGAGAGAAACATCGATCAGCTGCCTCCTGCACACTCCCTACTGGGTATGTGCCTGCAATCAAGGTACATGCCCCTGACCGGAATCGAACCTGGGACCTTTCAGTCTGCAGGTCGATGCTCTATCCATTGAGCCAAACCGGTTAGGGCTCCCTTTTCATTTTATTGATGGTTTCTTTTGCTGTGCAGAAGCTTTTTAGTTCGATGTAAGTTCCACTTGTTTATTTTTTCCCCTTGTATTTCCCTTGCCCTAGGAAACATACCAGCAAAAATATTACTATGAAAGATGTCTGAAATTTTACTATGTTTTGTTCTAGGATTTAAAAATATATATATTTTATTTTGACATTTTTTCAGAGAGGAAGGGAGAGGGATAGAGAGTTAGAAACATCAATGAGAGAGAAACATTGATCAGCTGCCTCCTGCACAACACCACTGGGGATATGCCAGCAACTGAGGTATATGCCCTTGACCGGAATTGAACCTGGGACCCTTCCATCCCCAGGCCGATGCTCTATCCATTGAGCTAAACCAGTTAAGTCTGTTCTAGGATTTTTATGGTTTCATGACTTACATTTAAGTCTTTTACCCATTTGGAGTTTATTCTTGTGTATGGTGTAAGTTGGTGTCTACTTTCATTTGTATGTATGTATCTGTCCAATTTTTCCAATACCATTTATTAAAGAGATTCTCTTTACCCCATTGTATCTTCTTGCTTCTTTTGTCAAATATTAATTGACCATAAAGGCATGGATTTATTTCTGTGTATGCCTGTTCTTGTGCCATTCCTTCTTTCTCAAGATGTTTGCATGATGTATCTTTTAGTGTTTTAAATAGTCTTGCTTTGTTAAAAATTGTACCAGGCAATCCCTGCATTTTTTTTTTTTTTTTTTTTTTAAAATATATTTTATTGATTTTGTACAGAGAGGAAGGGAGAGAGATAGAGAGTCAGAAACATCGATGAGAGAGAGTCATCGATCAGCTGCCTCTTGCACACCCCCTACTGGGGATATGCCCGCAACCAGGGTACATGCCCTTGACCGGAATCGAACCCGGGACCTTTCAGTTCCCAAGCCGACGCTCTATCCATTGAGCCAAACCGGACCCGGCACAATCCCTGCATTTTAATTGAGATGTTGAGAGCCTATTTATTTTACTTATTGATATGTTTGAATTTAAATCAGCCATCATGCTATTTGTTTTCTGTTTATCTTATTTTTTATTTGTTGCCTTTCTTTCTGCCTTCTTTTGGATTAATTGGTATGATTTATGATTCCATTTTATCTCCTTTGTTGACTTATTAGCAATAACTTTTTTTAGTGGTTGCTCTAGAGTTTATATGTACTTTTAAAACTTATCATAGTTTATTTTCAAGTAATATTACACTGAATATATAGCATAAGAACATTATGACAGTGTATTTCCAATAACTGAATATCAATAGCTTTTGTGCTATTGTCATACATTTTATTTTTACAAATATTATGAACCCATAATACATTATTACTTTTATACTAGAGGCCTAGTGCACGAAAGTTGTGCGCTGAGGGAGGGGTCTCTCAGCCTGGCCTGCGATCCTCTCACAGTCTGAGACCTCTTGGGGGATGTCCGGGACCCCTCCCTCTTTACCGCCGGTCTGCTCGCTGCTCCTTACTGCTTGGCTCGCTGCTCCTTAGTGCTGCTGTGGAGGCAGGAGAGGCTCCTGCCACTGCCACTGCACTCACCAGCTGTGAGCCTGGCTTCTGGCTGAGTGGCGCTCTCCCTGTGGGAGCACACTGACCACCAGGGGGCAGCTCCTGCCTTGAGCATCTGCCCCCTGATGGTCAATGTGCATCATAGTGACTGGTTGTTCTAGTCGTTCCGTTGTAATGGTTGCTTAGGCTTTTATTATATAGATAATTAATTAGTTTTGCAGTCCTTTATACTTTTTATTGTGCTTAAATATACATAAATAAAATTTAGCATTTTAAGTGTATAAATGCACTTAATGCCATCTTCACTATCAAATTCCAGAACTATTTTGTCATTCTACACAGAACCTCATTCCCATTAAGCAATAATAAGTCCTCATTCCTCCCTCCCTTAAGTCTCCAGTAACCTCTGTAACTTTCTGATTTTATAACTTTGTCTATTCTAGTTACTTCATATAGATGGAATCAGACAACATTTGTTCTTTTGTGTCTAATTTCACTTAGCATAATGTTTTCGAGGTTCATCCATGTTATCATGGATGTGTCAGAATTTCATTTCTTATCTTATATAATAAAGAGCTAATATGCTAAATAGACCAGATGGTGGAACAACCTTCTGGAATGACCTTCTGGAACAATCAGTGGGCAGGGCAGCCAATGAGGTAGCTGGTGCTGCGAGGGCTGGGGCTGCAAGGGCTAAGCCCCTTGCATGAATTTCATGCATTGGGCCTTCAGTTAAATATAAATAATATTTCATTGTGTGTATATACCACATTTTGTTTATTTGTTTATCTGTTAATAGAAACATTTCCACCTTTTGTCTATTTGAATAATGCTATTATGAACATTGATGCACAAATATCTGTTTTGAATCCCTGCTCTCAATTCCTTTGGGTATTTGACTAAGAGTGGAATTTCTGGATTATATAGCAATTCTATGTTTAACTGTTTGAGGAACTGCCAAATTGTTTTCTACAACAGCTGCATCATTTCACATTTTTATCAGAAATGCACAAGAGTTTCAATTTTTCAGACTCTCACCAATACTCATTTTTTATTTTTCAGATAATAGTCATTCTAATGAGTATAAAGTGGTATCTCATTGTGTTTTTGATTTACATTTCCAGAATGGCAAGTAATATTGAGCTTTTTTTCATGTGTTTCTTAGATATTTGTAAATCTTCTTGGGAGAAATGTCTATTTAAGTCTTTTGCCCATTTTTTAATAGGTTGTTTGTTTTTTAAGTTTAGGAGTTCTTTATATACTCTGAACATTAATTCTTTATCAGGTATATTATTTGGAAATATTTTCTCCCATTTGTAAGGTTCTCTTTTCACTTCCTTGTTAGTGTCCTTTGATACACAAAAGGTTTTTTAAAGTTAAATTTTAAAATATTTTTATTGATCTCAGAGAGGAAGTGAGAAGGAGAGAGAAAGAGAAACATCAGTGATGAGAGAGAATCATTGATTGACTGATTCCTGCACACCTTACATTGGGGATCGAGTCCACAATTTGGGCATGTGCCCTGACTAAGAATTGAATCGTGACCTTCTGGTTTATAGGTTGATGCTCAATCACTAAGCCATGCCAGCCAAGCATCTATTTCTTCTTTTGCTGCCTATGTTTTGGGTGGCATATCTAAGAAATCATTGCTAAACCTCGTGTCATGAAGCTTGTCTTTTATGTGTTCTTTTAAGAGGTTTATAGATTTACCTCTGACATTCAGATCTTTGATCCATTTTAGGTTAGTTTTTGTATATGTTGTAAGGAGGGGTCCACTTTCATTCTTTTGCATGTGGATATCCAGTTTTTCTAGCACCATTGTCAGAAAGACTATCCTTTCCCCCTGACCCTCACCAAATATCATTTGACCATACATACAAAGGTATATTTCTGGGCTCTCTATTCTATTCTATTTGTCCATATGTCTGTTCTTTTTTTTTTTAAAAAAATTTTTTTTTAATTGATTTTCCACAGAGAGGAAAGGAGAGAGATAGAGAGCTAGAAATGTCAATGAGAGAGAAACATCAACCAGCTGCCTCTTGCACACCCCCTACTGGGGGTGTGCCCACAACTAATGTACATGCCCCTGACCGGAATCGAACCTGGGACCTTTCAGTCCGCAGACTGACGCTCTATCCACTGAGCCAAACCGGTTTGGCCATATGTCTGTTCTTATGTTAAAACAATACTTCATATATTAGTTAGCTTTGTAGAAAATTTTGAAATCAGGAAATGTGAGTCATCCAACTTTGTTGTTCTTTTTAAAGACTATATTGACTATCTGAGGTTACTTGAGATTCCATATGAATTTTGGATGAGTTTTCTTTCTGCAAAAAATGTCATTGAGAATTTGATAGGAATTTCATTGAATCTGTAGATTGCTTTAGTTAGTGTTTTCATCTTAATATTAAGTCTTCTGACTCATGAATATAGGATGTCTATCCTTTTATTTATGTCTTTTAAAAATTTCTTTCTGAGAAGTTTTATAGCTTTCATTGTACACGTCTTTTACCTCATTGGTTAAATTGATTCCTAAACATTTTATTCTTTCTGATATTATTATAAATGGAACTGTTTTCTTAATTTCCTTTTCAAATTGTACATAGGAATACAACAGATATTTGTGTGTTGATTTTTTTTTATCCTACCACTTTTCTAAATTTCTTATTAGCTGTGTGTGTGTACACCCTAGAGTTTTCTACATATAAGATCCTATCATCCATGAACAAAGATAATCTATCTTTCTTTCTTTCTTTCTTTCTTTCTTTCTTTCTTTCTTTCTTTCTTTCTTTCTTTCTTTCTAGTTTTAATGCCTTTTATTTTTTTCTTGCCTAATTGCTCTGTATAGAACTTCCAATACTATGTTGAATAGAAACAGTGAACGTGGGTGTTCTTGTCTTGCTATTGATCTTAGGGGAAAAGCTTTCAGTAATCCACCACTGAGTATGATGTTAGCTCTGGGGTTTTTGTATGTGACTTTTAGAATGTTGAGGAAGTTTTCTTTTGTTCCTAGTGTATTCAGTGCTTTTAATCATAAAAGAATGCTGAGTTTTGTCAATGCTCTCACTTTGGCTGATATTCAGAACCCTGGTAGGTTGGTGAGGGCTACACGATGGGATTCATCTGCCTAGGAAACTGGGACAGATGTTGCTGGGGCAGGGCCTTGGCACTCTAACCAGGTGAGTGGAAACAAAGGCAGAGCTTAACAGACAGTGACCCTCCAGAGAGTCACACAGACTGGGCTCAGTGCTCAGGGAGAAAGTTAGAGACGTGAAATGTAGACATTACTAGAATTCCCTTGGCTTATCCTCACAAATCCAGTGCCAAATCCAATGTGATAGGACAAGTCAGATCCCCACAAAAAGTGGGATCTAGGCTGCTGCTAACTTCAGCTGCATTCAGGAAGTGAGATGGCCTGTAGGTGAAAGGTACCAGTGGTTCCAGCTTGAATCCACTTTGTAATAAAATGACTAGAGAACTTGTTCCATAGCCTGTGAGAGTATTTTACTTTTTTTATTTTTAAAGATTCTTGAACACTTATAGATTTTCACCTGACTTCTTACATGATCAATCAGGAACCTTTTCTGTTTTAGGTGTGCCCAGTGCCTCGCCCTTCGCCCATCTGATCCCTTGGTTCGCTTCTGTCAAGATTGTGGCTTTCCTGTTCCACCTGTATTTGGTTGTCGTCTCTCACCCTCAGAAGGAGCTCAGGTGAGCAGCAAAGTCCTTAAAAGTTTCTTTCATTGGGTTATCTGATCTTTATTTGCAGCAGCAGAATAGTACCTGGCATGCACAAACCACAAACATAAATACTTGTTGAAAACATTACTGGCAGGTTAATCTCTTACTGTCTAACTAATGAACAAACTTGGTTGCAATGCCACTTAATTTTTTTTTTGTGTGTGTGTGTGTGTGTGTGGCCTTGTAGAAGCACAAACTCAAAAATAGTGAAATCTTATTGTTTCAACGATGCATAAATGGATAAATATTAATTTCCTATTTATGTGATATTTCTGTTTATAATCTGGGTATAGTAAGGAAATATATTCTAGAAATAAATCATATGTATTAATTACAAGTCTGTATATAGTCATAAGATACATCATTCTGTCCAAAGAAGCTGTTTATATAGGCTAAAGATAGATTAGTATATTTAAATTTAAAAGTTTTAGTCAAGTATAGATAATAATTTATATTATCTTACTACTAAGTTTGCAGTTAGTTAGAAAACATACTTGGCTTACTAAAAATTAATACCTTTACCAAAACACATTCATTCTTTAAAAAAAAAAATTATTGATTTTTTACAGAGAGGAAGAGAGAGGGACAGAGAATTAGAAACATCAATGAGAGAGAAACATCGATTAGCTGCCTCCTGCACACCCCACACTGGGGATGTGCCCACAACCAAGGTACATGCTCTTGACTGGAATCGAACCTGGGACCCTTCAGTCCGTAGGCCAACGCTCTATCCACTGAGCCAAACTGATTTCGGCTTGCTTGCTTTCTTTCTTTCTTTCTTTCTTTCTTTCTTTCTTTCTTTCTTTCTTTCTTTCTTTCTTTCTTTCTTTCTCTCTGTTTTCTAAAATAAACATGGTTTTAATCTTAATATGAAAAAATAAGAATAGAGGTAATTACTTTAAAAATGTTTTTACAAAAGCAAATTAAACCGTACATTCTATGATCTACTTATACCTTCAGTTTTGCATCCCATGACAAACTTGACCTCTTTCTTTGCCCAGTTGGGCTTGTGTGCAGAATGTGGAAGCATGGTGCCCATGAACACTTCCTTCTGTGTGGTGTGTGAGGCTCCTCTTGCTCTGCAGATGCAACCACCGGCCAGCTTCCACATGAAGGTAATGAAATGCAACTTTGTAAAAACATGAATGAAATATATAGAAAGTAATGCTTGAGCAATTGTCTTTCTTCAGTTGATGGAATTGGCTAACAGGTGATAAGCCAATATCTGTGAACAAAATCCACTCGAATTTTTGGAAAGGCACGTTGTTCAGAAGTTTAATTTCCCAATGGGATCTATAATATTAAGAAGAATACATGCTCAGCAACCATTAATGGTAAAAACTCTCAGCAAGTCCTAGTCGGTTTGGCTCAGTGGATAGAGCATCGGCTTGCAGACCAAAGGGTCCCGGTTTGATTCCAGTCAAGGGCACATACTTTGGTTGCAGGTTCCTCCCTGCCTCGGGTCCTGGTTGGAACTTGTGCAAAAGCCAACCAATCGATGTGTTTCTCTACATTGATGTTTCTGTCTTTTCCTCTTCTACTCTTCCTAAAAATCAATGGAAAAATATCCTCGGGTGAGGACTAACAAAAACAAACAAACAAACAAAAAATTCTTAGCAAAGTGGGAATAGAGGCATCATACCTCACTATAATAAAGGCCATATATGACAGACCCAGAGCCAGCATCTTACTCAATAGGCAAAAACTGCCCTAACCGGTTTGACTCAGTGGATAGAGCGTTGGCCTGCAGACTCAAGGATCCCAGGTTCGATTCTGGTCAAGGGCATGTACCTTGGTTGCAGATGCATACCCACTGGGGAGTGTGCAGGAGGCAGCTGATGGATATTTCTCTCTCATCGATGTTTCTAACTCTCTAGCCCTCTCCCTTCCTTTCTGTGGGGGAAAAAAAAAATCAATTATATATATATATATATATATATATATATATATGAAGATAAAAGACAACAATACACTGTTCACTGTGGTGTCAAGGCCAACCAACACCAGAGCAAACAGGCTGTGAAGAAGCTCTATAAAAAATTTAAAAAATAAAAATAGGCAAAAACTACAAGCATTTCCCTTAAGAATAGGAACAAGACCGGAATGTCTGCTTTCACCACTCTTATTACCAAGCCTCTCATGATTAACAGAGAACAATGTTTCTAAATATGGAGACAAGAAGAAATAAAAGGCACACAAATTGGAAAGGAGGAAGTAAAACGGTCATTATTTGCAGATGACATCATATAGTACATAGAGAACCCTAAAAAATTCCACACACACAAAAAAATCTAGAATGGATAAATGAATTCAGGAAAGTAGCAGAATACAAAATAAATATCTAGAAATCAGTTGGCGTTTTATACACCAATAATGAAGTATCAGAAAGGGAAACTAAGAAAAAAATTCCATTCACAATTGTTTCAAAAAGAATAAGATACCTAGGAATAAATTTAATTAAGGATGCAAAAGACCTGTACTTAGAAAATGATAAGACACTGAAGAAAAAAATTGAAGAAAAATACAAAAAAGTGGAAGCATATACCGTGTTCATGGATAGGAAGAATTAACATTATTAAAATGTGGAATCTAATGACCAAAATGAACTAACAAGCAAAATAGTTACACTCATAGAGAGCATATGGACAGATATCAGTGGCAGTGGAGGGACTAAGAAAAAAAAAAAAAGAGAGAGAGAAACTAAACAAAAAGAATACATAGAAATGTGTTCTCTGCCGAAACCGGTTTGGCTCAGTGGTAGAGCGTCGGTCTGCGGACTGAAGGGTCCCAGGTTCAATTCCGGTCGGGGGCATGTACATTGGTTGTGGGCACATCCCCGGTAGGGGGTGTGCAAGAGGCAGCTGGTCGGTGTTTCTCTCTCATTGACATTTCTAGCTCTCTATCTCTCTCCCTCTCTCTCTGTGGAAAATCAATAAAATATATTAAAAAGAAAAAAGAAACGTGTTCTCTGAATGTGGATTTAGAGGACAAATTGCACGGCAGCCTACTTAGACAACTTTTTGCCTCATATATTTAAACTTCAACATTGCAATTGATGTTGACTTCTAATCTTGTTCTTAAAGTGGCTTCATGCCTTTGTTTGCTTTATTTGTACATTTCTTTGCTCAGAAGAACATGAATTTCTTATTCTCTGTTTTCAAGGAGAAAGTAATCTGTCGCACCTGTGGCACAGGGAATCATCCTTACCTGAAATACTGCCTCACCTGTGAGAGCACCCTGCCTTCATCAAAGGAGGTATGTGCCTGTCCTATATTTAGTGGCTGCTAAGGTTCAGTGTTAATGATAATGAATAAATATAACCTACAGGGCAGGAGCAATGTCTCTAAATGTGGAGAGAACTCTATATATTTACCAACACAATTTTTTTTTTTCAAAGTCTTCATGGGGATTCTATAAAATCTACAATTTTTTACAATTTTATTTACTAAGTTTGTATGGAAGGCTGGCAGCAGCCATTGGTTAATGGACCCATTCACTTTCATTTACAGTCAGGTATGTCTGTATTTAACTGTACCATGCTATGTTTTGAAATTGAGAACATTGCCGGCACCCACTTCTGAGTTTCCTACCAGCTTATTTCGAGTGTTTAAGATGAAGGAATAGGAGTATATGCAACTTAACTAGAGCGAATGGGTTCAGTTTAGATGATCTGTTTCATGTTTATAAAATATTTCTGATGAAGATGAGTCTTTAAAAATTATTTCCAGGTGACTCTTGCCCTGGCCTAACAATAACCAAAGAGAAGTCGCTATTTTCTAGCCAACTTTGAAGGAAAAAACTTGACACTTTGGGGGATTTGTTTTCATGTCAGAGAGATTCCTTGGGAAACTGGACAAATGAGTGATGATTACTGTGATCAATATGGTTAGTATCAAATGAGGGTGCGTTGGTTTTTCTTGGGTTGCTAAAAACAAAGCACCGCAAACTGAGTGGCTTAAAACAACAGAAATTTATCATCTCACATTTCTGGAGGACAGAAGTCCAAAATCAAGGTGTTATCACACTTCTTCTGAAGCTCTAGGGAAGGTACTGTTCATGCCTCTCGCCTGGCATCAATCTTCCCTTGGCCGGTACACGAAGCACTTCAGCCACGTGGCCACCTTCTCGCTGTGTGTCTTCACATTTTCTTCCCCCTGTGTCTGTCTCTGGACCACCATAATGACCTCATATTAACTTGATTGCCTCTATAAAGTTACTATTTTCAAATAAGTGCATATTTGAAAATAGTAACTTTATAGTATGGGGGTCAGGACTCCAACATATCTCTTTGGAGGAGACACTGTTAACTCCATAAAAGGGGAGTTGAACAAGATGTCTTTTATGGTTGTGTCTAACTACTGACAATATAATATTAGCTGATTTGAAGGAACTCTTTTTGTTACAATCTTTATTGAGGCATAATTTACATTCAATAAAACTCACTCACTTTATACAGGTTAACAAATATCAGTAATTATACATAATCATTTAAACCACCACCACAATGAAGTTACACAACAATTTCATTATCCTAAAAAGTTTTCTCATGTCCCTTTGCATTTGAGGTCCTCCCCTAACCCCAGAAAATTCTGATCTCTTTGGACACTGTGGTTTTACCTTTTACAGAAGTATGTAGTTTTTTGTGTGTTTTTTTGGGTATTTTATTTCCTTCACTTAGCAATGTTTTTAAGGTTCATTCAAGTTGTTATATGTATTAATAACTTTGATCATTGCGTGCTATTCCACAGAATGGATATAAATACAACTATTAACCAAAAATGGGCACTTGTGTTCATTTCTGGTGTCAGGCTATTATAAATAATGCTGCTGTGAACATTTACATACAAAACTTTGTATGGACATAGTTTTCATTTCTCTTGGGTAAATACTGAGTAGTAAGATTTCTGGATACTACCTAAATTCATGTTTAACTTTGTAACATAATTGCCACACTTTTTTCCAAAATTGCCACCATCAATATACAGAGGTTCCAGTTTCTCTACGTCCTCACCAAAACTTGGTATTATCAGGCATCTATCTATCTATCTATCTATCTATCTATCTATCTATCTATCTATCTATTATCTATCTATCTATCTATCTATCATCTTTCTATAAAAGCCTAATATACAAATTGTCCCTCGGGAGTTTGGGATACTGGAAGTTTAACCGCTTGCTATGATATGTGCTGACCACCAGGGGGTGGTGTGCAACGAAGGAAGGCCCCAGCCAGCAGCCAGGGAAGGGAGGCCCTGGCCAGCAGCTGGAAGGCCCTGGTCAGCCCAGATTATCTGATAGGCCTAGGGATCCTACCTCTGCACAAATGTTGTGCACCTGGCCTCTAGTTTCTTTCTTTTTAAAATAAGTTTTATTCATGAATTCTTTTTAGGATTTTAATGTCTATGGGAACTGTAGTGTTACTCCTACTTTTATTCCTGATATTTGTAGTTTGTGTTTTCTTTCTACCTTACTATCTTTTCTCTCAATTTATCTCCAGCTAAAAATTTGTAAATTTTATTTGATTAGCTTCTAGTTCATTTATTTTCTCTATTTTTTTGGGGGGGTGGGGTGGGGTTTCCTTCTTTGAGTTGTTCTCTTTATTATTTCCTTTCTCCTCTTTGCTTTGGGTTTAATTAATTAATTAATTTATTTATTTTTAATAAATCTTTATTGTTCATATTATTACAAATGTTACTCGTTTTTCGCCCCCCCCTCCATTGCTCCCCTCCACCAGTTTCCCACCCCACCCTCTGTCCTTTCCCCGCCCCTCATTGTCCTCATCCATAGGTGCACAGTTTATGTTCAGTTTCTTCCCACATCCTCATCTCCCCTTCTCTCCTAGAATCATCAGTTCACTCCCCTTCCATACCTCTGATTCTATTATATTCACCAATTAATATTGTTCATCAGATTTTTTTTTAATTTCCTTGGTTTTTAGATTCACTTGTGGATATAATAGTTATGTATTTGTTGTCTATAGTTTTTATCTTTATTTACTTTCTCTTCCAAAATTCATATAATTCTGGTGGTGATGTAGTCCTTTAGTTTTTTATTTTATTTTATTTTTTATTGGTGAAGCTCTTTATCTGGCCATCGATTCTGAGTGATAGCTTTGCTGGGTAGATTATCTTTGGCTGAAGGTTCTTGCTATTCATCACATTGAATATTTCTTGCCATTCCCGTCTGGCCCGCATGGTTTCTGTTGAGAAATCAGCTGACAGTCATATGGGTGCTCCTTTATAGGTAACTACCTGCTTTGCTCTTGCTGCTTTTAATATTCTCTCTTTGTCTTTTGCTCTTGGAATTTTAATTATGATGTGTCTTGGTGTGGTTTTCTTTGGATTCCTTTTGTTTGGAGTTCTGTGCACTTCCTGGACTTGTAAGTCTAATTCTTTCACCAGGTGGGGGAAGTCACTATTTCTTTCAGTTTGTTTTTGATATCTTGCTCTCTCTCATCTTCTGGGACCCCCATAATTCTGATGTTGGTTCACTTGAAATTGTCTCAGAGATTTCTTACATTATCTTCAACTTTCTGGATTCTCTTGTCTTCTTGCTTCTGTGGAGGAATGTCTTCTGGTTCTTTATGTTCCAAATCTTTGACTTGATTCTTGTGATCTTCCATTCTGTTTTTAGGACTCTGTATAATATGTTTTATTTCAGACAATGTATTCTTTATTTCTTGTTGATCCCTTATTATTTCTTGTTGATTCTTTATTATTTCTAGTTGATCCCTTTTCATATCCTCATAGGACTTATCGATCTTTTCTAGGAAATTCTTGAAAAACTTTATAAGTGTGGTTTTGAACTCTATATCCAGTCGCTTTTTGTCCTCCATTTCTTTTGTTTGTGATCTATTTTTTTAAAAAATATTTTATTGATTTTGTACAGAGAGGAAGGGAGAGAGAAAGAGAGTTAGAAACATCGATGAGAGAGAGTCATCAATCAGCTGCCTCTTGCACACCCCCTACTGGGGATATGCCCGACAACCAAGGTACATGCCCTTGACCGGAATCGAACCCGGGACCTTTCAGTCCCCAAGCCGACGCTCTATCCATTGAGCTAAACCGGTTTGGGCTGTTTGTGATCTATTTTGTTGTCTCGGCATTTTTGCAGCTTCCCTCATGGGGCGGAGTTTCAGGGTTCCATCAGCCACGTCAGCCACGCCCTCTGCGGCTCCTGAGCCTCTGTTCCTCAAGGTCCTATGGTACTCGCTGCAAGCACCTCTGAGAGTGAGGTGCCCTCAAGTTTCGCCTGCTACCAAACAGTCTAGTCTCTCCCCCAATGAGCCTGGAACTAGAGTTCAGTTCAGTTGGAAGTGGGGTTCAGAGCAGTCTGGAGCTTTTGTCTCCTTCCCGCCAGGGCAATCCCGCAGCACAGCCAACCGTCCCTTCTCTGTGTGCAATGTGCACACCTCCAGGGCTCTGCCTTTCGCCGCTCCCCCGGGTTTCTACCTTACAGCCCAGTCTCCCTCTGTTTGAGCCTGGGTCCCCAGAATCTGGCCTAGAACTGGGGTTCAGAGCAGTTGGAACTGGGGCTCAGCACAGTCCGGAGCTTTTGTCTCCTTCCCACTAGGGCAATCTAGCATCAGAGTCGAAATCTGTCCTCTGCGCGCAATGTGCGTGACTCCCGAGGCTCTGCCTTTCGCCACTCCCCTGGGATTCCGCCTCTCAGCCCAGGCTCCCTCTGTTTGAGCCTGGGTCCCCAGGGTCTGGCCTAGAACTGGGGTTCAGTGCTGTCGGTCTGGGGTTCAGCACAGTCCAGAGCTTTTATCTTCTTCCCGCTAGGGAACACCAGCCAGGCACTCAGCCTCCCCCTCCTCCGTGCTTTGTACTCTCCGTGCGCGCAGCGTGTCTCCGTACCTTAGGCTTTGTACTCTCCATGCGCGCAGCGTGTCTCCGTACCTTAGGCTTTTACAGCTGCTCTGCTTTTCCTTCTGGTTTTCTCTTTACTTCTTGTTGTAGAATTTCCAGTCAGTCGACTTACCTGTAGCTCTGGGCAATGTCCATTTTATATTTTAGTTGTATTTTATTGAAATTGCTGTGTGCGGCTGCGGTTAGGTGTTTACCTGTGCAGCCATCTTGGATCCTCCATGCCTTCCATTGTTTGCTTTGGGTTTAATTTAAAAGGCTTTTTCTAATTTCTTAAGATGAGAACTCGGGTTATCAACTAAAAATTTTTTTTCTTAAAAAATAAAAATAGTTTTCTCTAAAAGAAAATATAAATTATATATAAGAATTTCTTTAGCAACATCTCAGAAATGTATAACAATTGTATTTTTATTATAATTCAGTTCAGTGTTATTATATTTTTTATTATAATTTATTTTCTTTCAAAATATATTTTATTGATTTTTTAAAAATATATGTTTTATTGATTTTTCACAGAGAGGAAGAGAGAGGGATAGAGAGTTAGAAACATCGATGAGAGAGAATCATCGATCAGCTGCCTCTTGCACACCCCCCACTGGGGATGTGCCCGCAACCAAGGTACATTCCCTTGACCACAATCGAACCCGGGACCTTTCAGTCCGCAGGCTGATGCTCTATCCACTGAGCCAAACTGGTCCCGGCTATTTTATTGATTTTTTTTTTTTTACAGAGATAAAGGGAGAGGAAGAGAGAGTTAGAAATATTGATGAGAGAGAAACATTGATAAGCTGCCTCCTGCACACTCCCTACTGGGTATGTGCCCACAACCAAGGTACTGGGTATGTGCCCTTGACTGGAATCGAACCTGGGACCCTTCAGTCCACAGGCCGATGTTCTATCCACTAAGCCAAACTGGTCCGGGCAAGAAAAATCTTTTACTAGGCAATACAAGTAAGTAGTAGGAACAAAGATTCTAATATAGGTCTACCTATCCAAGTCTCAGAAATTCTTATGAAACAATCCTATCTTCCTTCCCAAAGTAATTCTTTACATGTGTCAGAAATGGAAAATAAATTAATATTTCCAGATGGAAACTGGAACCCCAAATGGTAGAAGATAAACTTCAATGGTGACCTCAGTTAGCTCAGCTGTCCTCTGTTACCCTCTTTCTTCGTTAATGTTGGTGTAGTAGATCTACAATCGGCTTGCTACCTTGGGTATTAAAGATACTAAAGAATATTAAGTTGTATAAGGCAGCAGTTTCGTCAACTTCCTGTGAAGGAATGCATGCTCTTTGTACAAATTCATTAATTGGTGAAGCTTATGATAGTTTTTCTCTTTTGTGAGGAAATACCTTATTTCTAGGTCTTGTGTTGATTTTTTCTTTTCTGTGGGAGGATTGGAGAATATAGTATTTTTTTTTAATATATTTTATTGATTTTTTTTGCCCTCCCCTTCCTCCCATACATCCCCTCCCTCCCCAGAGTTTTATGTCCATTGGTTGTACTTATATGGATGTACACAAGTCCTTTGGTTGATCTACTATCTCCCCCAGATCTTCCTCCCCTCCCCACTATAATTTGACAGTCTGCCTGTTGCTTTACTGTCTCTATATCTGTCTCTTGGTTCATCAGTTTATAATGTTCTTTATCATCCACAAATGAGTGAGGTCATGTGGTGTTTCTCTTTCATTGATTGGCTTATTTCACTCAGCATGATGTTCTCCAATTCTATCCAGGTTGCTGCAAATGATGAGAATTCCTTCTTTTTTATGGCAGCATAGTATTCCATTGTGTAAATGTACCATAGTTTTTGGATCCAATCATCTGCTGACGGGCCCCCAGGCTGTTTCCAAATTCTGGCTATTGTAGATTGTGCTGCTATGAACATAGGGGTGCATATATCCTTTCTGATTGGTGTTTCTAGTTTCTTGGGATATATTCCTAGGAGTGGGATTACTGGGTCAAATGGGAGTTCCATTTTCAGTTTTTTGAGGAAACTCCACACTGTTCTCCACAGTGGTTGCACCAGTCTGCATTCCCACCAGCAGTGCACGAGGGTTCCTTTTTCTCCGCAACCTCACCAACACTTGTCGTTTGTTGATTTGTTGATGTTGGTCATTCTGACAGGAGAGAATATAGTATTAATCTGCCTGTCGATGCCGTTGTGTTCCCTAGTCCAGGTGCAGTGGAGATAAAGGCGGTCCTGGGAAAGGGGAGACCATTTCCTGCTCCAAATGCGGCCGCCAGAACCGCCCGGGCGCTTTCTTCTGTGACTGGTGTGGAGCCACGGTGGGTATTTTAACACCGAGCTTCTTGGTGCAGAGCCCCTCGCCCTAACCCTGGAAAGAGCCAGGTTCCCCCTCTTCCACGACTTTGCTGAAATCACATCTTGGGATTTGGGTCCTAGCACCTAGGAATCTGGAGACAAGGATAATTAATTCTCTTGATTTGAGAATGGTCTCTCATTGCTGTTTTAATTTGTATTTCTTTGAGGTTAAACTTTTTCACTCATTTGTTGACTGTTGATATTTTTTCTTTTGTAAATTGTCTGCCTTCCTGTTTAATAAAACACTCAAAGTTATTTATCGGAGTGTTTCATGTAAATAATACAGAAGATTTAGTGAAGGGTTAGTCTTTCTTATCCCAGTCCCACATCTCCTTTCTCTAGAAGCAACCATCGTTACCTAGTTTGTGAGCTGTTCTTTCAGCCTTAATGCATTAATAAGTAAACTGGTGGTAGTTTGGATATATTGCACCTAGCAATATGTCTAGTTAGTAACCTCCTCATTCTTTTCAGCAGTTTTATAGCATTTCGCTATCTGTATGTACCATGATATAGTTAGGCCATACTCACTTGCTGGACATTTAGATTGCTTCCAGTTATTTTCTCTAAAATCACAATTCTTCAGGGAATGGTCTTGAATACACTTCTTTGTGTACTTGTCCATCAATGGGATAAAATACACATTTATTCTAAAAGGTAGAATTGCAGGGATAGAGGGTATGGGCATGTATTATTTTGATGACTGGTATGGAAATAATTTATATGGGAAAAGTATGACCCTAATATATATGAAATTATAAAAATATTTTCTGTCCTCTAGCCTGTCGTTGCTACCTGCTTCTCTGTTTGCCTCAAATGTGGGGCCAACAATCACCCATCTGCCCGATTCTGTGGCTCCTGTGGTATTTATCTGAAGTCCTTGGCAAAACTTAGTGCGGAGAACAGCCGGGCTCTAGCTGCTGGAGAACAGGGCCCTTTTGCTGAGGTGAGAACTGGTGCCTGGGAAGAGGTTGTATGTGAATGTGTGTATGCTACTCTATGAATCAAGCCAGGGAAAGAGCCAAAACATTTAAACCTTTCACATGGATTTTTCAACTAGATGTGGAAATAAAATTAATTAATTTGGGTTTTAAACACTCGAGTGATTTCTTCAGAAATCAAGTATAAATCATTTATTTACCATAGATTGAAATCTAATTGCATTTGTAAGGCAATAGATACAATATATTTTAGGAGAAGTGGATTTAAAATACATATATGAGCCGAAACTGGTTTGGCTCAATGGATAGAGCGTCGGCTTGGGGACTGAAGGATCCTGGGTTCAATTCCGGTCAAGGGTATGTACCTTGGTTGCGGGCACATCCCCGATGACTCTCTCTCATTGATGTTTCTAACTCTCTATCTCTCTTTCTTCCTCTTTGTACAAAATCAATAAAATATATTTTAAAATAAAATACATATATGAGATAGAAAGTACTTCTCTTGGATGTCTTATGTAGCACATCAAGAACTTTCCCCAAGGCTCTTTTATATTTTAGAAACTTAGATCAGGCATATAAAATTGCTTTTTCCATTTATAAAAAGGACATGGTTTGAGGAAAATTTCACAAAGTTATTTTCAGAAGGACTTAAACACTCACCAGGTTTGTGTTAGCCTTTCATGAAGGCTAACACATTTAGTATCTTTTGTGTTCATTTTTAGTAACTTTGTGTTCATTTTTAGGATATTCATAGCCTTCTTAATTGAAATTGGGTTATACATTCTGGGACTGCCAATAGTCTACATGACACCTTTGTGCAAATGTGTTCTTTCCTGGACACTTGAGTACCATCTGTTGGAAATTGATTATAATATACTAATTTTGTTAGACATTTTCTATCCACCAGAAAAATTATCCTAATAAATATGCAAATATATTATGTCCACTATGTGAATAGTACCCCTTTAGATGCAGTACACAACCTAGATACCTTACATGTTGGTTCTCTTACATCTTCAGGTCCAGACACAGGGGACTATTTCACAGGAAATATTGGTGCCCAGAGGTTGGGTGTGGATGGATAGTAAAGTCTGTGCTTTAATGAAATGTAGGGCTGGAAAGATAGATATCTTCCAGGCCTCAGGCAGAACAGGGAACATCAGTAATTTGCTGAATTTGAGACAGTAAGTGGCTAAGGAGATGGGGCTAGGAGTTGCTGAGAAAACAGAAGAAAGGAAGATGAGGCAAAGGCTGAAAACCCTCTTTTAGATTAAAATACTATTGTTGTTCTTTGAGATACAATTTGAGTTCTGATTACAATTGTTTTCTGTGGGTAATCTGAAGGATTAATTAAATTATAATATTTTATGTTTCTGCCTCACTTGTAGTCCCGATCTGCCTGGCAGTCCGTAAATGGTCCTTTACCCAAACATGATGGATCTAGGAGGAATGTAGGTACGCAGACCACTGGCCTGTTCTACCCATCTGGCAACCTACTAGCAAAAAAGGAAATGGAAATGGCTTCTCATCAGCAGAGACAGGAGAAGATGAGTGACCATAAGCCTCTCCTTACAGCCGTCAGCCCAGGAAGAGGTGAGGATAAAAATATGCTTTCTTGTCAGGAGAGAACTCACTCTTTCTTTGAAAGAAAATCTCATGGGTGGGGACATACATGGGGAGGGGTTGGGGATGGGAATGGGGGAATAAAGACAAATATGTGATACCTTAATCAATAAAGAAATTTTAAAAAAAAGAAAGAAAATCTCAATTTTTCTTCCTTTAGATTTATTTTTATATATAAGAAATAAGTTCCGTTACTTTACTTTTTTAAAGTAATTTTCATTTGAATTAAACTGCTCTTCTTTTAACATTTAGTATTGTGATGTTTTGACTCACAGCCCCCTCATCTAGTCTATAAATTAAATAGCACACATGGACTTCTATTGTGGCAGAAATGTTAACCTGTGTCGTCATTGCTGTTTGCTATTATCCCTTTATGTTATTGTGGTAACATTGACATAACAATTCACCCTTTTAGCCATTTTAAAGTGTACAATTGAGCAAGCTTAAAGTGTACATTAGCAATATTTTACAATCTTTACCACTCTATGTCCAGAACTTTTTATCACACCAAAGTAATTTAAGTATGATAAAAGCATATTAAGCATATTCTCTTTAAGCAGTCACTTCCCACATCTCCTTTCCCAAGTGCTTGGCAACTATAAATCCATTTTCTATGCTTGTGGATTTATGTGTTCTGGACATTTTATATAAATGGAAGCATATATGGTCTTTTGTGACTGGCTTCTTTCACCTAGTATAATGTTTTCAAAGTTCATCCATATTTTGGCATGTTTTAGCTTTTCATTCTTTTTATAGCTGAATAATAATCTATTATAAGGATTTATGACATTTTGTTAATCAGCTTAACAATAACCCACAACCTTCGGACCAACTGATTTATGACATTTTGTATATTCGTTTATCAGTTGGTGGACATTTGCATTTTGTTCACCTTTTGGTTATTATGAATAATACTGCTGTGAACATTTATGTAGAAGTTTTTCTTTGGACATGTTTTCATTTCTCTTGGGTATATACATACGAGTGCAATTGCTGGGCCAAATGATAAAATTATGTTTAACATTTCCATACTACTTTCCAAAGTGGCTGCACTATTTTACATTCTGTCAGCACTGTATGAGGGTTCTGATTTCTCACGTCTTTGCCAACACTTACTATATTATCATTGTCGCCATCCTAGTAGGGCGACGTGGTCCCTCATTATGCTTTTAATTAATATTCCTTGATGACTAATGGTGGTGTCTTTTCATGTGCTTCTTGGCCATTATATTTTTTCTCTGGAGAAATGTCTATTCATATCCTTGTTCAATTTTTAAGTTCAGTTGCTTGTCTTTTATAATTGAGATGTTCAAGAGTTCTACATATTGATGGGGATGTATACATTTGCCAAAGCTCAAATTGTAAATTTTATATACAGGTTATGTAAACATATATGTTAATTTTCATATGTTAATACTCATCCAGGATATGTTTTGAGAGAGAGGAAAAGGAAGAGAGAAGAAAAAGAGAGAGAGAGAGAGAGTGTGAGAGAAACATTGATTGCTTGTCCCCTGTACAAACCCCAAATGGGATTAATCCACAACCTCGATATGTGCTATCACTAGAAATCAAACCCGTAACCCTTTGGTGCATAGAATGAAGCTCCAACCAAATATGGTTGGTTATTTAAACATAATTTTATAAGAATAAATGAAAAAGACCCAATGCACAAAAATAAAAGATATGGTCTTTTGAGATTCTAGAATATTCTATAATTAATCGTGTGTAAAAAGAATCTGGGAACAAAAATGGAACTTATAGTACATAGCTGAGGTTCAAGTAAGTAAAAACCATCACAAAGTTACAAAGGAAAACAACCTTTCTGAGAATACATGATCCACATCAGCATTTTCTTTCTTAGCTTCAGAAGAATTAACCTTGTGGATGGGTTTCTCTTCTTCCTTAGGATACTGGAGAAAACAGTTGGATCACATCTCTGCTCACCTCAGGGCTTATACTCAGAACAACTCTGAGTTCCGGGCCTTGATTGCCGAACCCAGGATGGGAAAGGTGAGTGGACTCTGAGTGGAACTTCCACCTCAGTGTCCCATGGGATCAGGCTGAAGTACCCTCCGCCGGCTTCAACTGAAATTGTTCTTTGCTTGGCTCCTTTCCCTTTCCTGTCCTGCTTTCTACATTTCCTTACTATCCTGCCCTTGCAGTCACTGCCTTTATAAATCACCTGCACTTGAGTCTTGTCCTAGGGTCTGCTCCTGGACATCTGACCTAAGACAGTAAATTGTGAGCGTTCACAGGCTGTGGAAATCCTGGTGGTCAGAGCTAAATGACCCAGAATAGTTTAATTCAGCCAAATTGTCTTCTTAAACTCTACACTATATTATCAATAGTAATTAAGAGATTTAACCATATAACAATATATATATATCATGTTTATCATCTCTAGTCCTCAAAACAAATCTGCAAGGTAGGAGTATTAGCACTGTGGCAGTTTTTTAAAACATGGCCACAGATTCTTCAACAGTCTTCCCTTTAGAAGATGGAATCTATATCTCCTCACCTTGAGTCTGGTGGGCTTGTGACTGTTGGGCAACAGTATGTAAGAAACAATGCTATGGGAGTCCCAAGTGGTGGTCATATATGCACGTGGCTTCCTATGGCTTTGCATGCTCATCTCAAAACTCCTTGGAGCCCAGCCCTCTTGCTGTGAAAAACCCAGGCCCAAGGCGTGGCCACATTAGGTGCACCCGTCTGCAGCTCCAGCTGAATTCAATCCTAGAGTCATCCCAGCTCAGGAGCCAGGCAATGAGTGATGAGGCTTTAGGCTATTCCAGTTCTCAAACATGAAGCTACCTCTAGCCATGTGAGTCTTTGAGGCCTCAGATGTATGGAACAAAACAAGCCATTGCTGCTGGGCCCCATTGGAATCCATGAACTTATAAAAATGGGAGTTGTTTGATGTGACTGAGTCTGGGACTTTTTTTTTTTTTTTTTTTTTTTTTAAATATATTTTATTGATTTTGTACAGAGAGGAAAGGAGAGAGATAGAGAGTCAGAAACATCGATGAGAGAGAGTCATCGACCAGCTGCCTCTTGCACACCTCCCACTGGAGATGTGCCCGCAACCAAGGTACATGCCCTTGACCGGAATCGAACCCTGGACCATTCGGTCCCCAAGCCGACGCTCTATCCATTGAGCCAAACCGGTCCTGGCGAGTCTGGGACTTTTTACACTGCAGTAGATAATCAGGACAAACCTTACCTGACACCAGGATTCACTGGCTCAGAGAGGTTTGGTGACTCCCCTAGAACCATACTGCTAAGTCTCGGGGGAATTCAGGCTTTGAAGTAGGTCTTTCAGACCCCAAGTACCATGGCCTTTATCTGCTGTTGTAAAGAGACATCTTGTAAGAAGACCTGTTCCTCTCTCATGAGCCTAGAGGAACCTTTGAAAATCAGCCTGTCTGTCTATGGCCATACCACCCTGAACGCGCCCAATCTCGTCTGAAAATCAGCCTGTCTGCTTCTCTGACTAAAAGGCCAACATTGAAACTATTTCATGGTCAAGTATTGCTCAGTTTCCTTTGATCATCTATTTTGATAGTTTATTAGTTTTTTTTGGCCTAATCCAGGGGTCTGCAAACTATGGCCTGTGGGACAATTTTAGCCTGCCATCCAATTTTATAAATAAAGTTTTATCAGATTGCAGCTAGACTCATTCATTTACTTATTTTCTGTAACTGCTTTTGTGTTACAATGGCAATGCTGAGTATTCATGACAGAGACTCTATGGCCCACAAAACCTAGAACATTTACTATATGATCCTTAAAACATTTGCTGATCTCTGGTTTGATCTAAATCCCTCCCACTGCTTACAGAGAAAGCTGCTCAACTATAATACCCTAGAGGCCCAGTACATTGGGGAGGGGAGGGATCCCTCAGCCTGGCCTTTGCCTCTCACACTCATCAGGGAATGTCCCCAGGGGGATCAGCCTAAGCCAGCAGGTGGACATCCCTCTTACAGTCAGGGCTCTTGCAGTCTGGGACCACTTGTTCCTTACCGCCTGCGGGCAGTGGAGGTGGGAGAGGCTCCCGCCACAGCTGATACACTCACCAGGCATGAGCCCCGCTTCAGGCTGAATGGCGCTCCCCCTGTGGGAGTGCACTGACCACTGGGGGGCAGCTCCTACATTGAGCATTTGTCTGCCTCCTAGTGGTCAGTGTGTATCATAGTGACCCATCATTCGGTTGATTTGCATATTATGCTTTTAGTATATAGAATTACCTTTGATTGCCAAAACCTGGCCTCCAGGACACCTTTCCTAAGATGGTGGCATCCAGCCATATTTCTTGATTAAACTTAAAGCATGTCTCTTGTATAAAGTTGGATTTTGCTTTCTTATCCATTCTGGTAGACTCTGCTCTTTTTAAAAAAATGTATTTTCATTGATTTCAGAGAAGAAGGGAGAGGGAGAGAAATAGAAACCTCAATGATGAGAGAGAATCACCAATCGGCTGCCTCCTGCAGCGCCCCCATGAGGACCAAGCCTGCAACCCAGGCATGTGTCCTTGACTAGAATCGAACCGGGGACCCTTCAGTTCACAGGCTGACACTCTAGCTACTGAGCCAAACCAGCCAGGGTAGTCTCTGCTCTTTAATTGGAGTATTTATTTAGTTCATTTATAATTAATGAAATTATAAATATGGCTAGATTTGTTTCACCCATTTTGCTGTTTGTTCTGTTTTTGTTCTGTTTATCTTTTTTGCCTTATTTTGTGTTAATTAAATATTTGATTAAATTTATAGTTTAAGATCTCAGAATTTCTTTGTTGTAGCTCAGGGCACTGAGTTCCATACCCAAAGTTGTGACTCCTCTCTCATACTTTTTTAAAAGCTTCTTTCTGCTACTGTCCATGAAGATGGCTATGAAGTTAGCATCAGGCTGAATTATGTTCAAGTCTCAAACAAGGTGAGTGAAACCTTCAGAAGTTATTTATTGGGGAATTGACTGAACTAGTAAGTTGTGGCTTATGATTTGTTGAAATGTTTCTGTGTAATTCATAGAAAGGAAAAGTTTCAAATATCATGGAACTTGAATGTATTATAGGTCAACACTTCCATGGAGTTAGGTAAATAACTGAGCTAAGCCTGAGAGAAGCATTAGGGCACATAGTGATACAGTGAGAACCAGGAATTGTCACCCACCCGATTGGGCCTGTGATTTTCAGGCTTATTTCTATTCACTGACAACTGATGGCAGGTCTGTGATACAACTGCTTTGGGAAAAGACTGAAAACTGTTTGCTGATATGTACTATGACCTGTTTGCCTGTAAAAAAGAAACCAAGTGTTGTGGCCATGTCTCTCTCCTTTGATCTGCCCTATATGTGGTGACTGGGGCATTGCCGCAGAGCCTGTAAGTGTGTAACAAATATTGATTGATTGATATTGGCAGCTTTAGTGTCATTGGACAAAAAGTCAAAATATACAAAAAAAAAAAATCAGTGGATTGAGAAGATGGATAAAGAAGGCAAGGAAACTACTATTTATAAGGTCCTGGCCATCCCCAGCAGGGTGTTAACAATGTCTTTAAAATTAAGATAGATTTATGGGCCCTGCCTACCACAAAGGGAGGCTGGGCATATCCAAGGGGATAATGCATACGAAAGCGCTTTGAAACCAAGTAAAGCACTAAATGCCACGTTTCCGGTATGGCCAGAGCAGAGCTTAGGTCAGGGAGGTATTTCAGGAGAAGGGGAGTGAAGGACTTGGGACAAGGGAGGAGAAGGAACTAAATGAGCAAGTGGTCGCAAGTAATGTCTGGCTTTATCTGGATCTGTGAGGAGCCCTGGATTGTGAATGACACCACACAGTTGTCCCCAGTTGAGGCAGGGAGGCGAGGGGCATAATTTCTACGGGAAGGCAGCACCCAACTACTGATGGCGGTTGGCCGGAGAAGGGGGTCAGCTGTGAGCTGTTAGTAACCAACACAGCAGGTGACCAGTTAGGGGGGACTGGGTGGGCACCAATAGCATCTACAACATGCTATCTATCAAGTAGAAGGGAAGTAAATATGCCCAGGTTCACTGTTTTTTTCTTAGCCTGCAGTTTGTGTTCAGAAAGTAGCAGGGGTTCCCTGTGGCAGGAACCGGCAGCCACGTGAGGGTAGGGTGGATACAGGATTTCAAGTCTGGCCTATGCATTATCTATCCTCATTTTATAAACATCTGTTTCACCTCATTTTACTTTCACAACATGCCTTTGAGGTAGATCTTAATATTTACACTTTGTGGGTGAGGGAACTGAAAGGCTCAGAGAAGTTAAGCAACTTGCTTCTTCCAAGGTCCCTAATTCCAAGGCACAGAAGCATTTTGAGCACATGGAAGGTGGGCTGGCAGGAAGGGCAGCCACATGAAAGGTGGGATGGCAGGTACTTGTTGGGAGGCTATTGTGATAATCCCGGTATGAGGTTGTAATGACCGAGAGGAGGGGCCAGACTTAGGACCTGTTTAAGAGGCTGAATGATCAGAACATCCTGGGTGTGAGGGAATTGCAGGAAGGATGTCCAGGTGTGGGCAGAGCCGTCATTAACAGAAAGAGGAGCAGGTTGGCAGGGAGGTGTTAGGACACAGCATTCTCATCGTCATGCTGCTTGCATGTTTTTGTTGGCCAGAACTTTTACATGAGTAAGGCGATGAATTTCAGCGACCACTTTCTGAGCACTGTCACCGAGGGTGGTCACGGGATATTTGGCAGCAGGTATAGCTTGGGTAAGTTGTGCCCTTCCATTTATTTTATTTTATTATTTTTTGTAAATACATTACTATTAACATTGGTATGATAGATATTATTTATTTATTTATTTGTAAATATATTTTATTGATTTCAGAGAGGAAAGGAGAGGGAGAGAGAGAGAAACATCAATGATGAGAGAGGATCATTAATTGCCTGTCTCCTGCACGCCCCCTACTGGTGATTGAGCCCACAACCCACACATGTGCCCTTGACCGGAATCAAACAGGGCCCCTTCAATCTGCAGGCCAACGTTCTATCCACCTAGCCAAACCTGGCTCCTTCCATTGATTTTAAAGCCATTGACTAGGAACACAGACTTGGCATGTGTGGCAGAATTGCTTAAAATTTGCCAGCCCAACCATATGTCTTACTTTCATGTGCCAGCCATTTTATTTATCTAGCTTCCCTGAAGGCAGGGGTGAGACTTTTGAAGTCTTTCACAGGCTTGGGAAGATAAACAAGGGTGGAGTGCTCTTTGAGGCCTAAAAACTATAGTCATTTCTATTCCTCTCCTTCCCCCCATCCTTTCTGGTCCTGGACTGAGATGAATGACTACCAGAATCCATCCTACCAAATTTATTCAAACAGAAATTTCTACAAAATTTATTTTATCCTCTTGAGGGGCATGGCACTAGACTCTAGATCTGTGCCTGGGGGGAGAGTCCGGAGCATCATTTTGATCCGCAACTCTTTGTCGTTCCAGTGAGTGACTACTGCCACAGCACCTCCGATACCACTGAAAAAATCAAGAGGACAAAGACTTTCAAGACCAGAACATTTCAAGAAAGGAAGGAGCAGCTTACAGTATGTGTATCCCTTGGTCCTTAGCAGATGTCTTCTTTGGCCTGTCTACTTAATGTTTTATTTTGAGATTTTTTTTTGTTTTTGTTTTTTTGTTTTTTTTGTTCAATGGAAGAATTGTTTTCATTTTTTGTTCCTTTTTTCATGACAGTTTGTATTGATTTTTTTTTTGAAATCCTTTAAAATATCTCAAGATTATTAATTAGAATTATTTAAAAATTCTCATCAGTGTCCTGAATCACCTCTTCTTCCTCTGGTGTCAGTTCTGTGTGCCCATCTTTCGCGTTCTTGTTTTTGGTTTGTCTCAAATGTGATGACCCTTGATTGTCTGGTCACATTAACAAGTGAAGAGCTAGTTTGATTCTCACAAGCACCTGGCATGGGTGCCCAGCATGGGTGGGTCTGGAGTCTCTGTGTGGGTGGATGGGTATGTGTGGGAGCAGGCTTCCCTGGGGAGTTGTGGGCAGAGGCAGGAGAAAGTACAAGACGGCATTTCCTCTGGCGTTGAGGGTGGTGCTACAAAGTACTCCGGTGTGAGCTGTCTTCCAGACCCTTCCTTATGTCTGTCATAGAGGTTGGGGCTCTGCCCTTCTTGGGCCCAAGTGCTCCCAGGAAGTGCCTGTGAGGCAAATCATGCACTCTCTGGAAAGTAGCTATCAGGGTTTAAGCAGAGAACAAAAGCCCCTGTCCTTGCATTGAAGAGGAGGATACCAGCCATCTCAGATATTTACAAGAAAGCCCTCTGATGACACACACGTGATGCGGCCCAGCACTCAGCTTCTACCCTCCTTGTTGATTAACTTCGAGCATGCGCAGGGCTCCCTGAAGAAAGCACACTCACCCTGGTTTTCACCCGGGTTTTTTCTTTGGTTAGAGTTCCTTGTCTGTCAGATCCCATCAACTTTCCATCTCTGGATTCCTCATCATTTCTGATCCTCTGATGGCATCCTTTCAGAGTTTCCACAGCTGGGAGAGTTTAAATAATTTCAGTGGGAGCTTTGCAGAAAGAGACGGTGGGTATCTGTGCTTCTTGTAGTCAGTCCTGCCCTCCAGCTTTCAGTTAAGCCAGGCCCTCAGGGTCCTTGGACGCACATACCCGCCGCCTAGCTTGCATTGTGATTCCTCTGGAGGCAGGGACCTCTGCTCTTCATCTTGTCATAAACCCTAATAAATGTGGGAAGAATACCTGAGAATTGTTTAAAACTTAATTGCTTGTGATTCCTTGTACTCTACCTTCTCCCAGTTTGAAATATTGTCAGTATGTATAACAGAAGTATAGAATTCCATAAACTTCATAACAATTTTACCATTTTGGAAATTCTACCCATTTATTCTATACGTGATCTGAATTCCCCAGTGTTATGTGCCTTTATCTTCTCATTCTCTTTTAGGGGACAAGTGGCAGAAGCTATACCATCTGTTCATTCATTCAATGATTACTTTTGAGCACATCTAGGTGCAGTTCTAGGTCTTGAAAATAAACAAAAGCCTTAAAGTTCTCAGACCTCATGAAGTTGACATTCTAGTACATTTTTCCCCATACGGAATGGAATTCAGTATAAACAACTGCCCCCTGCCTCTCCCCCGATGGATTAGAGCACCTTGTTCTGAGCTGCTCATTGGGAGCACACAGGGTGAACCTTACATCTTCTTCCAAAAGGCTCAGAGGCCTTGGCCAGTGTCCTCATTCCCGTGGCTTCCAGGGAGCCAGGGAGGTGTGGTATTCCTTCCACTTTATAAACAGGTAAATGGTGGTCCTGGAACTATCCCACGGTCACACTTGGGTGGGATCCAGTGGCAGACACCTACTAGAGGTAATGTCTCCTGCTTCCTAGACCGCTTCCTTTAGTCTTCCAGTAACCAGCATTTGCAATCCTTTCTCTATAAGGAAAGATGATATAAAAATAAATTTCATTGCATTTTGAAAATATAAGGATAATAAAATCTTCAGATTTCTGATGATAGGTAGATGAGAAGTTATTTCCACCCCCGCCCCCCAAGCAAGAGATCGACTTTATTGGTTCTCTCACACCTCAGGTGAGCATGTATTGTGAGCTGTCTTACTTAGGCTGACTTTGAGCACTTTATAACAGCATGCAAAGTAAATTTTAGGATTCACCCGGTTGCTTTTCCTAGAAATAGTCATAATAAAACCAATGTGGTGTTTCTTGGTTTTGGTGAGATTTCTCCTTGCATCCCTGTCCTTAATAATAAAAAACAATGTAAGTGTGTTATCCTTCATCAAGGCAGTATTTCAAAGACCAGGAAAATGTACATTAGGTGTGTTTATCAATGCTGCTGGCTGTTGGAGACCACACACACACACACACACACACACACACACACACACACACACAGGATCATGCTCATGCTCCCCTGTCCCTGGGGCTCAGAACTTAACCCTGGAGAGGAGACATTTACCTCGAGGGTTGAGCCTGGGTAAGAGGGACTTGACAGTAAAGATATTTTGTGGCAGTGGAAATGACCACATTCTGTAATGCTGCAGCCCGAAAACAGGCTCCTGCTGAAGGAAGTCGGACCGACAGGGGAAGGAAGAGTCTCTGTGATTGAACAGTTGCTTGATGAAGTAAGTGCAACCGAAGAGCAAGTCTCCCTGGGGGTTCCAGCCTGTGTTTCATCTCTGTCTCTTTCCGATGGAAGTTCTGTTCAATGTTGTGATTATCACAGGGCCAGTTAATTTTTTAATACTGGGAATGGATTAAATGGCGAGTCCAAACCTTTACATGAATTGTTGTTACCTGTTGCTAGTTTTCATTACAAAGGAAATAGGCAGAGACCTGCATATGAGCCCAAATAACAGGCATGAAGATGGACAGAATCCCTGGTCTGTGAGATCCCATGTTTCCTAAAGAGGCAAGCTTGTCTGGATGCCTACTCCTCCCGATGTGGAAACAGAAGTTTTACCACCCGAGTGACATGGCAGCTCTGTCTGTTCTTTGCTGTGTCTCGGGGTTCCTGATTCCCTTCTCTGTGGACTTAAAGCTGTTTGGTTCCATCGAAGGATGTTTGTTTGTGACTAAGAAGGTGATTAGATGCTCCTGAGTGCAGGGTTTTGTGGCAGGCTTGTCCTTTTCCGTGTGCTGCAGGGAGCAGATCCCAACTGCAGTGACAATGAAGACCGACCCGTTATTACCGTGGCTGTGATCAATAGGCACCATGAAGCGATCCCAGTCCTCGTGCAGAGAGGAGCAGACCTCGAGCGGCCGTGGGGACCGTAAGTGAGACACAATGGAGGAGAGTTCTGGCGCCATGCGGCAGCCAGCCAGTACCTTGAGCTCTGCTGCAGCAGGATCACCTGCACACCCTGTGCAATTTCACCCACTTAGGCACCATCCGCACCCATTGTGGCCTTAGTAAGAGACTCAATAGCTCATATTTTCTAAATCTGGTTAGAATGAAGTCTTCAAAATGGACCTTTGGATTGCCTAAATTTTAGTAGCTTTTACAAAGGATGGTACATTTTGTTAATTCATTAATTTATACTATCGTGGGGCTGGCAGGTTCTTAGTGCTTAGGGTGTTAAGCAATGCTTTCATCATGATCTGAACTGTAAGAGAAGAAAGCCCCATAGGAATATACCCACAAAGTTAATGCACAAAGAAAATGATATACACTTGCCTCACAGGTTAACATCATTGGGGAGGAGATGGGTCCATCTGAGCTCAACACATAATCTCCTGGTGCCTTGGTTTCACCAGCTGTGAAGCAGGACAGAGTGATACCACATCATGTGTGATAACTTTGTTACCTACTGTCCTGGTCTTGGTGCTGTCCTGCCTCTTGACCTCTCCCAGCCTGTGTTCCTGTTGCTGTCTTGCAAATAGTAGGAAACCTGGGGTGGAAAATTCCTTGAGTACGGGTCTTTCCTGTTAATTGCCTATCCTGCTGACCAAGCTGTTGAACTAGACGTCTCTAGGGGCATCCCAGGTGTCTAACATTACTGCCTTCTGAATTATTAAGACAGGGTCAAAGCCCAGGTCATTGAATCATACTGCTGAGTGTCTCAAGCCAGCATAGGGGACAAAAGTTCAGTAGTTTTGCTTCTGTTTTTCTCTGTTTCAAAATTTCTTCTAGTGTTTTTATTCAAAATATATCCCTCTTAATTTTTAGATGTGCATTTTTATCATTCTTTGCCCAAAAAGACAGATATACTATACCAGTAGGCATGACTCCCTTTTTAGTTTTATTTTATAGCAAGATTTTGGCACACTGGTGTAAACATTTGATGGCTGGAGTTTACTTTCTTAAGTTTTCTTAGAGTTCACATTCATCATACTCTGTCAGCTTCTTTATTCCACACTGTATAATCATTAACAATAAAAATACTACTATCTTGTTTTGTGTTAAGGTATAGTTTATATTTGTATAATTCAGATAATCTTTTCTTATAGCATTTAAGTATGTTATGGTTAATACAAAAGTATATTGAGCACATTTTGAGCTGATGCTTAAGTCTGATGAGTCCTAGCTTTATGAAAAACCCAGCTAAGAGGATGAAACTATCTTAGACGGGCAACAGATTCACTGGTTTTCTTTGGTGTTCTTCAGTTTTTACTTTTGCTTTATCACCATTCGAACCCACCATGCTGTTTATCCATGTGATCTCGTTGCATTTCTGTTAGGTCAGTGGTCGGCAAACTCATTAGTCAACAGAGCCAAATATCAACAGTACAATGACTGAAATTTCTTTTGAGAACCAATTTTTTTTAAAGTTAAACTTCTAACGCCACTTCTTCAAAATAGACTCACCTAGGCTGTGGTATTTTGTGGAAGAGCCACACTCAAGGGGCCAAATAGCTACATGTGGCTCGTGAGCCACAGTTTGCTGACCACGGTGTTAGGTAATTCAAGATTTACAAAGAGAATGTACCTTAATCCATTATGATGCTTAGATTTGAATAAATAGTTTGAGTTGTCTGTTGGTTAAGAGTAAAATTTCTTTAAAATACTAATTCCAGAACACCAAGGTATAACTATTGTATAAAACATGTTCTGAAAGGTCTGATGAGAGAACACCACTATTCAGAGGAACAAACTCAAACTAATCTGAAACATGGGGTTCTGACAAGGAGGTATATTCCATCTAACACACCTTCCATATATTTATTTTATTTTTTCCACCATTTATCCCCTCTATGCCCTTTTTCACTCCCCACCCCCACTTTCCATATTTGAGTTAAGTTGTTGGATGAGCAGTATATAAAATTAGAATTGGTAGAGTCACAATTCTTTTTAAAAAAAATATATTTTATTGATTTTTTACAGAGAGGAAGAGAGAGGTGCAGAGAGTTAGAAACATCAATGAGAGAGAATCATCGATCAGCTGCCTCTTGCACACCCCCTACTAAGGTTGTGCCTGCAACCAAGGTACATGCCCTTGACCAGAATCGAACCTGGGACCTTTCAGTTTGCAGGCCTATGCTCTATCCACTGAGCCAAACAGGTTTTGGCAGAGTCACAATTCTTCATTTTCCAAAACTAAACTGTAAATCGAATACACATTCTGCTCAGACTGGGGAGAGTTGTGAAGAAAGACTATCATATGTCTACTTAGGAAATGTGGTGACTCCATCAGCATATCTAAATTCAAATGGTAAGTGTCTTATAAAGACCCAAGGAACTTGAAGGGTGAAGTGGCAAAAAGTTAAGCCATATGCTACTAGGGAGAAGGAAAGCTGAAAGATAAGGAGGAGATTGGTGTCACTGGTGTGACTGAGACATCCTTTGTCAGTGTTCCCATCACATGCTGTGTACCCTCTGCCTGCATTTACAACTGGTATCCTGAGCTCCCAGAGAGAGGATCCCGGCCCTGGCACAAATGGGGACATCAGGCTGGCATTCAAATGTGTGCTGAGTAGATGAACAAATGATCAGAATGACTGATAACCAGGCAGAAGTAATCCAATAGAACTCATGAAAAGTGTAAACTTAGCACTGGAAATTCTGCTCTTAGAGAGAGAGCACATAGACTCCTCTGTGGTGACAGAGGACTGGGTAGAGCAGAAGAGAGCAAAATGTAGAGAAAATGAGCATATTCTTCTTGCTAAGCCTTTTTATCCATAAAATAGAGACAATAATACTTACTGTTATAGAATCTGTTGGAGGATAAAATGAGACCAGGTATTTGTAGTTTCTAGGAAGAGCCAAATAATTGGACATTAATAAGTGGTAACAGGCTTTGAATAGGAAATATGGACTGCACGATGAAACCCAGGGTGAAGGTGTTAGAACTGGATAATACAGTCTAAGTTAAAGTTATATATTCTATTATTCTTTTAAAAAAATATATTTTATTGATTTTGTACAGACAGGAAAGGAGAGAGATAGAGAGTTAGAAACATTGATGAGAGTCATTGATCAGCTGCCTCTTGCACACCCTCTACTGGGGATGTGCCTGTAACCAAGGTATATGCCCTTGACCAGAATTGAACCCGGGACCCCTCAGTCCCCAAGCCGACGCTCTATTCATTGAGCCAATCCAGTTTCGGCTGTATTCTATTATTCTTAATAGATATCACCAAGTCTTCTTAGGCCTGAGTTTTCATAATTAAGAAAGGGCATTGCCAAAACTGGTTTGGCTCAGTGGATAGAACGTCGGCCTGCGGACTGAGAGGTCCTGGGCGTGTGCAGGAGGCAGCTAGTTGATGTTTATCTTTCATCAATGATTCTAGCTCTCTATCCCTCTCTCTTTCGCTCTGTAAAAAATCAACAAAATATGTTTAAAAAAAAAAAAAGAGCTGAAACCAGTTTGGCTCAGTGGATAGAGCGTCGGCCTGCGGACTGAAAGGTCCCAGGTTCGATTCCGGTCATATATACCTTGGTTGCAGGCACATCCCTAGTAGAGGGTGTGCAAGAGGCAGCTGATCGATGTTTCTGTCTCATCGATGTTTCCAGCTTTCTATCTCTCTCTCTTTCTCTCTGTAAAAAACTCAATAAAATATATTTTTTAAAAAAGGCATGTTATACTAGTCTTTTAATATACCAAAAGACTCATAATTTACTTCATACATGAATCACCCGAAGATCTTGTTAAGATGCATATATAGTTAATCCAGGAGGATGCCACTGATCCAGGTACCATAGTTTGAGTAGTGAGGATATAGAGATTGTTTTTAACACATTGTGGGCCAGTAGCTTTATTGCAAGCTTTACCCAGTGGCCAGATAAGTTTCAATTAAACTAATACAAAAAAATGTTTTACATAAATGTTAAAGGCACGCTTTAAAATTAAATACCCATTGCATTTTTAAAATATATATTTTATTGACTTTTTACAGAGAGAAAGGGAGAGGTATAGAGAGGTAGAAACATTAATGAGAGAGAAACATCGACCAGCTGCCTCCTGCACACTTCCTACTGGGTGTGTGTCCACAACCAAGGTACATGCCCTTGACTGGAATTGAACCTGGGACCCTTCAGTCCGCAGGCCAACGCTCTATCCACTAAGCCAAACCGGTTAGGGCTCCATTGCATTTTGAAGTTATTTATTACATGTTCTTACAAGCTAATATCTTTTTAAGGCCACAAGCTGTAGAACAGAAAACACGAGAATTCTCGTGATCTGTCCACAATGTGTTAATATGCATTGACTTAGAGACAGCCAACTATGGCATTTGGTAAAGAAATGGACACTGGGGATTTCCCTCTGTACCTGAGAGGTCAATTATGTTGACCTGATTTTAAAAAATGATGATGATGATGATATCAACACCACAACCAACAATATGAAGGCTGATCACCAAAGCTTAGTTGTTTGAAGAAACTATATAGAACCAATGGGCAGACCTTTGGAAATTCTGACAAAGGCACATTGTTTTGACACTTCCATCTATTGCCTCTGAGAAAATAGGAGGAAAAACACCATTCAGATTTGCTTGACACCAGGAGCCTTGGCCAAATAAGTTATTTAAGTAACAAACCATATGTATGATAAGATTTAAAACTAGATAAGATCCAGAACTATTAGGATGTCTGATGCTTTTAGAGTGCTATTGCAGTGAAAATCAGTGAAAGTACTCAGTTATTCATTTATTTTGGAAAAAGGAGAGGCATCTATTTATGTGGACAGTTCAGATTCTGGTGCCCAAATCAGAGGATTAACCCTTCCACATCTATATGGGAAGGGTCATATTTATATTTACCTGAAATTCTTGCAACTCATAGGAGGCAATCTTGGAGGCAATGCTTCTTCCTTTAATTTGTCTGTTCATTCTTTTCGTGGATGTATTCATTTCACTAGTGGTTATTGAGCACCTACTATATGCCAATCATCGTCTAGGTCAGTGGTTGGCAAACTCATTAGTCAACAGAGCCAAATATCAATAGTACAATGATTGAAATTTCTTTTGAGAGCCAATTTTTTAAAATATATATTTTTTATTCATTTCTTACAGAGAGGAAGGGAGAGAGATAGAGAGCTAGAAACGTCGATGAGAGAGAAACATCGACCAGCCGCCTCCTGCACACCCCCTACTGGGGATGTGCCCGCAACCAATGCACATGCCCCTGACCGGAATCGAACCTGGGACCCTTCAGTCTGCAGACCGACGCTCTACCACTGAGCCAAACCGGTTTCGGCGAGAGCCAATTTTTTTAAACTTAAACTTCTTCTAATGCCACTTCAAAATAGACTCGCCCAGGCCATGGTATTTTGTGAAAGAGCCACACTCAAGGGGCCAAAGAGCCACATGTGGCTTGCAAGCCACAGTTTTGTTGACCAGGGGTCTAGGTAATGGAGATACAGCAGTGATGAAGACAAAATTCCTTCCCTTGTGAAATTTATAGTTTAGCGGAGGAGATAAACAATAAACATGCAAATGAGTAAGTAATTTCGGAGAATAAGTGCTGCAAAGATAATAAAGCCAGTTAGAAGAACAGAGGGTGTGGTCAGGAAAGGACCCAAACCTACCCACTTGGACCAGTGACACATTTAATCTGGAAGAGACTTTAGGTGCAGAGGACTATTGGAGAGATTGTTCCAAAGTGAGATTTCCTTATTTATGACTAGGAGGGTAGAAAGATTTTTAAAAATATGTTTTTATTGATTTCAGAGAGAGGAAGGGAAAGGGAGAAAGAGAGAGAAACTTCAATGATGAGAGGGAATCATCAATCGCTGCCTCCTGCGTCCCCTTACTGAGGATTGAGCCTGCAATCTGGGCATGTGCCCTTGATAAGAATTGAACCCAGACCCTCCTTCAAGTCCACAGGCCGATGCTCTATCCACTGAGCCAAACTTGCTAGAGCTACATTGAAATATTTTTTAATTCTCCTGGGAGTCAGTTACATCAGTCACTAAACAATATGCTTAAACTGATAATTCCTGATTTATCATGGTTAGGTATTATCATCTTGCCAATTCCTGATTTATCATGTTTAGGTATTATCATCTTGCCATGCCAGATGATGATATGTTTCACTGACCCCACCTGATTATTTCTATCCTCATATTAATGTTTTAATAATTCTATTATTTTTGCTTCTTTTATTAATTCTTGCTATAAATAATGTTCCTAAACTCATATTTTGATTGCTATCTTTTTTAGACTTATTTTAGAGACAGGGTAAGAGGGAAGGAGAGAGAGAGAGAGAAAGAGAGAGAGAGAGATTTGTTGTCCCACTCACGTATGCATTCATTGGTTGATTCTTGTATGTGCCCTGACTAGGGATCAAACCCACAATCTTGGCATATCAAGGTGATATTCTAAACAACTGAACTACCCTGCTAGGGCCTTGACCATTATCTTTCAATGGTATCTCTTGACTGCCTTGTATATTAATGCATATATTACTGCTTCCTATCTTAACCTCTACCCCTTCTTCCCCTTCCATCTCACAATTTATATTACTCTTTTATTTCTATTATTATTTTTACAAGGCTGATCAGTTATATTTTCTCATGTTAACATAATGAAGACATATTTCTTGTGATTAGGTGTCCTAATTATAATTTATTCTAATAATTGATTTCAATAGTTGAGAAGCAGAAAGAACAATTGCATTGTAATAGCTATATAAATATTGTTTGTTGAAGAATTAAGAGATATGTTGTGATTACATTTCCTTCTTTGTGGATTCGAGATAATGACCCCTAGGCCAGTCAAAGTAAAATTTTCTTACCAGAAATTCCAAATTGATTCTCTTTACACACCATGAATTGTTCAAAATCCTGTTGCATTTCATATTCTTTCATAAACTATGAATAACATATAACCTTTGTATCTTTGATTTTCCTTGAATTTATGATTGCTTTTGTTTTCTTCAGGCTTGAAAAAGAACATGGCTTTACCAAATTCATAATCCTGTCTCACTTCTTACTTTTTCAGTGTTGTTCTTAGAGACATTCTTCTTGGAGTACATTTCCTATTTGGATTTTGCCTGATAGCTTTTCAGCTCTGCTGTACAATGGTGATTGTGGGATTTTTATTTTATTGGAATTCACCTGTAGTTATTGTTCACATTTTCCTCTTTCTTGCTTTTGACCTTTGTCAGGATAAAGTGTGGCCTCAAGTAACTTCTTCAGAAAGGGTGTGTAGAAATAACGTTCTGAATCCTTGATCGATCTGCTGCCTCCTGCACACCCCTACTGGGGATATGCCTGCAACTGAGGTTCATGCCCTTGACTGAAATCGAACCTGGGACCCTTCAGTCCACAGGCATCAGCTCTATCCATTGAGCCAAACCGGTTAGGGTTGTCTTCACTTGTGATTAATGCTTTGACTACTATTAATTTGTATTCAAAATAAAATTTCCTCAAATCTTAGAAAGCCTTGCTCTCTTACTTTCTAGCATCCCATATAGCCATGAAAATTTTACAGCAAATTTTTTCTTTATTTGTGACCTATTTTTTCTAGAAGCATTTATCCTTGATGTTCAGAAATTTCACAAGGGTGTTTTTTTTTCATGTGCCATTTTTCATTCACCCAGTTGGTCCTTTTAGTCTAAAAAGTCATGTTTTTCTTCAGCTCAAGGGAAATTTCTCTTATCTCTCCATTTTTTGTTGTTTGTTCTCTCCTTCTAGAACTCCTATTAGTTTGATGGTGGATCTCTTGAGTTGATGATATCATATATATATATATATATATATATATATATATATATATACTTTCCCCCATATTTTCATCTCCCTTTTTCTCTTTTCTTAAGATAATTTCTTAATCCACCTGTTTAATACTTTCGATTTCAGTAATCATATGTTTACTTTCTAAGAGCTACTTTTTGTTCTTATTGTTTTTCCTTTTTGGGGGGGGCTGAAAACAACAGATTTATTCTTTTTTTTAATATATATTTTATTGATTTTTTACAGAGAGGAGGAGAGAGGGATAGAGAGCTAGAAACGTCAATGAGAGAGAAGCATCGACCAGCTGCCTCTTGCACACCCCCTACCGGGGATGTGCCCGCAACCAATGTACATACCCCTGACCGGAATCGAACCTGGGACTTTTCAGTCCGCAGACCGACGCTCTACCACTGAGCCAAACCGGTTTCGGCAACAGATTTATTCTTATAAAGTTCCAGAGACCATAAGCTAAAATCAAGATGTCAAAAGGTTATATTTTCTCAGAAGCCTTCAGGGAAGAATTATCCTTGCCTTCTAGCTTCTCGTAGTCCCCAGCAACCCTTGTCATCCCTTGGCTTGTAGCTGCATCGCTCCAATCTCTTCCTTTGTCATCACATGGTTGTTCTCTTTTTGTTTCCCTGTGTTTATTGTTTCTTCTTCATGGCCTCATGTTTTATTTTGTTTTCATGTTTTTGTCTGATATTGTCTTCAATCATTCTTAGGATACCAATTAGATTTTGTCTTTTAAAAATTTATGTTGCATGTTTTGGTATTTCTCAGATGCCTGTGATCCCTTGTTGTCTATCCATATTAAAATGGGGAATAAGCTAAATGAGTGGGATTCTGTGTACTTGAGAGGAGTTGGTCAACTGGGGAGTTTTGGGGTAGATGAAGCTTCTCTCAGACGGAGACAAGTGGAAGACTTCCCTCTGAGCATGGCAATTGCTTACCTGATTTTTTTTTTTTTCTGGGGGCACCATTTATCTTTTTCAGAGTAGAGACCACCATATTTTTCTTTCCTTTGGGATAAATTGATGGCTGCAGGTATATTTGCAGGTGCAGGGGATGGAACGGTTGTATCAGGGAAAAGAGCAGGCCCGGGAGAATGCAGAACTTCCATTATTCATCCCCTTTCTAGTCCAATTGTGACTCCCATGTACCATCACTCCTGTCCTCTCTGATCAGGATCCGTCCTTGGATCACCCCATCCTTCATTTTAAGCATCCACTGCTCTCTCTCTGGGCCAAACCTGGCCAGGCAAGGTGAAGAGACAGTCTGGCATGCAGCAAAATATGCTCTGTCTCACCTGTAGAGCTTGCTTTGTGGATTCTAAGATTGGCGTTTATTTTCATAGCCTACAACCCAACTCACCTGAAGCCAAAGTCAGTTTCCTACACAAGAATAGGAGCTTCCGCCCAGCCTGTGTGACTCAGTGGTTGAGTCTACCTTTGAACCAGAGGTCATGGTTCAATTCCTGGTTCAATTGATGTTTCTATCTCTCTCTCTGTCTCCTTTCCTCTCTGAAATAAAAAAATATATATATTTTAAAGAGGAATAGTAGCCTCAGCTCTAAAAGGTTATTATCATATAGACCAGTGGTCACCAACCTTTCAGACCTCATGGACCACTGGTTGGCGACCGCTGATATAGACAATGCCCAAGAGGTCCAAACCAGTGGTGAGACTATGTCTAATATGTTCCATAAACTCTGGTAGGAAATTTACTAAAATAGTATTTATTAGCATTTGTTAAATCACCTACAAACCAGATCTCTGTGAGTTTCTCACTTTAAAATATGAATGTGTCAGATAAATTTTTAAAAATACATAATAAGAAATGAATGTGTCCAGAGACGTTTCACTTTCTATCTAACATCACAGCTTAGCCACCATCACAGTATTTCTCCAAGGGAAGTGGCAGTGAGGGGAGACTCAAGAGATTATATCAATTTGTTAAATAGGGCAGTGGGTGAAACCAAGGCCCCTGTGGTCATGTGTTCCCTGTCCAGTTTTTTTAGCCAGGGTGATTTTTTCCTCCAAACAGGTACCAAAATACTGCTCTTCATGAAGCAACTCTGCTTGGCATGGCAGGAAGGGAGTGTATCGCTGCTTTACTGGGGTAAGTTCCCTGGCCGCTTGGGAAGACCTCTGAGGGCCACAGTGCCTCCCCTGCTGACCTGGGGTGATTTCAGAGAGCCAAATCGGTTAGGGCTGTCTTTACTCTTTTTTTTTTTTTTTTTTTTTTTTTTTTTTTTTTTAGGCCCCTGGCCTGTTGCAGCTACTCAGCATTCCTTTTTTTTTTTTAATTAAATTATTATCTGTGTACATATCTTACCATTCCCCCCCCTTCCATACATATCCACCCTCCCCAAAGTTTTGTGCCCATTGGTTGTACTTAAATGCATGTATACAAGTCCTTCGGTTGATCTATTATCTCCCCCAGATCTCCTAATTAATACGGTTAGTCCAGTGAATGGGGGCCACCACTCACCATGGCTTCTGGGACTGGGAGCTTTTAAAAAAATATATTTTATTGGTTTCAGAGAGGAAGGGAGAGAGAGAGAGATAGAAACATCAATGCTGGGGGAGAATCAATGATCAGCTGCCTCCTGCATGCCCCTTATTGGGGATCACGTCTGCAACCCGGGCATGGCCCCTTAAACTAGAATCAAACCTGGGACCCTTCAATCCACAGACTGACACTCTATTCACTGAACCAAACCAGCTAGGGCCACTAGGAGCTTTTAAACACACAATTAAAATGTTGCCCACCACCGAAACCGGTTTGTCTCAGTGGATAGAGCGTCCGCCTGGGGATGGAAGTGTCCCAGGTTCGATTCCGGTCAAGGGCATGTACCTTGGTTGCGGGCACATCCCCAATGGGGGGTGTGCAGGAAGCAGGTGGTCAATGCTTCTCTCTCATGGATGTTTCTAGTTCTCTGTCCCTCTTCCTTTCTCTCTGTAAAAAACAAAACAAAAACCAATAACATATATTTAAAAAAAAAATAAAATGTTGCCCACCTCTTAAACACCTTTAGTTGTAGGACTTTGATGCAATGGCCAGGATTGGCAATTGAACGTATGAAATCAGAAAGTCCCTCAAAAGGTCTCACTCACCCTTTTAAGAGCCACCCTTGAGGCTGAGGGTCATGGTGGCCTCTTGGGGACAGAATTGGGAAGGTGGGGCCAGGAGGCTCCCAGACTGGCCTCCGAGTCAGGGAAGAGCCAGGCGTTCAGGTCCAAGTGCCTACGTCCTTCATTTCACCCCCATTCCTTTCCCAGATGCAATGCAAGCATCCGAAAGAAGAATATTAGAGGCCACACACCCCGTGACCTGGCTCTGTCAATTGGGGATGACCTCATCACCTCGCTCTTCGCTGCTAAGCTTGGCCTTGATGACTATTAGGCACTAGGACCTCCACGGAGCTTCACGTAAAGAAACCATCCAGCCCTGGCAGTTCTTTGCTCGTTTCCTTCTGAAATGTGTATTTGAGGTTTGGCAATTGTGGTTAAGATGAACTCATATGTTTTTGTCTTTTAATTATGACAGTGTAAGCATGGGTATTTCCTAATGTGATGGTGATGAACTTGATGCATGTCTTATTGCTGCTTGTTTTAGATTTTCTTTTTCAAGAGATAATAATTGCACAAAATGCAAAGCTAAAAAGTATAAAGTATCATGTAGTGAAAAGTCTGTTTCCCAACCCTGACCCTCAGCCACCCACTTCCCCTCCTCAGAGGTAGCCAGTGGTAGTGTCAACGGTGTCTTTCCAGAAATAGTATAGAATTGTATAAGCCGTGTGTGTAGTATATGCATGTGCAGGTCTATAGAGTAGGCATGAATACAAATATAGATAATATACACATATATTATCTCTCCTCTTGTGAGACAAGTAATAGTGAACTACACACTGTCCTATCTTGTTCTTTTGCTTAATGTGTCTTATAGGTGGTTCCAAATTATTATATAAAGACTGAGTTTATTTAAAAATGTTTTTTTCTTAATATCTTTTCTTGTTATACTTCCATTTCCCCTCTCCTTTACCTCCCTTTTTCCAGTTCCTACTCACGCCCACGTCTTCACTACCCTATTGCCTGTGTCCGTGGGCTGTGCCTATAAGTTCTTTGGTTTATCTTTTCCTACTCTCCCACCCCCAACCTCACATCAAGGTATATCAGTCTGTTCCATGTCTCTGTGCTTTGGGTATTATTTTGTTCATTAGATTCCACAAATAAGTGAGATCATGTGATATTTGTCTTTCTCAGATTGGCTTATTAAAAGTGTTTTTCTTGTGTTGAATTCATGGACATTCCTATTGTTATGGCTTGTAATTTGGTGACAAATAAGGTTTAAATAAAGTACTTGCATGAATGCCTAATTTTGACTTATTCCTTTTTTCAGAATGTTATTTCAGTCTTTGGTGATTGAATCGTGGAGTGCCTAAATTGTTTTTTACTGTGTATAACAAGAATATTCATTAATATAAAATAACTTAGCACAATAAATAACAGACTTTGTTAAGTGGTTGCTATCATTACCTGCACTCTATTTCCTGGGAGTGGTGCTCTGAGGTGGGTGTGGTTGGAGACCCCAGGGTCTGACACTAATTTGTTTGGTCTAAGAGGAAAGACAACCCGGGATTGGAGTGCTGGGGTCAGTGTATTATTAAGGAGGCTCCATAATGGGAGAAGTAGGGACAAAAGCCTGACAAAAAGCAAGAAAGGTGGCTAGGAGATGGTTTAGCAAAGACAACAGTAGACATTTGAGAGCTGAGGAGATGCAAGACGGGGAACTGTCACAGCAGCCGAGGGAAGAGGGCAGCTCCAGATGCAGGTAGACTCCAGAGGAAGCCATATTCTCTGGAAGAAACCTGGAAGGTTTCCTCCCCTCACCTGAAATCTCTAAATACAGCTCCTAAAGTTTCTCCCTATGGAAGGGACTAGACTTTCTAATGAATATACTAGTGACTCTATGTCTTCCAAAGAATTGAATTCTAAATATATATATATATATATATATATATATATATATATATATATATATTTTTTTTTTTTTTTTTTTTTTTTTTTTTTTTTTTACAGAGAGGGAGGGAGAGGGATAGAATTAGAAACATTGATGAGAAACATCGATCAGCTGCCTCCTGCACACCCCCTACTGGGGATGTGCCTGCAACCAAGGTACATGATCTTGACCAGAATCGAACCCGGGACCCTTCAGTCCGCAGGCTGACACTCTATCCACCGAGCTAAACCTGCCAGGGCAAGAATTGAATTCTTGTAAAACTAGTGGACTTGGGAATTCAAGATTATCTGTACTACTCCTGATTCCCTATTTTTATAGATGATTAAGTGAGATACACAGCTAAGTTTAGAGAGTTGTAAAGAAGCAAAGTTTATTAAAGGCCACAAAACATGAAGACTTTGTGTGAAGAAAGTAAATGAACCAAATGTCCTTTGACCACTTATGGAATGAATTTTTCTACCCCATTTCATCAAAGTGTAAAAATTTTGATTTAGTCCTCATCAGCATGTTCATTTTTAAAGAGCGTGTAACAGGTCAGAAGATTGCTAAGAGTTAACACATCCCAGACATTTTGATTGCTCAATAGGTCTGTCAATCTGGAGTGGCAGTTTGTGGTGGAGAGACTTCATTCTCCTGTGTCTGCTGAGGTGAGCCTCGCCCACATCTCGCACACCTAAGGCTTCTCCTCCTGGTGTGTCATCTGATGTAAGACGAGGTATGACTTTTGGATAAAGCCTTGGCCGCACACTCTGCATACACAGGGCTTCTGTTTTGAATGGACCCACTTATGGGTGATTAAAGCCGACTTGTTGCCAAAGCCTAGGCCACACTGCTTGCACATGTAGGGCTTCTCCCTCGAGTGTTTCCTCTTGTGCCTGATGAGACCTGCCTGGTGACTAAAGCCTCGCCCACACTCTCTGCACACATATGGCTTTTCCCCTGAGTGTGTCCTCTGGTGTGCAATGAGGTTTGACTTCTGGCTGAAGCCTCGCCCGCACTCCTCGCACACCATGGGCTTTTCCCCTGAGTGTGTCCTCTGGTGTCTGATGAGATTGGATTGCTGGCTGAAGCCTCGCCCGCAATCCTTACACACGATGGGCTTATCCCCTGAGTGTATGTTCTGGTGTCGATTGAGGTGTGACTTCAGGCTAAAGCCTCGCCCACACACCCCACACACGTAAGGCTTCTCCCCGGTGTGCGTCCGCCTGTGGGAGATGAGGGTTGAATTCTGGCTAAAGCTGTGCCCACACATGCCACACACATAAGGCTTTTCCTTTGAGTGTGTCCTCTGGTGGTTGACAAGGGTTGTCCTCTGCCTGAAGCATCGCCCGCATTCCTTGCAGGCGTAAGGCTTCTCCCCCGAGTGCGTCCTCTGGTGTGAGATGAGGTTTGACCTGTCACTGAAGCCTAGTCCGCAATCACTGCACACGATGGTCTTCTCCTCCAGGTGCGTCCTCTGGTGTCTAACGACCGCTGACTTCTGGCTAAAGCCTTTCCCGCACTCCCGGCACACGTAGGGCTTCTCTCCCGAGTGTGTCCTCTGGTGTATGATGAGGTTTGACTTCTGACTGAAGCCTCGCCCGCATTCACCGCACATATAAGGCTTTTCACCTGAGTGTGTCCTCTCGTGTATGATGAGTGTTGACTTCCTGTTAAATCCCCGTCCACACTCTCTGCACACGATAGGTTTCTCCCCCGAGTGTGCCTTCTGGTGCCTGGCAAGGCTCTTCTTTAGACTAAAGCCCTTCTCGCACACCCCGCACACATATGGCTTCTCCCCTGAGTGTATCCTCTGGTGACTGAGCAGGTTTGTCATCTTGCTGAAGCCCAGTCCACATTCTCCACAATTGACTGTTCCAAATCCCAAGACTTCTATCCTCTGCAGTAATTTATCTGTTTCCTCCGGATTCTCCGTCTGGGCCGGGGTGGCCTCTGTCCCCACCCCTCTGATGCCATTCCTAGAGCTGACTGGCTGCCTTTGGGGTGGCTTGGATGATGCTGTTAAAGCTCTTTTCTTTGTCTTTCCAAATGAAGGCTTGGTGCCTTCTTTCCCTTGACCTTCTGCTTTATCACTCCAGCAACTTGGATCAGAGGCTTGTTGCTGCTTTCTCTGGTCCCCCTGGCACAGACCCCCTGCCTGGACGTGATTTTCTGCGCACAAGCGTGGGAAGATCCAAGGGGGATGACTACACAGCATGTGCTGCACGTGGAACTTCTGACCGGAGAAACCCGGAGGGCAGAGAGCACACAGGTGGAGCTCTGGCGCTGGTTCTCCTGCAGAGAGAAGAGGCAGAGGCAGAGCTGAGGCTCAGGAGGGCAACCCAAGTAATTCTGCTGAGTCTGACGGAGAGACTCAATTCCCTGTTCTTCAAAATACTTAAAACTTAAGTGCTACCCAAACAAGACCTTCCTTTACATGATCCTTTTCCAGCCCATCACAACATATTCCAATTTCCACTACAATCCAGAAAATCCATTCCTGAACCTATTCTATTAGTTGTATCACACTGTAAAATCATAAGTAGTTTCAGATCTGTAAATAGGGCCAAGATGTAAGTCTCCCCCCTCACTACAACCATCTCCTAACTCACAACCACCCACATTTATATAAATTGGGTCCACAAGTATTTTTGGTGACTGAGAGATCTCTAACCAGAGGACCCATGTGGAAATGCCATGTCTTTCCCGATTTCCCTCTGAAGACAAAGGGAGAATTGTCTAGACTGGAGAACTCCTAGTGTAAGAAGAGGTTATGTGTGAGATGCCTAAATAGTTTTCCCACTCATTAATGAATGTTTGTTAGAAGATTTCTTTGTGCCATAATGCAATGGGCAACACAAACAGCCTTAAGAGATGCCCCTTGCTGGAGCTCCTGATCAGTTCAATTCCTGATAACTTCTATAATTAATATAAGTGGACTTCCCCAGAAATCAATATAAAAGCGAAATTTTCTTCTTATAATACTTCTTAAGTAGGAGATGTTAACATTCAGAAAAACAAAATGTAAGCAAATACGGTGCCACCTGCATAAGGAATGTTAAACAAGTTACTTAGGCTAAAGAGAAAGGATACCAGGTGGAAACTCAGATCCCCAGAAAGAAAATGAAGAGTATAGAAAATGGTAAATTATCTGAATGCTTATAAAATAATTTCTTCTTGATTAAAAAAGTACATATCGAGCCCTAAATGATTTGGCTCAGTGGATAGAGCATCAGCCTGGGGACTCAAGGGTCCCAGGTTCAATTCTGGTCAAGGGCATGTACCTTGGTTGCGGGCACATCCCAAGTAGGGGGTGTGCAGGAGGCAACTGATTAATGTTTCTCTATCATTGATGTTTATATCTCTCTCTCCCTCTCCCTTCCTCTCTGTAAAAAATCAATAAAATAATAAAATAAAAAAACCCCAACATATCGTATTAGAAAATTTACAATGTATATAAGCGTAATACAAATAAGAATTATAGAATAAAGAATGTTGGGGAAAGGGGTAAGTGGAACTATGCAATTGCAATGTTCTTACATTTTTACATAAAGTGGTAGCCATAATAAGTAGGATAGGAAAAGTTAGGGCTATATATTGTAATTCCTTAGAGCATAAATCAGCAAACTTTTTCTTAAACAGTCAGGTAGCAAATAATTTTAAGCTTTGAGGGTAAGAAGCATAAAATTGAGGCTATTATGTACTTATGTAACTATGTAAAAATGTAAAAACTACTTCTGGCTCATAGTTTTTTAAGAATTCAATTTCTTGGTTGGATTTTTAGCCTTCCTCCCTCTCCCTGGGCTTGCCTTAGTTCTTTAGTTCACTCAGAATTTTTCCACATTCTTGCTTGATCTTTAAAAAAAAAAAAAAAAGGTAAAGAGAAAGAAGTCTGTGACTATGAAGAGAATGAGTGAGGAGGTTGAGAGGGAGACTCGGTAGAAGGTAGAAAGGCTTCTGGGGGAGGAAGACTCACCAGGAAAGGCCCGTCCCAGGGTAGGGATGAAGGCCTGGCAGGGAGGCGGCTGTGCCAGGCAATGCAAACAGCAGCCTGGGGGGTGAGGAGTAGGTCTTCCCTCCCTGCACCTGAGCAATGCCTCTTCTCCCCCACCCCCGAGCTGCCCACACGCAGCTCTATGACCCATCTGCCCAGTTCCCCACTCACCTGGACAAGTGGCTGGTGGGCATTTTCTCTCCTCTCTCCAGCTTTCCTTTCCTTGCTCAAGTTGGGTGATGAGCTTTGGTTTAGAAAATGGGATTCCTGCTCACGGAGAAAGAAAACAAAGTGGCTGCACGTTATGGACTTGAGGGCCAAGTCAGAAGGCAAGATGGCTGCTTCAAGCAGACCTTCAAATGCCCAGCAGCATGCATGGGGGGTCCAAAGAGATGCCAGGCTTACCCAGTGAAACCAGGTTGCTGTAGTTTTCCAGCATCACCTCCCTGTACAGCGACCTCTGAGCAGGGCTCAGCAGCAGCCACTCTTCCTGGGTGAAATCCACAGCCACATCCCTGAATGCCATGTGTGCCTGTAAAACAAAACACAGCCCTGCTCACCAAGGAGCCAGCCTTGCCCGTGATGCAAGGTAAGGGGCAGAGAGATAGCGACCCTGGGGGAGGCAGGAGAGATATCTAAATCCTGCCTTTGACTGCGACCTTGGTGCCAGCATTCCAAAACCTGTAAATCTCTGTGGCTATCCAGCAAGCAGCACTTGTGAATCTACACATTCAAGACCCTGGGTGAACTGTTTGGAGAATATAGGGCATCCCCCCAAAATGTATATATACACTTTGTATAAAGGCAGTGTTTATTAAAATGCATTTCATTTTTAAAGTTGAGCTATCAGCTGTTAAAGTGTATATACATTTTTTGGGGGGACACCCTATAAATGTAAAAAAAGAGTCCCTAGCTCTCAGAAACTTTAAATCTAGGCAGAGAGAAGAACAGACAACATATATAAATTAAGCAATAGTAAAACATAAAAGACTTTATGAGTTTTAAGAATTTAAAAAATTTGCCAAAACCGGTTTGGCTCAATGGATAGAGCGTCGGCCTCGGGACTGAAGGGTTCCAGGTTCGATTCGGTTGGGGGCATGTACCTTGGTTGCAGGCATATCCCCAGTAGGGGTGTGCAGGAGGCAGCTGATCGATGACTCTCTCTCATCGATGTTTCTAACTCTCTATCTCTCTCCCTTCCTCTCTGTATAAAATCAATAAAATATATTTAAAAAAAAGAATTTAAAAAATTAAACAGCATAACCAAATGAATCAATATTGAAGCACCAGGCCCTAGCTGGTTTGGCTCAGTGGATGGAGCATCAGCCCTCAGACTGAAGGGTCCCGGATTCGATTCTGGTCAAGGGCATATACCTCGGTTGCAGGCTTGATGCCCGGTCCTAGTCGGGGCTGGTGCAAGAGGCAACCAATTGATGTGTCTCTCTCACATCGATGTTTTTTTTTCTCTATCTCTCCCCATCCCTTCCAGTCTCTCTGAAAATCAATGGAAAAATATCCTCAGGTGAGGATTAACAACAACAAAATACTGGAGCATCTGAGTGACTAAGTTCATATCATTCAATAATGGCATCAACACTACAACACAGTCCTTCCCCTAAATCCCATGGCCCCTCAGCCTTCTCAGGCCTGAGAGGCACAAGCAGGAAGTGGTGAAGAGCAGGGACTTGAATCATAATGCTTGGATTTGGAGCCCAACTTTGCTGTCAACTAGTGCCTTAATTTTCTCACCTGTGAAATGTGCATAACAGCAAACTTACAGCCCCACACAATAGATGCTCAGGGCCAACCTTCTTGACCATTCAATCTACAAATTTATTTCTAATTTCTAATTCCATTCTCAACCCCTTGTCCAGTTCTACTCATATCCTTAATATTTTTTTTCAAAATGGAGGGCACACTGAAGATTTCATACTACCCTGTTTCCCCGAAAATAAGACAGTATCTTATATTAACTTTTTCTCCCAAAGTTGCACTAGGTTTTATTTTCAGGGGATGTCTTATCTTTCCATGTGTTAGGTCTTATTTTCGGAAGATGTCTTATTTTCGGGGAAACATGGTAGTACCTCCGAAGGAAGGCAGGGAAGGGTGGGGGAAAAGGGGAAAGGTCAATCAAAGGACTTGTATGCATGTACATAAGCATAACCAATGGACACAGACACTTGGAGGGTGAGGGAATCAGCGAGGAGGGACATGGAGGGATAAGGTCACATATGTAATACCTTAATAAAAAAATATTTTAAAAAAAGAATAAGAAAGATTTCATGAGAGTCCTTAAGAACTTGGTCTTGACAAAGGAAGCAGAGAAGAGGACTGTGAGCAAAGGGAGCATGGAAGCCACAACATGGACAGAGAGGACTACCCAGGAGGAATAGGCACCTACTGGTAAAACAGCATAGGTGGAGTGTAGATACCTGTAGGTTTTAAAATTTATTATCATAAAATATACAAAACAAAATTTTACTTTTTTAAAAATCATTTTTAAATTTTAAATATTTTTACTGATTTCAGAGAGGAAGTGAGAGGGAGAGAGAGGGAGAAACATCAGTGATAAGAGAGAATCATTGATTGGCTGTCTCCTGTACACCCACGACTGGGGATCAAGACCAGGCATGTGCTCTGACTGAATTGAACTTTAATCTCCTGGATCATAGGGCAATGCTCAACCACTGAGCCTGTTTTTATTCGGGCACTATTTTATGTGTACATTTCTATACGATTAAGTATATTCACACTGTTGTACAACCATCACCGATATCCATCTCCAGAATTCGTTCATTATCCCTCTCTGAAACTCTATAACCATTAGACAATAACTCCCTCCTCACCCTCCAACCCTGCTAACTTCCATTTTTACTTCCCATCTTTATGGAAGCTTACTAGTCCATCACCGAGGTGTGTGTAAGTATACTCTATAATGTTCACACAATGACAAAATCTCTGGACTGCACACTTCTCAGGACATACCCCCATCACTAAGCAATGCATGACTGCATTTATACTTTAGAAGCCCAATTTAAGAGGAGGGCGGGGGAGACAGGCAAGAAGGTGGAGAGGAGACAGGAAGCTAGGGTAGTGCAGGAGTAGAGACAAAGGGAAGAAGAAGGAATTAAGGGGTACCGATTAGGTAGAACTGAGAGGATACACAGCCAATCAAAAGGGAGGGAGATTTGGAAAGAAGAGGCAAGGAAAACTCAAGAGACCCAGCTTGCACCACTGGTAGCAACTGCAGCTATTAACCTAGATCTGTGGTCAGCAAACTGCGCCTTGCGAACCACATGCAACTCTTTGGCCTCTTGAATGTGGCTCTTCCACAAAATACCACGGCCTGGGCGAGTCTATTTTGAAGAAGTGGCGTTAGAAGTTTAAAAGATTTGGCTCTCGAAAGAAATTTCAATCATTGTACTGTTGATATTTGGCTCAGCTGTCTAATGAGTTTGCCAACCACTGACCTAGATCAAGGAGATCAGAAGAAACGGGAGGAAAGAGAAAAAAAAACAAACCAGCATGCTAGATTCCAGAAATGTCTTCCTCTTCCACTCCTGACAAGGGCTGTTCAAAGAAAAAAAATTAAACAACCGGGGAAAGAAATATTGATTCTGTTGGGTATAACAACTGTGATTCCCTTAAATTAAAAAGCTCTTCTGTGTTAGAGATACCTACTGAAGTATTTAAGGTGAAATGCTATGACAATTTGCTGCAAACCGCTCTAGTAGGGAAAAAGAGTAAGTGAGGGTATTGGATGGAAAAAAAAAAATCAGAATGTTGACAACTTCACAAGCAGACGAGCTCTGAAGTGAGCAGTCTGCACAAATGCTGAGAGAAGAAATGGGGGGAGGGGGGGTTAGGACTGAGAGGTCACGAATAAGGGCCCCAGGTCTGAAGAACAGTCCCTGTGAAAACTGTCACTCTTCCCACAGGCCTTGTTTCCTGGGGAAACCAGCTGGGGCTCTGATCACTGGATATCAAAGGTGAGTAAAGGAAACCCACCAGGAGTTCACATGCAAAAGGCAAGTAGGACCCTCCCTGAAGCTGAGCTGCCAGAGCCCAGATTCTCCCTTTGCCCACTAGGATGTGCTCTCTGGGCAGCAGGAGACAGGGGGGCAGATCAAGAACAAAAAGATTACGGAGCATCACTGGAAACCCTCAAGATCCAGCAGGGTAGGGCTTTCTGTCCTTAAAAGCATCAAGAATGGAGCTGTCACATAAGAAAAGATGATGGGCAGCTTACTGGGAAGAGAGTGTGGGCTGTGAACCCTGCCTGCTCCCAGGAGCTGACCCTGAGCTGATCCTCTCTCACCTTTGCTCTAATGAGGAAAGTTAACACCTACCAGGCGCTTAGTATATACACTGAGTGGCCAGATTATTATGATCTCTGAACGCATACTAATCTGGCCACTCAGTGTATATCCTATATAATAAAGGTAGTTCAACCAGCAGGCAGGAGAGCCAACGGCCCATGTCCCTTCCCCCTGGCCAGGCTGGCCGGACCCCACCCATGCACAAATTCATGCACCAGGCCTCTAATTTTACACACACACACACACACACACACACACACACACACACACTGAGTGGCCAGATTATTATGTGTTCAGAGATCATAATAATCTGGTCACTCAGTGTATTATATATACCAGAGACTGTTCCAGGCACTGTACAAGCTTTACCTCATTCTACCTTCCCAACCCAATGAAGTAAGGATTTGTTATCTTTATTTTACAGATAAGAAAATTGAGGCACAAGTGAGGTCAGTTTCTTGCCCAAGGGGGCACAGCTATAAAGGGACAGAGCCTGGATGGAATCTGGCTGTGGGTGATATGAAACCACGGTGGATTATAAGGGCTCTCAGGGTGTCATTCTGAGGTGAAATCAAGAGGGGTCAGGAGGTGATAAGCACTGAATCTGGGTGATGGTTCTATGAAGTTCTATCTACTAACGTCTTAAAATTTTCTGTAATAAAAAGTTAAAGTAAAGCTTAAAGCCCCAAAGCCTGGCCACACCAGAGATGTGGGGATTCATGATTCCTGGGATCAGTGACAGCCCTCCGGATCTCTGGAAAACCTGCCCAGGGGCCTCCAGCCCCACTTCTTCCAAGGCCCGAACCTAGGGGTGATCTGCCAACTTGAGACCCTAAGATTGCGCAAAAAATGGCCATTCCAACACCTAGTCCAAGCCAGGGAGGGACCTTTGGCCAAGCCCGCCAGTCCCGCACCCCACCTCAGCAAAGCTCCAAGTAAGACCGTCAGCCCCCATCCACCAAAACCCCAGTGGCAGCCCCACTCCACCACCTGGGGAATGACAGGACCCCCAGAGCCTACTTACTCAACCCCTCAAAACCCAGGGACTTGTGGCATGAGACACCGCCCCCCCAACCCCTCCCCCCCCACCCCACTCCCATACCCCTATTTCGGCCAAGGCCAAACATGTCAAACCCACAGGGACCCTAGGCCGGAGCTCAGCACCCACCATCCCTGGGCTTCAAGGTTGAGCTTCACTCACGTCGGAGACGCGCGCCCACACCCCCAAATAAGACATCCGGTAGCGCACGGCCTGAGCCACGACAGCACGCCCCCATCCCTACCTCCTCGCCCGCCCACAGCATCATCCTCAGCCCCAGCCCCCAGCAAGCCTTTCAGACCCACCTTCCGGAGCAGGGAAGGGTACGGTGAGGCAAAAGTGCCGAAGGAGCCTCACTCACCAGCGCCACCGAAGAACAAGGGGTCAATGCAGTCACCAGCTGGGGACGACTCCAGCCACGCGGCGGGACTACATTACCCAGAATCCGCCACGGCGCGGGACCACGCCCCCCAGGATGCTCGGCTGGGCTGGAGCGCGCAGCTGGCCCGCGCTCCCATTGGCCTTCGAGGGAGCCCTGCGGGATAACTTACTCCGGTCCCTGGAGTATAACTAGTGTGGCGCCTGGCTTACACTTTTTCTTCTTCAAACCACGTTCACAAAACATGTACGGGGCCATGAGCGTAGTACTCTTTTGTGCCCGACCCCTCTCCAACGCCCTTGCCTCAAAGACTACATTTCCCAGTGGCGCCCGCAGTGCCTTCAACATCCGGCTCCGCCCATCGGCGCGCGGAAGGGAAGCGAGGGGAAGCTGCTTTTCCGGTTCTGGAGCTGATGCGGGGCAGAGAGGGTCGGGCAGTCCGGTTTCCCAGCTTTTGTTGCGGGTTGCTAATCTTTTCCCGGGATTCCGTGAGCGCCGGAGGTGTGTGGGCTCGTCCAGGTCACATGCCCTTTTAACTTCATTTACACGAAGAAGGAAGGGGTGCAGCCTTCTCTCCGCAGGTTCATCAGAGCACCCAGTCCTCAAACCAAACACTCCACTGCCGGTGGCCTGAGACCTTTTTCCTCCTTTGGAGTCCACGAAATTATAGGCAAACTCATTTCCCTATTGGGGAAGAGGACCTCTTTGGCCATAGCGCGGGGCTGAGCCTTTAAAAGAAAATTAATGTTTTTATTTATTTCATAGAGGAATGGAGATAGAAACATCCATGATGAGAATAATTGGGGTCCCAGCCCACACACAACTGGGAATGTGTCCTTGACCAGAATCAAATGCCCACTGAACCGGCGAGAACTCTGGATTTATTTATTTATTTATTTATTTATTTATTTATTTATTTATTTATTTATTTTGTGTGTGTGTATGTGTGTGTGTGTGTGTCTTGTCTCTGTTTGAGAACTGGCTGTGCCGCTGCCATCTGGGGACACCTCAACTGAGGTGCTGGAGAGCAAGCCCCACTTCACTGCTGGGTGGGCATTTTCACCTTGACACCTCTCACTTCTCTACAGAGTAGGCTTTCCAAAACTTACTCCTTCTCTAGGAGAACATTTCTCTAGAAGACCAAGAACATTTCTTTCTTTCTTTTTTTAAAAAAATATATTTTATTGATTTTGTACAGAGAAGAAGGGAGAGAGATAGAGTTAGAAACATCGATGAGAGAGAGTCATCAATCAGCTGCCTCTTGCACACCCCCTACTGGGGATATGCCCGCAACCAAGGTACATGCCCTTGACCGGAATCGAACCCGGGACCTTTCAGTCCCCAAGCCAACGCTCTATCCGTTGAGCCAAACTGGTTTCGGCCAGACCAAGAACATTTCTACATATCCCAGAGAACCAGGAAGAGATGCGAATTTTCTAAAATTTCTTCTTAGCTCTTGCAGGATGGATCTACTCCCTTCTCTTGCCCTCAGGCTGCCTAGTTCATAGTGAATTTCAACTCAGCCCTGGCCCTGGATAAGTGCCCATTTTATTTAGTACCTTCTCAGGTCTCTCTCACAGTCCCACCTGTAACTCAGTCATTTGCCTAGAAATTAGCTGTTGACACAGAGAAGTTCAAAGTATCAATGCAGGGACATCCATGTTTAAGTGTACAGTGATGCTTCCTGTATGTGAAAGTCAGGGATCACAGGGTCCTGGTGATAAGAGACCAAGGAAGACTTCCAAGATAAGGGGCTGTCTGACCTCCTGTGAGGGGAATAGGGATCACAATGCTGGATATCAAACTATATTACAAAGTCATTATAATCAAAACAGCCTCGTATTGGCACAAGAACAGACACGGATCAATGGAACAGATCAGAGACCCTAGAAATTTATCACACCATTACGGTCAATTATTTGACAAAAGAGGCAAGAACATACAATGGAGTCTAATCTCTTCAACAAATGGTGTTGGAAAAGCTGGACACATGCAAAAAGATGAGATTAGACCACCAATTTACACCATACACAAGAATAAACTCAAAATGGATAAAAGATTTAAATGTAGTCGAAAAACCGGTTTGGCTCAATGGATCGAGTGTTGGTCTGTGGACTGAAAGGTCCGGGGTTCGATTCCGGTCAAAGGGCATGTACCTTGGTTGCGGGCACATCCCCAGTAGGGGGTTTGCAAGAGGCAGCTGATTGATGATTCTCTTTTATCGATGTTTCTAACTCTCTATCCCTCTCTCTTCCTCTCTTTAAAAAGAAAATCAATAAAATGTATTTTTTAAAAAAGATTTAAATGTAAGCCATAAAACCATAAATATCCTAGAAGAAAACATAGGCAGTAAAATCTCAGACACCTCACAAAACATTTTATTAATCCATCTCCTAGGGCAAGAGAAATGAAAAAATAAACAAATGGGACTACATCAAAATAAAAAGTTTCTGCACAGCAAAATAAACCACCATCAAAATGCAAAGGGAATCCATTGTATGAGAGAACATATTTGCCAATGATACATCTGATAAGAGGTTAATCTCCAAAACATTTAAAGTACTCATGGAACAAAAGAAAGACAATCTAAGAGCAGAGGACCTGAATAGATACTTCTCCAAAGAGAACATACAAATGGCCAATGGATATATGAAAAAAAATGCTCAAAATCACTAATCTTTAGAGTAATGCAAATTTAAAGCACAATGAGAGATCACCTTACACCTGCCAGAATGGCTATCATCAAACAAGTGCTAGTGAAGATGTGGAGAAAAGGGAATACTAGTTCACTGCTGGTGGGAATGCAGATTGGTGCAGCCACTATGGAAAACAGTATGGAGTTTCCTCAAAAAATTAAAAATGGAACTGCCATTTGGTCCAGTGATCCCACTTCTAGGAATATATCCTAACCTCACACCCCCTCCCCCCGCCAAGACACCAATCAGAAAGATTATATGCACCCCTACTTATATACTTATATGCATAGCCCATGGAGATGGACAATATGGTGGTGAAGACCTGGGGGGGGGGGGGAGGGTAAGGGAGAAAACAGGAGGCATTTGTAATACTGTCAATAAGAATATGTATTATATATTAAAATTTTTCAAAAAAAAGTAAATATAAAAAGGGTGAAGAGACTGGAATTAAGAGTTTAGTTTGCCTTGATGGGAAGTGTGGGTCAGGGAATACAGCTTCTTTCCTGTTTGAGATTTAACCAGCTGAGTGACCGACCATGGGTGAGACATTTGACTTCTTTGGGCGCCAGTTTCCTCATTTCTTTTTTCTTTCTTTTTTTTTTTTTTTTTTTAAATATATTTTATTGATTTTTTACAGAGAGGAAGGGAGAGAGATAGAGAGCCAGAAATGTCGATGAGAGAGAATCATCAACCAGCCGCCTCCTGCATACCCCCCACCGGGGATGTGCCCCCAACCATGTACATGCCCCTGATCAGAATCGAACCCGGGACCTTTCAGTCCGCAGGCAGATGCTCTATCCACTGAACCAAACCGGTCTTGGCTAGTTTCCCCATTTCTAATGTCAGCTTGATCTAATCACTTCTAAGGTCCTATCTAAGAATGAAAGTACAGTAGGTGGTTCCTGACCTTTGACCAAATACACTCATCCACTGAAAGCCATGCCCGTTTTCCAAGCAGCCTCAACATCATTGAACGTCAGGGGGCGCCCTAAACACAGCGATCCATTCCTTTCCCTCTAGGCCCTTCTGACAAATCAGGTGCAGCATGGGAGCAAGGCCAACTTCTCAAACGTCAGGATTCAGACCTAGCTGGTTTGGCTCAGTGGATAGAGTGTTGGCCTGCAGACTAGAGGGTCCTGGGTTTGATTCCAGTCAAGGGCACATGCTTGGGCTGCAGGCTCGATCCCCAGTAGGGGGTATGCAGGAGGCAGCTCATCAATTATTCTCATCATTGATGTTTCTATATCTCCATCTCCCTTCCTCTCTGAAATTAATAAAAACATAGTTAAAAATAAAAGTCAGGGTTCATTGTCCAGAGGCCTGTCTTCCTAAACAATTTGGGTAGCGAAGGCCTCAGAAAAATCCAATTAAGCTGTCCAAGTTGGAATGCCACTCACCAACTGGCTGACATGGGGAAATTTTTTTAATCTACCTTCAATGAGTCATGTAAGGATTTAATGGGTCCATATATTTATGCCATTAGAACAGTGGCCTGACATATAATAATTGCTCAATAAGTATCACCATACTCATCAACAGATTATTATTATAGTTTTCAATTGGTCAAGTTCCTGATTTCTTTTCATCCTGACTAAGTTCCTTTTAATCGTAGTTTTACAAAACTGAATACATTTTCTTAGCAAAAAAAAAAAAGAAAAAAAAAAAAGAAAAGAAAAAAAAAGATAAAATATTGAGCAAATACTGTTTGCCTAGCACTGTTCTAGGCATTGAGGATTTGGCAATAAACAAGGCAGAGTGTCTACTTTCTCAGGAGCTTATGATTTCCAGGAATGGGAGGGGGTGTGTGTGTCAGGCAATAAATACATTAAAAAGTAAATAAACAGCCCTGACCAGTTTGACTCAGTGGATAGAGCGTTGGCCTGCGGACTGAAGGGTCCCTGGTTAGATTCCAGTCAAGGGCATGTACCTTGGTTTCGGGCACATCCCCATTAGGGGGTGTGCAGGAGGCAGCTGATTGATGTTTCTCTCTCATAGATGTTTCTAGCTCTCTATCCCTCTCTCTTCCTCTCTGTAAAAATCAATAAAATATACTTTAA